ATGGGTTTGGGTTTTCCACAGCTTTAGATGTTTTCATATAAGCTGCCTCTCACTGAATAGAGCATTAACATTTATAGTGGACTAAAGCTGGACTGAACCTTTTCTTTACTCTTTTATCATGTTAATAAAACCCAACTTTTGTTCTAAATATCCCTTTAAAAAAATACATTTTCTCAGCTCTCCACTTATTTTGTGTCATTATTTACTGCTGGGAGGGAGTCCATGGTCCATTTTCATTTACCTATTATGGAAAACTGGGACTATGAAATTCCCATTGTGCTGCATGCTGACATCTCTCACTAAGGCTCCCGCTGCCGACAAACAAACATAACCAGCCACCTGACACATCAAACTCTGTGTCCAGCTTTTTAATAATTCAAAAACGTTTAGTGAGAAAATGTGAGCATTCAGGCGTGTTCAGGAAATTCAAAGTATGTGAATAATGCCTCAACTGTATTACTGACAGGACAGGTGGGTGTTTTTAGGAAGGAAAGAGGAATACATATGCTGGTTGTAAAGATTATTCAGATTTATTCTTAGTAAGACAGAAAATGCCCCCAGCTGAATAAGAGCAAATACACACAAGCGTCAAACAATCATTTGTAGATGATTCTGCTTCCAGTCAGTATTTTTTATTTCACAGCAAAGACCCCTAACTGAATTTACTGCTCTGGCCACAGTGATTTATTTAGTTGTGCTGACGCCGGTCCTTTCACTTTCCTTCTCCCTATAGTGTGTGGCGGGCCACTGAACCTGGATAAAGAGCTTAGACTGTCTGACCCACTCCTGCGCTCACACACACAGACACACACACACACACACACACACACAAACACACACACATTCATAGAGAGAGCAGTAGAGAAACACTGAGCTAAAAATATTTTTTCAAAGCCAAATTGAGTCTCTGTAATGCTCTTAGTGCCACTGAGTGGCGTTTTGATGTGACCCCTGGTAGCTCCCCTGGAATAGATGCTTTGTATCTGCCTCATGTTCACTGTGTCGCTTTTTGTATAGTGGTAAAATGTGGTTTTGTTCAGTTTAACTGAATTTACCTGACAAAAGGGTCCCTGAAAAGGAGGATGGAAATTGCAGCTCAAATCCACATAAATCACGGTGTGTCAGATGATGTGTCAGAACTCGGTGTGTTCTGACACATCATAGTATTTGCGGGGTTTTCTGCATCATTCCTTTCATAGATGAGGCAAAACTATATCATTAAAATGTTTACATATCTTTATCTTTTTTTTTATTTCATGTTGGATTTTTGTATTTTATTTTATTTGTACAACACGGTCTTCTATTTGTTATTTTTTACATAAAAGAAATTCCTTTTTTGTGTGAGTACTGCAGGTGTTGAAATCCCCGTATCAGTGGCCTTGCTGTAATGAACGCTGATATTTGGACATTTTTGTTACAGGCAGAATGTCTTCTCTGCACATCTGGTGCTGAAAGGGGAGTGATGGTGCTTGAGAGATGAAAGGGGTTGTTTTGATAATCACTTTGACTTGTTCCCCCCTTCTTACTCTCTTTAATATGGTTCATTATTACTGAAATGTAATTAGCTATGCTAATGGGCTGGCATTTGGACTTCCGTCTCGGCACTTATGTTGGGACTGGTAAAAATGTGCTGTCAATGAGGTGGGATGGCTGGTGGAGAGGCTGAATAGGAGTGTAAGGTTCGAGTGGATGTGCTGAGGGTGTTATTGAGTGTTAGGGTGAAAGTACTCCGGCGGAAGTGCTGAGGAGGGTTTTTTAAATTAGGAATTGTTGGGGTGAAAGAGAAGCGCCGGAATCAGAAAGTGGATGAAGAAGCTTTTTGGGGGGTGGGGGGAGTCGAGGGGCAGAAAAGCTCCAAAACCTGTCAAATTACCGTGTCAATAAATGTGTTTCTGCGTGTGTTGGGTGTGTGCTTGTGAATGTGTTTTGTATCAAGCAAATACAGGCTGCCCCTGTAGTGCACACAAAGACATCCATTTAGTACATGATAGCTTTAAATGGCCTCTTATTTTGAGGAAAAAAATGCATTACCTCTATAGGAGTGTAGCAGGATCTCGTACAGCAGCAAGGTGTCAACATGGCCATCGGGACTCAGTGGAGCTATTCATGCCTCCATGCTCCTGTTGGAATTCATATGTCCGCCGGCTTGAATGATATTAATATAATGTAATTAATTAATGCATTAATAAATGAATGCTTTCGAGCAGAATGTGTAACCTTGTGCATTATGTGTGCAGCGCCATTCCATTTCTGCTAGACCATAATGACTTGTGGAGTCATCAGTAGATTAAGAGAAATCAAAGAGGCTCATGGTTCATCGAGGAGGCTGGATTGTAAAAGCTGAGATTTTTCCTGTGTTGTCTGCTCTTCTCTCTGCACCGTACCTTAGACCAGACACTTACAAAGAGAGCTTTGCATACTTCAATCTGTACTTACCCACTAGGTGGCGCTGTGTTTCTATACACTCAAGTGGCTGAATAGAAATAGTCTTGGCTGCTCAGAAAGAAACCCAAATATCCCCGGGGTGAACAGAGTACAGTATGAGCAGAAACGGCGTTAGTCTATCCTCCAGTAGGCTGTTTGTTTTTCCTTTTAACGGGTGAAAAGAGGATGTTCCTCCCGTCCAGCCATACCTGTGTGAGTGCCAGGGGCCGACCCGCTTCCGACCTCGATAACCTCAGAGAGGGTCTGATGTTTTGAATGGCTGCCAGTGGCCCCATTGGGGATCAAGACCAGCTGAGGTTCAGTCTGTTTTAAGCCTCCAACCAACACCCCCCTTATCTCCCTCATTTCTCTCTTGCAACACCCTTGAGGACTGCAGCCTAAAGGAGAATATTGGTTTATTCTTGCACATACAGTAGCAGAGAAAACATTCCTGTTTTTTTATCAGATGTTTAGTGTGTGTGTTTGTGTGTTTGTGAGAATGCACCTGCCCGCCCTGCATTTCATCCAACTCCCATGGTGAGACCTAATAAGTCCCATGAATCCTCACCATCTTGTCTTGATTTTGTCCCGGGGTTGTTTTTCTAAACAGTTTAGCTCACCAGGGAAGTTCAGCTTTCTGCTGCACAGCTGGTAAAATATCTCTCAAACATATACATTGCATGTTGTTTTATTGGACTATTTGGAGTCCCATTAATCTGTAATTGATTTCTAATTTTCTGTTGCTTCCATGTAAATGTACTGTATTAAACCAAATCCGTTATGGGGCTAAAATGATTCTCATTGACAGTTTCAGCACCTTGGATAGTTCCCTTCAATCCCTGATTTAATTGATCAGAAATAAAACAGCTGAAACCTTACAAAACGTGGAGACTGGAATAACACATTTTGCAAGGGATCATTGTCCATTATTGTCTGATCCATTATTTACATTTACAGTTTACAGTTTAATGTGGGCTGCACAAAGAAAACATACATTTTTGTACTCTGGTCTTAAGTAATATGATTGAGTAGGCATTGTGAGTGTGCGCTTAAAGGCTATGTATATGTAAATATTTAAAAAAGCAAGGCTGCAGGATTATTTCTTTGAAACTCTTGCGCTCAGTCCATCTATTATAGCTGCACACACATAAACACGCTCAGGCACATACACAGTGATCGCACTTTACATTTAAAACGCACATTCCTTTCAAAGACAGGTCTGTGGAGTAGGCTCACGATGGCATTATGGTGGCCAGTTTCAGGGCTGTTAAAGGGAGGAGTGTCAGCCGTGTGATTATCAGCAGACAGATAGCGGATGACAGCTGCCATTGGTTATTGATGACTTTCATAATTAAAATCCCTTATGGGGGGACCCAAAGAACAAAAGGGAAAATCACACAAATGATGAATGGTCCTTTCATCTATAAGGGTGATATAAGACCCACCAGGCTATTCCACCGCAAAATTGCTCTCTGAATCTGGTTTCAAAGAAGAACCGAATGTTTTTTACTCTGCCAAATCTTGTGTGTGTGTGTGTGTGTGTGTGTGTGTGTGTGTGTGTGTGTGTGTGTGTGTGTGAGAGTCTGTGTTTCCACGTGTGTTTGAGAATATAAGGGGCAAGATGTGAGGAAATTGACAGACTGACTAAGAGGGAGCATAGGTTAGACAGAAACGGAGCTAGAAATCAGACAGTGAAAAGAAGAGGTTCAAGTACTGCAAGTACCACTAGTATTTCCCGATGTAATTTTACTGCAGCACTGGAGGGGGTTGGGGGAGTTTCTTTGCCTGAGCAGTTCCTAGTAACCACTCTAATAACCCTTGCAGTTGTAGTGTCTTTGGGTGCTGAATTCAAAGTTATTGAGTGAACAATACTGCCATTGTCAGCTGTGTGCTTGCTTTGATGACGAATTTACAAGCAGTGGCATAATTTCTGCTGCAATACAGACCACACACAAACCTCATACAAACACACAAACACACAAACCTCAAATCCTCAGATATTTTGTTCACCTCTGTTCTATTGTTTTCAATACAGCCCTCTCTCCCTGGGAGAAACAGATCTACTGTAGGTGACGGCTGTTTCAGACGAAAGCAGATCCCTTTTGAAGATGCTACAGTAGCAGATCAGATGGGCAGCTCCTGCAGGCTCTAAAGAGTAGAGAGTTGAAAGCCTCCAACACTGCATGGTATCTGTGTGGATGAGAAAGAGAGAGAGAGAGAGAGAGAGATGCATTTCTGTCCCGATATTGTGTTTGAACATTGTGTGTGCAGTCAGAGTAGAGCTCACACTTCCTTTCCTCCTAACCTGTTCTACCCTTCAACCCACCCACCACCCTCCTCATCAGCACGGGGCTCCTGTGACATCACTCATTCCCACGCACTCTGATTGGCCGGCCAATGGAGGGAAGTGGATTGTTCCCGCAGCCTACAGTGAGAAATTTAGAGAGAGAGAATGAACGTGGGAGGGAACGATACAGAGAGAGAGAGAGAGAGTGTGAGAGGGAGAAAAAGAGAGGGAGAACGGGACTAAGCAAGAAAGATTGATGCGAAGGCAAGCCGATACTGCACTGCTCTCCCTCACACACATACACACACAGTCTCATGCGTACACTCACATTACACTCTAAAGCTGCTTAATAGGCAGGAAAAACACTCAGTCTGACTGAGTCGGCAGCCTGCTGCCGCAGGACAGGACGGAGGACAGCGAAACGAAAGGAGACCAGGAGGGTGAAACCTTCGTCCGGGGTTTGACTCAGAGCAACAGTTCCACCGCTGTCATTTTTCAGAGGTCGAGCGTTCCAGGGAGCTCTTCAAAGAAGCGTCCCCCTGAAAAAGGAAGAGAGGCAGCAAGGGCAGGAGCAAGGGCAAGTACAGCGTCTCGCGAAGGTTGCCGTGAATGTCCTCTTCGTGTCCTCATGAGAGCGGGCAGGATTCCTGGTGTAGTTCGGGGTTCAGGATGGCACGGAGAACAGCGGGCGAAGGCTCCCCGAAAAAAACCACATCCCTCAACCTGGTGACGGGGTTCTTTCACTACCTCCGCGGTAAGTGGGACGGAGTGTGCGCCAATGTGTGTCCACTATTGAGATGGAGAGTGTGAGAAAATGAAGGCATGCTCACAGTGTGTGTGTGTGTGTGTTTGATTTAGCATGGCACTGCAGTATGGACTGGATGTGCCTATGCGAGTGTCATTTTCTTACTAAAAGTTCCCTGCAGGGGACATTTTTAGGGCTGTAGATACGGTGTGTTGAGTGAAACATGGGGTGGGGAGTGTGGGGGGGGCGTTTCCACTCTGGCAGAGTGTGTGCGCAGAGGTTGCTGAGCTCGGAGCCTGCAGCAGGTGATGCAAGCACGCTCAGCAGACCAAGTACCATTTTGCATCTCTGTTTTTGACACTTCGGTGGTCCTTCTGTCTGCTCATCTGTATTTAGACACCATGCATTCAGCTTTCTGTCTCACCGTCTGATAGATTAGATCAGGCGGCCAGAGACTTTACTGCAATGTTTCTTAGAGACCAATGATGGTTCCACACTAGCAGAGAAGGTAATCAGGTGTGTTGAAACACTGCTTTGAGGCCTGGTTGCTGGGGACGGCTGTTTGCCTTTGTGATATTGGAAGAATGTGGGTGTGTGTTTAAGTGCGGTGTGTGTGTGTGTGTGTGTGTGTGTATGTGTGTGTGTGTGTGTGTGTGTGCGTGTGTGCGCGTAGTTCAAAGTCACCTCGTCCCTGAGAGCGAGAGGCTGGCACCACGCTCGTTCAGTCCTCTGTCACACATGCTCCTGCTCCGGAATAAGGGGGCTAAAGCTTTCTCATTCTCATCCAATGTTACCGAGCATGAATATTTCATCACTCCTGGACCCCCATCAAAGGATTAATTTACAGAACAGGGACCTGCTCACATATGACTTTGTATGAATGTATCTGCATTATGGTTGAACAAAATCCCCCTCCCCCCCTCCCTCCCCTCTGATGCATACACACCCCTTCCCCTTGACTCCTGCCCACGATACCTAGTGACACACTAACCAGCTTGAGTGTAATCAAGCCGTCAGCATATTTCATTAAGGTGAAGAAAAGCACTGTGTCAGACGTCCCCTCTCACTGATAATGTGCTTATCTGGAGGATATTGCTCTGTGGCGCAGACGGGACAGAACAAAACATTGTCACATCTGTCAGTCACTGTACGTGATCGGATCCTTAAGAGTCCCGGGCAATCCAACCTTTGGTTTGTGTACGTTATAATGGGATGCATGTGTCAGCTGGACATGAATTGTTCAATTACTAATGTAACCATCGCAAAAGTCCCAATTATTATTGCGTGGGCTGCAGGCAACAATGAATTTTGGTGTCAAAAGGGAATCGGGATGGAAAGATTACATCGTTTATACCTGCAGAACACACATGTACACTTTAACGCTTCTATTCTATGTTTGCCTGTGTGTGTGTGTGTGTGTGTGTGTGTGTGTGTGTGTGTGTGTGTGTGTGTATGTTTGTTTTTGTACTATATTTTGATATTTATTTTGCACATTTGAAAAAGATGAGGTTTGATTTCTGTTTTCATTTTGTCATTTAGGTTAAGTGGCTATTTTAACAGACATCAATGCTATTGATTGTGCCTTTACTCAATGTGGGTTTGTCACTGTAGCCACCACAATGTCCTGCCTTCAATGTAGCTAAATCAGTACATTCGACCGGCTTTGTTTGTGTGTGTGTTAGTTTTGTAGCAACAGATTGCATGCTTGGACAGTGTGCAGAAGTGAATAGCATCCTCTTAGAGATTATTGCGGAGATGCATGTCGTTACATAGGAAGGAACCACTGCCCTTCTATCATCTAAGGGGCATTTTTGAGGGCAGGATTTCTTTGTCCAGCCAGGCAAAATGTCATCTTTAAATGTCAAAAGCCTTTTCTTACTACATCAGTGTAAGGTGTGATGTGGTGTGATGTGGTGTGACTGCGTTCAGACACGTGAGACTGACTAGCAATAATATAAAAGTTAATTAGGGTTGCCAACCTGCTCTGAAAACCCAATCAAGTCTCAAAACAATAGACAATGAGAAGATTATGTTTAAATCCCCTCATTGTTAAACATGTGACTGATAATGGTGCATTGGGCTCTGATTTACAGATGAGCAGGAGGCTGTGCAGAAAAGGACATTCACAAAATGGATCAATTCCCACTTGGCAAAGGTAAGAGTCAAGTTGATTCCCACTGCTGCTGCCAGCATTGTGTGTACCCGTTCACAAACACTGGTGCTGGTGAGTGTGGATGTAAACGTATCTGTCTCATTGCTTTTCCATTTCCAATCCCTTTCATCTTCTTTGCTCCATCCATTCTGCTTTCTGGGGGGGGGGGGGGGGGGGGTGGGACGGACTGTGCCAGCTAAGACCACACACAACCACAGTCATTCTGACTCGCATGCCTTTCATATTACTTTTTTCACCTCCCATCTCACATAGCTTGTAGCAAGGATTTACTCTCACTCTAATTATTGCTTTTACATCGCGGCATTTAATACACTGTATATCTGTTTTTCCCTGCGAGCTACTGTCAATGATTTAAGTCTTCGTAACCTGTGAGCCTTCTATCTCAATTTGGGCCAATTTAGATGGTTCAAGATAAGTTTCTAGTTGAAGTCTGCATTTCATTTACCTCCTCATGAGCTTGGACCGCAGTATATCTGTCACTTACACTAAACAATTACACTTGATGCAGCTGCATGCCAGTGGGCCATTGCATGCGTGTCATTTTTATATTATACCGCATTAGGCTCCACAATTTAACCCATCACTGCTTGAATAGTGTGTCAAGAACGGGCGGACAAGGCAAATATGGCACAGTGCAACACAATTAAGCGTTATTTCAATCCGCAACGCTGCTTTCAAGGTTTCCTATTCGATTACGACAGCTGTGCAGGCCTTGAACCACGGGGACATGGAGCAGAAAATTCATTTGAAAACCACTCAGGAGGGAAACAACCGTGGCGTAATATTAAATATCATGTCTCAGGACTGTGCCAGCAGAAAATTACAAACAGCCCAATACTTAAATTCCTTTAATTTTTTATAACATTTATGGAAGCACATAGTTTATTTATCAAGTAATTATTGATGCTCCAGAGCTAGTAGTCTTTTTGCTATTTCATGGTCACTGAAAATGTTGGGGTTTGTGTGATTAGGGAAAGATGGTAAGGATTTAGAGGCATATTAGGTTGAGGGATTCCTCAAACAGATTAAATAGTAAAGGAATAGTTCAAGATTTTGCAAAAGGCAATTATTTGATATCTTGCGGAGAGTTAAATGAGAAGATTATTACCACTCTACCGTCTGCATGGTAAACATGCAGATGGTAGAGTAGACTCTGGATGCAGCATCTGAGCTTAGCCTAAAGACTGAAAATGGGTGGCCTTTAATTCTTACTAATTAACACATCTTTGTTATTCAAAAATGATAACGTGCATTTTCACGGCAGCTTTTGTGTCAAACTATTTCTCGGCTGGAATCCGGGAGCTGCTCCAAGACAAGAAATCGTCCGGAACATAACCTCTCGTGAAACTACAACATGGCACGGCATCGACCTTTTCATGTTACTCTCAGCAAGAAGGGAAAAAAATCTGAATCTCTAACTATTCTTTTAACTTAAATGGGCTGAATTAGAAATGGACTGCCTGCCTATTGCCTCTCCACAGCGCCTAACAATGGCAATGGCTGAGCCGACAGCGTTAGAAGCTCAAACATGGACCATCAGTCCTGAAACTGAAACCCAATTCTTAGTACAATTCTTTCTGCAATAAACCTCAAGCTCAAGGAAATTTAATTTGAATTCCATTAAGATTCACTTTGATTAATTGAACAAATCAATAGATAAGTGATACTATCACACCTGTCCATCAGAAGAGTAAAGAGACGCTTCCCTCTCTACCTTGTTGATGAAATTACTCGCTCTCCTCGACCATCGTGAAACTGCTTACCCTTTCACCCGGAGTCTGCCGTTGCCGTAGTGACACTGATTGGCTTATATTTGTCTTCAAAAATGTCATGGTCGTCATGGCAGCTTGGTAAAGGTACGGAGAACTTTGTGACGACGCAAGGCCATTTTTCGGGCTGTAGACCCGGTGTGTTGAGTGAAACGTGGGGTCGGGGGAGGGAGGTGCTCAGGATCTGTTGTAATCAGTGTATTTCTTTAAAATGTCATTCCGTAAACCATAAATTACTAAAACAGCGGCACCTCAAATGTGTAAATACTCTTTTGAAAAGACAGAAATGTGTAAGAGAGACGGTCCGGATCATAGAGAGAGGGAAGAAGCTTAGCTCAGTTCTGCTTTCAGAAGGAGAGATCATGCCCTTGGCTACGCAGATGATTAGCCCACTGCTGTTATCACAGGTCTTTAATTCAGCGCCTAAAGGTATGTGATTAATCGTTAGGTGAGTTGAGACACGAGGGCTTCCTTTCACGATCCCTCCCCTCCCCCATACTTTTCCACTCCACAGGTTTAACAAAAGAAGTCGTATGAGCTCCGACAAAGAGTTTCAACGAGAGGATGTATTGGTGCTGGGAATTTATACATAAGATGAATGACTCTCATTACTCACCAAATTAAGTCACCTGTTATAGACCAGAGGTATGAACTATAAAAGCAGTGAAACGGTACTTTTGTTGTTTCCTTCATTTAAATAGGGGTTGTTGTGAACCTGCGTTAACATGTATAGTGTATTGCAGGATATAATGCTCGGAATAGTAGAACGTTGGTTCTCGTGTAAGAATCTGGCTCTAAAATTACACACCGCGCTGCAGTGGAGTGAAATGGGGGGGAATTCAGTGAGAGGGCCCCAATTTTCCATTTTGACAAATCCTTTCTGAGAAGGTTGAAGCTTAATTACCCAGTGACCAGCGGTGAGCGGCTGAGGTCTCCTCGTCACTCAGGCAAACCGACTCAGTACAGCAATCAGTGAACCAAGTGTTCTTAGAGATTACCGAAGCAGCAGCGAGGAGAAGCTCTTCTTTCGATGTTTACTTCCCTCCCCCCCTTTCTGCTGTGGGGCAGGACAGGGATGCTCACTAAAGTCAGACCCGGCACTTCTTGATGCGTAGTATGTGTTATTAAAGAACTGATTTGGTCATTTGGTGATATAAATTATATTTCTCTTCGAAAGTTGTTAAAATAAGTACACCACATTTATGTTTCAATTGTGGTAAATTGTAAAAACTTGATTCTCTCGCTTTTCATCTCACTCCACTACAGGGTCAAATTTGGAATTTGGAAGTTTTGGGTTTGTGACAAAACACCTGCAACTACTGACAAAGCCTAAGCTGTACTTTGTGTTTAGTGCGCATTACCAAATGTCAGCACGCTCATGCTGTAAAATATTTTCCAACAGTTTTGCCATGTAGACGAATAGAAGTCAAGCCGTCCTTTGTTGCTGGGTTTGTCAGCAGCCATTTCCATGTGATGTCTTTCTAGTTAACTGCCAAAAGTATTTAAGATTATGCAGGATTTTAGCAAATTAAAAAACGATTACTCTTGATTTTCAAAATGTAAAAGAAATTTACATTGCTGCAATTTACTTACAAATGAATTGAACCCATTCAGAAACTTGCAAACAACTTTACCCTAATGATTTGCATGAGAGGCGTCTGGTGTCAAATATTTTTTTAAACTAGATTGCAATTCAAAATGAAACTGTCCGTGAATACTTCCGTTCTTCTCTCGGTTTCCCCCCTTCCTCTGTCTTATATGTTGTGGATCTTTTGGAATCCAGTGTGCAAAGTGTACCAGAGGAGTGACAAGAGAGCACAGACAGACGCACATCCCGAAACTTACTTCCCGAAACTCACAATCAATTATGCCCCAGACTCTCATATGTAATTAGCACATTAAGACCTTGATTCATTTTTTGGCTGAGCAGAGGAAATGAATATTACTTTCTCATTTTGTAATTAGTCAGAAATGTCCTCATTAGCTTTTGGATTATAGTGAACAAATAGGTAAATTTATCTTCAATTAGCTCATGGCATAATCGATCCCTTTGAAGGCGTCTTTGTAAGTATTTCTTCAGTCACGTCGTGATGGGGTACAAGTGCTGTCTGGATATTCTAATATGCAAAACCCTGATATGACATTAGAAGAGGAATTAGCAAAAAGAGCTGCTGTATTTGGTAATTAATTTTGAAAGACGTGAGTTTTCCCTTTGCCTTCTATCATTTCTCTTGCCGATGCTCTTTCTCCTCAATTATCCCCCTCTAGTTAATCCACCATGTTGGGGGATTGTACGTTTCTGCCTTTTTCACCACACACACTCCACTTGCCCTACGCCACACAGACATCCTTAGGCATACATCTCTGCTTACGCCGTCTCTCTCTTTCTCCTTCACTCCTTTTGCCACTAATCTCCCTGTGAATGGCTGGTTCGTATGAGTGCCCCCCCCCCCCCCCACACACACACACCCCTCTAAACCTCTCCTCAGCCCCAGCATGTGACTGTGCTTTAAGAGAAATCCTTGATGTGGCGCTGGCAAGCAACAGAGATATGTGGATTTCCCCGAGTCTAGAAGTCTGTGTCGGGTCAGGAAGGAAGTCAATGAGAGGGATACTGTTTGAAATCATCAGCATATTTTAGGATTTGAGGACCCCATTCAGAGCCTGCTGAGCCTCTGCTTGTCTGACTCCGTCAGGAATATTTCAGGCTTGAAGTTTTCTTCGAGGATTTTTTAAAAGATAAACATATGTTGAAATTAACGTCTAACAGTGTAATGCATTTATTGTATTTTGGTTTATTTATAAGATGTGCTACTTAGAGTAGGATAATGTTGGGGAAAAAACTCCTCTTGGCTTTCTCGTACATTGCAAGAGCTTTTAAGACTTAAACCCCAAGGTTTAGCATTCCATGAAAACTGAGAATCCTTTGTATGAGTTTATGGCAACGAAAGTTAAACAGTGACTTTACGCAGCTAATTATACCCATGCACCTATTAAGAAATGAGTTTTGTACAGAATAAAAATTGTTCCTTTCCCACTGGCACTACGTAATGTCTATTTGGCTTGTTTTCACATATTGTTAAAAGTCTATAAACGTTTACGCAATGTATTCTCATGGGTATGCTTGTTTACTTATGTAGCGTGTCCCTCCGCTGGTGGTGACGGACCTGTTTGAGGACATCAAAGATGGTGTGATGCTGTTGGCCTTGCTGGAAATCCTTTCTGGACATAAACTGGTGAGTTTCACGGTCATTTATACTGCATATTTTTTAATCCCCCCCCTCGAAATCAATTTGAACTGGATCCAATATAAAACAGAACAGACTCGTTCAATAAAAGAGAGATTTTTTTTCTCACATAGAATAATAGACGGTGGTGCTGCTGCTGCAAATCTCAAAAGAGCTCCAAAGCTATTAGCACAGTACATGGGAACCGAGCCACAATTGCATAGAAATGTGTATTGATCGGCTTTTATTTAGATGTTTGAATTGAATCGAAAAGCCCAGATTAACAAGGACAGATCATAGTTTACATTATAGACATTCACACACACACACAGGGTGAGGATTTACCTTGGCCTGTGTTGCCTTAGGTCTAAGCTGCCCATGTCCTATTGATCCGGCTGTCTGTAGTCAAATACATCTCTGATTGGACCTCTTGTTTTTTTCTCACTTTATTAACTAACACAAATACATTAAAACAATTAAAGGACAAAATCTGATATCAGAATCAAATATTGTCTGTGTTGTACCAAGTGTGCTCTCCCACTATAAGTCCCAAACATCTTCTTTTCTATTGTGCTGTTTAGTTTTATCCACACTATCTTTAATCTTTCTCACTATTTCTTTCTCCCCATCTCCGTTGTTCTTTTTCCTTCCAGCCATGTGAGCCAGGGAAGAAGCTAAAGAGGATCCACTGGGTGGCCAACGTCGGTACAGCTCTAAACTTCCTTCAGGGAAGGAAGGTAAGAGTTCAGGGCCTTCTTTTTATGTTTTTTTTTTCTCCTTCTGCTGCTCTCCTTGCTCAGCTGCTGCCCTGTGGGTGCAGACATTGAATCCTGACCTTGTGTGGCCTGTTTCTCCTTCGTCTCTGCCTCGTACTCTGTCCACCTTTACACACCCCTGATTTATCTGACGCCATTATGCTTTGTTTTCACATCCCTGCAAATGGTTTGTATATAAATGACAAAGAAAGTCTGGCATTCATACAGCAGGTTTGATACATTTCTGCTACGTTATATCTAAATTGAATTATCCCTCATTTGTTTGTTTGCCTACAAATTAACAAAAAGTCCATAAAATGTAGTGATTGGACCACGACTTTTACACTTGAGCTGATCCACCACAACTGCTGGTCACACACAACCACTTTGTGATATTATTGCATTTTCCCAGCTTCATTGACAGACGTACAACCAGAAATGCCTAATTTGGGTTTGGACGTAATCATCCAACTGCATCAACTGCCCCTCCGTGAGATTAGTTAAACATTTTCGAAGCTCCACCCAGCCCGTCCTTGGATATACATAAATAAAGACATAAGCATGAGCTGGTGTCTGCAGGGACATTGATTTGTCATCCTCAAGTGTGACAGGGTTAAAACCATAAACCCTACACCAGTAATCTGCAGTCTGGAGATGAGACATTGGTGGGCACTCTGCTGTCTATGTCTTTCTGTGAATGTGTGTCTTCATAATTCTGTGTGTAGAAAAATGGAATGTAAATATTTTCAGAGTGTAAATCTGATGTCTGTCTAGACCGTATTTACATTTTGCATTAGAGGATGAATTTTAGAGCATGTTCCTCATAGAAAAGTGTTTTATGATGTTTTACAGTTTAACCATTTGAACCCTGTTACAAATGCATTAGCTGTGAGGTTTAAACGTATAGCTATAGTGTCCACAAGGTCTGCAATTATTTTTATTAGCGATGAATCTGTTGATTTGGTTATTAAAAGGATGTTAATCGATTAAACGTAATAATGACATGAAGCAGTAAACCTGCACTTTTAAGAAGCTTGAACAAGAAAATGTTTGGTATAAAAACCTTTTGCAACTACACAGATTTCTTACTCCTAAATACAACTACAGTTGTATGGTTACCTGTATTTCTTATTCTTGTGTGTGCTGACACAACACAAAACACAAAACATTGTGTTGCCGGGATGACCTGCTGTGTTTTCTAATATAAAACCGTATCTTGCATGTATTTTTATCAGCCACCATCCCACGCTGCCCGCGCCTGCCCCCAATCTCGTCTCCCATGCTTGTGCACATACGGAGTGGCTAGTAGTAACATGTGCTGGCCTGTTGTGCTGAGGCACCACAGTAATATAACCCTCTGTGTGATCATATAGAATACTTCATCATATCAACAGATACCGCCCTCTCTTTCTCCCTTTTCGTGCGCCGCTCTCTCTCTCTCTCTCCCCGTATCACTCTCTCTGCGCTCATCTCGACTGGATATAATCCCTGTTGCCTGTGCAGTGGTGATAGATCTCCCCTCTCAGGCAACCACTTGAGTTATCTCACCTCAGAGATGCTGTAGTCTGTGATCTCTCACAGTCAATGAGGCATCCTTCTTCAACCTGACTGATCAAAATGCTCCTCTTTTCTATTCTGCCCTCCAGTCTGCCTACAGAGGATCTCCGGTCAGTATGCACAACGTCACTGCCCTTGTTTGTTCAGGACATGAAATGGATACTGAGGATTACGCTCATACTTGATCATTTTGTACTATACGGAGTGAGGGAAATTGTTTGTAGTTATTCCATTTGATATATATATATATATATATATATATATATATATATATATATATATATATATATATTATAGAGAATTGTGAATGAATAAACTGGAATTTAATCTACAATGATATATATTGGATATTGTGTTTTGACACAGATCAAGCTTGTGAACATCAACTCCACAGACATTGTTGATGGACGGCCATCAATTGTATTGGGGTTGATGTGGACCATCATCCTCTATTTTCAGGTAACATTCCTCTAAATTGATTTGCATAAGTGCTATTTATCAGATTAAAAATGCAATATACGTAATTCAGGATATTACTTTTAAAAAGTTAAATAATGAAACAAGAATATGAGAAGACAGTTTACCACTTAAAAACGTATTATGCAAAAACATAAGCGTGTTCCTTCTTTCAAACTGTCTTATTAGGAAAATAAAATACTTTAAATGTAATGTTTAGATGTCCCATGAAAAATGGGCAGTTGGTGCCTTCAGCACATGCAGATGTCTGCTACTCCAACAAACAATGTCCTCTTTTACTTCCTGACTCACTTACATACTTTGTTGTATTTTATTCCATGATTTATGTATTTCCCATTTATCTCCGAGTTGGCAACAGAGAGGAGAAACTGGGAAGTATATTCATAAACATTCTATACTATATGATTCACCAAAATATAATTGTGATTTGCCCTATGTAAAGCCAGCTGTGGTCTTTTTATTAGACCAATTATGACGACAAAGACCTGTGTGTCACGGAAGGACGTAATTTGCCTCTGTTGTCAAAATACAATTATTTTATGACCAAGTACTACTATAATGATTTTCAACTCTCTCGACTCTTCAGAGTAAATGTGTACGCATGATGCCCTGACTTTTTAGATTGAGGAGTTAACCAGTAGCCTTCCAGAACTTCAGGCCTTGTCCAGCAGCACTTCTTCACTGGACAGCTCAACCAGCAGCACTGAGACCACCAGCTCACCGGTCAAAAGAAAAACCTTCCCACCTCTGCAGGGCGGAGCCAGAAAGGCCCTACTGAGATGGGTTCAGCAGACAGCCACCAAGTATGTAGCCTCCCTAAAAATTGTCCCGCTCTTCGAAACCAGATATGCAAAATGCAAACATTTTGATGCTCTAATCTTTTAGACGCCTGGGGATTGAGGTGAAGGACTTTGGTCCCAGTTGGCGCACGGGCTTAGCGTTCTTTGCAGTCATCCATGCCCTTCGGCCCAATCTAGTTAACATGGAGCATGTATGGAGGAGGCCCAACCGAGAAAACCTGCAAGAAGCTTTCTTACTGGCTGAGAAGGAGCTAGGCATTCCACAACTTCTTGACCCAGAGGGTAAATTACATTTTCTACCACATTTACGCAAGACTTTGTCATTAAGTTGATGAAAAGTGAAAAATATATACATTAGCTATATAACTACATGAAATGAATTTTTCCCATGTTGCCTTGTATTACCAATGTATTACATTGTATTTTTCTCTTGCTTTTAAAGAACAGAAGAACATGATTCTGTATTACATATTCAAAGAATAATAAATTATTTACCTTATATATCATTTTCCATCATGTAGAGCTGTTTTTTTCATGGTGCTAATAGTGGGCATCTATCACAGCGTCAGATGTGCAGCTCAGGTTCACTTCCAACCACCAGCTGTGCCCCTTCACGCCTGCCCTTCAGAATGAACTCTGACAAATTGAGCTTGACATCAGCATAATTAAGGTCCATTAGGCCATGAGATTCACCGTGTTGGAACCTCCAAACAAAACTTGGACACCAATCTAAAGTGCTGACGGTTGTTTTCATATAAGATTGCCGTTGTCTCTCGTTTGATGTCATTCAAACACATGGATTCCTGATATCCATCTGAGATCTGTGGTGCAGTTATCAGCTGGCCTCGACTTGGTATCGCATCTGATTGCATTCATTTGGTTCCATCCTCAGATGTCGACGTAGACAAGCCAGATGAGAAATCCATTATGACATACATAGCCCAGTTCCTGAAGCATCATCCGGATCTAGAGCAAAGCGACTCAGATGGACAGCGAGATGAAGAGGTAAGAGTCTAATTCATCTGGATACGCCATTCCTTCTCTTCACTCAATCTTTATCCCGTGTGTTTTTTTTCCTTCTCATCAGATTTCCCAGTTAGTGTGTCACACCTCAGCTATGACATATACATACATGGCACTTTGTGTGTGTTAACTCAGTATTGTGTGCACAATTCTAAATACTGTTTGATGCTTGTTTTAACACATTGTGGATGAGGCGGATGAAGTTACTTTATGCTTTCTAAAAATGTCTGATGCGGTAAGCACCAGTAATCCGCCGTGCAACGTAGGTTAAAACAAACGTTAATAATTGCACTTGTCATGGGACAAGTGGCAGCGTCTGGCCTATTGTCTCTCTTTCCTTGTTGCACATCTCTCCCTTTGTGTCTCCTTGTCTTTGTGTGGTGTGTTTGCGTGGTCACTGCTTTCCTGTGGTGGTTGTTCTGGCCTCTGTCTCACAGCTTGGTTTTACTCCTCGCAATACAGAGGAATTGTTGGAGGTGGGTTATGGAACAGAAAGTCCCAGGGGCAAGTTTTCATCCATCTTCCATGGCACAATGCAATCAGCACCCATGCAGATTCATGGATTCCACATAAATGTGACTAATTACATTGCTGGGTCTACTATTGGATTACAGTATCACTCCCTACTGTACAATGTATGACTGCGATTAAACACTGTTCTTCCCGTGTCACAATAAAGCTTACATGATAATATTTGCTCTTTATCTTACCTGATGTGATATTCCTGCCGCAGGGTTTCGGAGCCATGCTAACAAAACGACGTCCCAGTATTATAAGACGTGCTATTACCATTTATTAACGTTACCTCCCGCTATGGCTTCTGGTTCCATTAGCATGACAATGAAGGCCTCTGGCATTGATACAGCGTATTTGATGGAAAGCTTGTGAGTTGCTCGTTTTTAAGGTTAACAGTGGAAAGAACAGCGATGTGCTTTAAAGCTGTGCTCACCACTTGCATTCAGGTTAGCACTGTGTTTGTTTTTGTACAACGCTGAGGAGGCTCTTGATGTTGGTTGTGTTTGTGTTTTACACCACACTCAGCACAGTATAACGGATAAAGGTCTACTTCAGCATTAGCTCCATTCATTTTAAGTTGGATATTATTACAGGAGCTGACGTAAAGTGCTAAAACCGAATTAAATCAGATTGAACCGCTCTAAAACTGAATTGAATAGATCTCACAAGCTTTTGAAAAGCAAAGTATTATCGTCATGGTTACTGAAAATCCAATGAAAGGTTAGTAGGGGGTCTCAGACAAAGTACTCTGTTTAAGCTGAGTGTTTTTGGCAGCTGTGGGTTTTTGACGTTTTGTCCAACAGGGAGACACAGTGGATTAAGAGAACACATGTTTAACAGCACATGCCCTCTCTTTCACCCTCTCCCTTTCATCACTCCCTCCAACATTTATTTATTATCACTTTTCGCTCTGTCTTTCTGTTTTCCCCTTTCTGTTTTCTCTTGCACTCCTCCCTTCGCTCTTCTACTTTTTTTTCCATTTCCCCCGCCGTGCTTCCCAATTTCCATGTTCATCTTTCCACCCGTGGTTCACCCCACCATCCCTCACCCACCTCGGCCTCCTAGAGAGAGCAGCGAAAGAGCCTGAGGGAGCACAAAATGTGGCTCAACCAGCTGGAGAGAGATGCAATACAGGCTCAGGAGACTGAGGGAAATCTCGCTCAACAGTACCAGGTTAGTGTCAACATGTGTGTCGATGTGTGTGCAGTTGAAACTGGGCACAGACGCTCCTATTATTAGCTTAATCAGTCGCATTACACTGTGGGGATCAGACAGCAGCCATCGAATTCTCAGTCAATCTGGCTTATTCCACCAAGCCTCGGGATACTTTCCATATTCAGGAACATGTGGGATGCCCTCATATTCTGCACATTATGCGACAAATCTGAAGCCGCAGAGCAAGGCACTGAGAGGCAGTTAGCCATAGATTAAATACCGCTCAATTGGATACCAGCGTGAACAGGGTGTAACCCCTGAGAAAGCACTATGCTTGGTAACTTGAATACTCATTTTGGAGTGGTAGATTATAAGTATATTTTACTTTTCAGTTGTTCAAGAGGCTGCACGTCCAGTTGGAGATGAGGAGGAAGCAGGTGGAAGGAGCTTTGCAGTCCACTCAAAAGGATGGGATGCTGACTGTGGATCAGGCTCTGGTCAAACAGGCCTGGGAAAGAGTCTCTAATAAGGTGAGAGAAGCAGGATGGACATTCAATCTGCTCATATATTTTCAGACAGATTCGAACCAAAGATTGTTGTGCGTTGTTGTGCGTTTTGTCTTTAATTACAGTCATTTTTGTGTTATCCAATGAGTTAGACAATCGCAATCTGCACAGTCTCTGTCTCTCCTCACCTAAGTCCCTTGTTTCAGCTCTTAGACTGGCATCTGCAGCTGGACAGGTCCCTGCCAGCTCCTCTGGATATTGTGGGGACATGGCTGCATGAGGCTGAAGGCGCCTTACGACAAGAGATTGTCATACAACAGGCACACGACATGACAGCCAACGCCGTCCACGGGGCTCTGGAACAGCACAAGGTTAGCATGATTGGTTTTCTTATTTTCATAGTATCTCTGTTTTTGTTTGTTTGTAGAGCTATTTATTTCAAATGTACTCTTTTAATTGTAAAACCTACGTAAAAAACTGAAATCAAATAAACATATTTAAAATAACTCACTATTGAGAGCAATACAGTCCTAGAATGTTTTGGTTTGTTTGAAAATGTCCAGGTTCAGAAGAATAGTATTATTATATCTATCTACGATCTGCAGGATGTGTTGAAAGACCTGGAAAGTCACCAGCAGATCTTTCAGAGGATCCATAAAGACAGAAGTGTTGATGGAGTCCCTGTCAACCCAGACCAGCTCCAAGACATGGCTGAGAGGTAATCAAGACACCTGGAGAGGAGCAGAAGTAGAATGTGCGGGTCAAGCTGCAGGTCTGATGTCCTTTGTTAACTTTGTGTTTTTTTAGGATGAACTTTGTCTGTACGTCTTCCAGCATCCACCTGTCAAGAATGGAATTCTTGGAGAACAAACACCACATGCAGGCTTTCCTCACTCTGACTGAGTCCAAGCTCAAATCCTGGATCATAAAATACGGCCGTCAGGAGTCGGTGGAGCTGATGCTCCACAACTATGTTGTAAGCTTAGGTTTTAAATTCCCTCTGTACAGGATTTACTGAACTGCTAATTTAAACTTGGTGTTCTATATAGTACAATGTATTACTGCTGAATATGCTGTGTGATGCACATGCAGAGATTTTTTAATCTTTAATTCTTTCTGCATCAGTCATTTGTGGAGGAGCAACATTTCTTTGAGAATTACGAGGCGTTGTTCCAGTCCCTGAAACAATCTGCTGAGGCCTATGTCAATGCTGATGGCTCAGGTGAGAAATCTGACTGTATGGTATAAATGTATTATTGTATTTATACTGTACACAATAGGAATGACGTTTTATGTACATGTTACGTCCATGTGGCCGCTACTGATACAATAAATATCAAATATTTGCATTCAAGTGCTGCTGATGCATATAAGATCCTCTGGGAAGTGAATCAATTAAAAACTTGAGTTGAAGGTTCCTGATATTGTAGCAGAAAGGAACATGTTTGAACACACTATATGCACAGCATACAGGAATGTCCATTTCTACTATTTTAACATATTATGTGATTCAAAATCACATGAAAATCAGATTTGTCAATGGAGCAGTCCTGCTCAGTGACGCCGTGTAATCACTCTCAATGGTCTCATATCACAGGGTCAAATATCTCTGTGTAAATGTTATTGTTGTTGTAGATATTGTACACATAGCTCACCTTTATTGTCCCTTGTCAGTAACCTAGCAATGAGACTGTCTCTTCCACTAGCTCAGCCTGACGCTGTCTGGTTTTACACCCGAGTAGAAGGGGAGAGTCTGCAGGCTACAACTAAATGAGGTCCCTCCATTCCCAGCTCCCAGTGGGGAATACGACCCCATTTGCTAGTTAGGGGCTGCTCCACTTCTGCAGGTCTCTGGGCGCAAACCGAGCTAGTTTGTTGGTTTCATTAAGTTTCCGGGTTGTGCTGCTTCAGGGTATGCAGAGAGGAGCAGTGAGGTATAACGAGAAATCAGGACATTGGAGGCTTGATCGGTGGACCCCACAAAAGAAGAGCCCCTCACCTTCACTACCATCCATACCGACTAGAGCCCTGCTGGTAGTTAGCGCCCTGGGCTCTAATTGGGTGGATGAGAGATCAGTTTGAGGATTTCACTAAACTGAGATGAGAGAGAGGAGAACAGTGGAATTGATAGGTAATTATTAACCATTTAAAAACACACTGTTTGATAAAGGTGTGTTTGGATGTGGTTTTTAATCAGTCATTGAGCAGCTACACACTGGCTGACAATAGTTGGTGGTAAAGGCAAAGATAACACGTCTCCCTCGCGTGAGAGTTTTGAGGTCAGATTTGACGGCAACGGCTGGTAGCTTTATCAGTCCTCATGTTCCCTGCTGCTGGTGATTTCTTATATGCAGTGCCTCAAAGTGAGGCTTTGAAACTTTTGCTAAACAGCAAAAGGGACCGTTATATCACAGTAGCCTATATGTAAATGCTTTAAACGTAGTATAAGGCAGCGTTCCCCAACCTTTTTTGCCCCACTTTTATGTTAGATAACATTTTGCGAACCACTCTTGAAGCTGTGGTGGAATGACGCAACAAAAAAACAGAATTAAAAAGTAATTTTAAAAAGTCAAATGAAAAAAGTGATTTATTCTTTCTGTGCGGCCACTTAGTGTTATATTAGAAATTGTTGTTTTTGAAGTTTATGTGTCGCTCTTCCAGTGGACGATGGTGAGACGGGAGTGCGTCGGTTCATGCGGGAGGTGGTGACTCAGTGGAGGAGTTTGTCCATGGAAGTGCGCAGTGTGAAGAGCATGCTGGAGGAGGTGCTTTCCAACTGGGAGAGGTACACCTCAACAGTGGCCTCCTTCCAGGCCTGGCTGGAGGATGCTGAGGAAGCCCTGAGGCAGCCAGACAATATAAAACGGGTACAATATTAATATTTTAGGAAACCCCACCATACATAGATTCAAAGTTATAATTTTTTGTGTACAGATTACGTTCTCTTCCCACATGCATTTATTTGATGGACTCAAATGCCTCAGAGAAGGGGCAATCACATCCATGTCATCCCAATTTCAAGCATTTGGTCTTTTAAGTGGAATCCTATTAGCAGTCTCCACTCAAGTATCAAATGATCTCCTTGACTTACAACAAGCCACTAAGGATATTCTGGTTGTCAAATCGCCATGGTTACCTCGGATTCACATCCTCGCCAAGGATTAGACGGCTAATTACCCTAGTTTTTTATTGTCCTTTCTTTGTTTCTTTCTATGAATTCCTTTCATTGTCTCCCTTTAGATTAGCTTTCTTTGTTCATTCTTTGCCACTCATTCTGCGGGTTGTTCTTTGTTTCTCTTAATTTGTCTCGGTTTCTTTCTGTCTTTTTAATGAGTCTGTCTCTCATCCAGGATTTTTTTAGGAATCTCAGCCACTGGATGGATCAGCAGGCAGCCATGAACGACGCAGGGAATTTTCTCATTGAAACATGCGATGAAACCGTGTCGCTTGATCTCAAGCAGCAGCTGCTTCTTTTGAATGGACGATGGAGAGACCTTTTCCTCAAAGTCAAACAAGTAACTAACAAAAACAATAGCCAGTAAAAAAGTTTAGGTATTCTTCTTTTTTAATGTCTATTACTGTTTGACCCAAGCCTGATGAATATACATCTCTCCATTAACATTTTATATATTTTTGTATATAATATTATATACAAAAGGTACCTATAGTTTTACTAACTTTCCTTTGCTACAGTATGCCCGTGCAGATGAGCTGGAGAAGTGGAGAACGGACTATCTGAAGGCCGTGTCAGCCCTTAAAGAGCTACTGGACACAGCAGAGGCAAAGCTCAACGTTCATGTCCAGGTGTCCTTCCTCAATGTCAGAGCATTTCTGCAGGATGTGGAGGTGAGAAAATCAAAGTGCCAGTTTTTTTTAGGCGCTGATTAGATCACTTAGTCATTAACATTTGGGCTGTAATCAGACAGGCCTGTGACTCATTTACAAGATGCATAACAGCATTTTTCCCCTTTAGAATGAATTTGGTTAAAACAGTCCAGTCAGAAACATGCTCCACAATTCTCCCAGTTGATTTTTCATTTGCATTTTTTAACTTTTGATAAACTGTTGGTAAAAATGTTGTGTAAGTGCTGTTGTGAAGTAAGAGCTGCAGACAACCTTGTTGAATTCATTTTAGCGCCAAAAGTTTTGATGAAAAGCGTTTGAATTTAAGGACTTTCAAGATAACCATTTGCCTCAATGTTTCATTTTAGAATACCAAGCTAAAGGTTGTTGCCATGGAGACACAATACAAGTTGGCTGCCCGCAGCGCTATGCTCCTTGCCAAAGATGCACCGCAGGATGAGGCTGCCAGGGTCATGGCAACTATGACCACAGCCAAAGGTCAACTGAGTAAGGTAGGTATCCATAACGTCAGAAACATGTGAATCTCAATTAAATGTATCTCAAGTCTTTACTTTCCAGTGAGACTTTTTAAAATAATATTCTTGTTTGACATCGCCTTCACATTGTCTGCAGGTGAGAGAGCGGTGTCCCTCCGTTGTGAGGGAGTGTCATGTCCTTCTGCCACTGTTGGAAGAGATGGAGAAACACATCACTGCTTTTTACCAAGCCCTGGAGCGGGCCAGCCGCATCACACAGAGCCAGAACCAACAAAATCACAAGTGGCAGGTCAGATATGATGAAATTGAATAGATTGAACTTAAATAGTGGTATGTTATCATAAGCAAAAAGAATAATGAATAAATAATTCGGGGTGTAAAATAAGTTATATATAACTACCTGCTGGCCCACTTTCAAATCTCTTATTCTTTATTCTTTCCTTCTTTACTATTCCCAGCTCTTTAAAAACATATTACTCTTTTAACATCTTTGTACTATAACATATTTGTCTGATCGGAAGGGAATAGCTGATATATAGGAAACGTGTAGAAATATTTGAATGCACTATTATTAACAGTTTTCCATACTTCTTGTTCCAACCCTGTTCCCTGAATTCCCTCAGGATTTGTTAAATCAGCAGCAGAGCTGTAAACGCTGTCTGTCAGTGATTGAGAGGAATCACCACACATTGCAGAGGGCGCTCTCCACCAGTAAAGTGCTCCGAAACGTCGACCTCTCCCTGCTGCAAAAGAGAGTGGCTGAAATACAGAGCTCGGCGCAGGTCAGTGTTAAACTTCTACGCGTTCACAAACCAGAATGCCACAGACACTGCATTACCACATCACTGACTATTTTAATTAAGTTGCAAGCACATGAAAACACCCAGGAGGCAACAGTTTGCCCCTCATTTGCTCGACGTCAGACAAATAATTTAATTACACTCTATACACAATTACCGATGAGACCGGTCACACTCACGACTACCTGCTGTCCGTCCTCTCAGGTTTTGCTGAAGGAGGTTGGAGAATGGAGAAGGCAGGAGGAGGCCAACAACTGCCTGAGGAGGAGGTTTGAGGAATCAAGGCAAGAGCTGGAGAGAGCACTGAAAAAATCTCAGAGCTGCTTGAGAGAGACCGGAGACGCTGAGGAGTTACTTAAAAAACACCATGTAAGATCTAACCCGTAGCTTCCTGCTTTAGCTTACCTGTATAAAATGAACACCGGCTAGTAAACCTTTACTGATCACAAAGAAAAAAACAGTTACAGTGTCTAAAACCAAAGAAAAACATAAACCAAAATGGACATGTAAGTTATTCTGTTGTTTGGTCTTGCAAACAAAAGAAATTCATTAGTGTCAACTCAAGAATTGAGTTTTACACTCATCGCTTGTATTTGATTCTGCACAGGATTTTTTGGGCCAACTAGACCAGCGGTTACTGAGTGTATTCTTGAAGGCATGTGACGAGCTGACTGACATCCTGCCGCAGGAGGAGCAACAGGGGCTGCAAGAAACGGTCCGCAGGCTGCACAAACACTGGAAGGTCAGGGTTCACCATGCTTTAATATTCTCACTAATTACTGTACTATCCGGAAGCCGCTGAGCTTCAGGAAAACTGGATGACCATTATAGCGTTCCCTCCAGTGTGTTTGTAGTTAACCTCTACTTAGACAGATTCAAATGCAAAACTCTCAAAGTCTACTCGCAGTTTCCCTTGAGGATATCTTGTCTCGGCAGACAGTTTGAGCAGGATATAATAAGAGACCCATCTATATTATGGTATATCTATCTTTATTCCTTCTCACTGTTTTCTACAGGACGTCCAGGCCGAGGTACCCTCTCACCTGCTTTGTTTAAAAGTGAAGGTGGAGCAAAGTCGAGTTGCTGTGATCATACAAGACTGCAAAACAGAGCTAGAGAGAGAAATACAAGCCCTCTCTGGTACCTGCACCAGTGAGCGGATGATTAAAGAGCACAGGGTGAGCCTTGGATTTGGTTGAAACTGAAAGAAAGATAATGTATTGTATATGTATTGTAGAGCATTCTAAATTCAACATCCCCTCTTTTTATCTCCAGACGTTCTTCAGGGAACGAAAACCTCTGACTTTGTGTGAGAAGAGGATTAAAAACATGGAGGATCTATGTCATCAGTTGCACGACAACGACCCGGCTTATCGAATGCTAGACTCTACAAGAAGAGCTGTAGAAGAGGTTAAAGAGCAAATCAAAAGCACCCACCTCAAACTGGAGCATCACCCTGATAAGTGGAAGAAGTGGAACGACAGGTAAAAGTTGATGAAGTCTCAGTCCTCGCAGGGAGGTCTGACATTGTTTAGTGACTGAAGGGGCTTCAAAGTAGTTGTTCCTTCCGGTAGGTTCTGTGAGCTTTCTGATTGGCTCTCATCTCAGAGGAGGCAGCTGAGGCTCCTGAGAGAGACAGCAAGAAATTCTGCCCATCAGGAGCAAGTTAATGCAGGTGTTCAGGTGAGCTAGCACATTGTGTTTGCTGCTGTAGGCACAAAGAACAGCTGATGATTCAAGGCAGCTCAGCCTCAGTAAAACTGCATTCCATTTTTTTTTGTGCTTCCACCATTGCCAGGCACTGCAGGAAGCAGTAGATGCCAGAGAGGAGAGCCTGTTGTGGCTTAAGAGCCGCCTGGCCGCACTTTCTGAGGTTAGCTCTGAACTGGAGGTCCAAAGACAGAGAACGGCTCTGGCCAAACTCTCAGCTGACCTGCGCGCACTCCTTTCTTCTCTCTGTCAGGTATTCAAAGATATTCCAAATGCTTAAACGTTGGTCTATATCCTGTGTTATCGCAACAAAATCCGTCTGTCTGACTCTTTGCCTCCCTCATTCACAGTGGGGTGAGGAGGGCTCTGCTAGGTTCCAATACGAGGAGCTGAGGGAGGAGGTGCACGGTGCTTTGGACGAGGTTCTAAGAGTGCGAAGGGAGTCTGAGGAGCAGACCAGCAGGATTCTGAATGCTGAGGACCTGGAGGAGGCCAATCAACTCTATCTTATTCACCAGGTGAGTGTAATGAGAAAGGTGATGTCAACTGTGTACAGGTGTTTGATTTACAGAAGCTTCTATCAAAAGGTTACATCAGACCACACGGAAATGAGTTGGTGTTTTGAAAGTGAACAAAATCTAAAATGTCTTGCGTTGCAAAGGAAAAAAGTATTTTAGTTTGAGTATGTTATTTTTGTCTTAGCTCTACTGACCTCAAGTGGTTCAACTGCTATCAGTGCTGTTCATGTGTACTCAAGGACCCTGCAACATCAATGTACAGTTACAATTTTACAAGGTTGTTGTCATTGTACACAGATGCACAACGTAGTGCCGTCGATAGACATGCTACCATGGACACTTCTGGATGAGGAAAGATTTTCCTGCAACAAAAACAAATTTCCACAAAGTTATTTTGTTTTCTGTGTTTGTGAAAGCACCACCAAAAGCGCCTGGATGCTACCAAGAGAGAGGCGGAGCTTCTGGTGGCCCACTGCCACCAGCTGCCGAAGGGGGAGGGGCTCAGTCAGTCGCTACGGGAGCTCGAAGGAGCTTTCACAGATGTCGACCATGACTCAGGGGCAAAAGAGCACAACCTGCAGGTAAACCCAAATCTGGATTTTCCCCAAATGTCATTATTCTAATGTTTGCATAAGTGAGTGTCCACACAGACCCCTGCAGTCATCATTGATTGCTCCATGTTAAACCTTAAACAGTTATTGACTGTTTATCATGTTCGTGTCTGTTGTTTTGTGATTCGTTTATATCTATTCTATCTCTGCCTTCGAATTGATCAAAAAATCAACATCTGTCCACGTGACAATGTTCAAGATTAATGTAGAGCATGACTACATTTTCAAGGGGAAACCCACTGTAAAATACATCCAAACTTCAGGGTTGAAAGTTAAAGGTATTGGTCTACATCCCCCTGAATAAATCAAAGTTAAAGATCCATTCTAGACAGATCTTATTACACCAGAGTTGAATAATTAAAGAGAGAGAATGAGAGAGAGAGAGAGAGAGAGAGAGATGCAGTTGTTGAGTATGCATTGAAAAAGATAGAGATAGAAAATTAAATTTTTGTTACTTCTAAAAAATGTTCCTTCTTGAATGAAACCAATCATCCCCGACCCATTAACTCTGTATATTCATGTTCATATTTCTGAATGAAACATTATCCACTAAATGAGCCTGCTGTTTTTTCATCATCTCAAGGCAACGTTGAGCTCCTGGCAGAGTTTTGAAACAGAAAAAGAAACAGTTTGTAGGTTTATTAGCAATACCAGAAAAGAGCTGCACAAAGAGCTTATTTTCAACAATCTGGACAGCCTGAAAACGGAGCTGGAACAGAACAAGGTATGACAAGGTCATACAATAAATGTGGTTATGTGCATGTAGTGCCTGCTCCGTATTTGCTCAAACAACAAGCTTCTTATTTTTGTCTGTAGGAGCTCCTCACAAAGGTCGAGGAGTGTTTGGTGCGTGCAGCTTTCCTACTAGAGAAGGCAGAAGAGATTCAGCTTGGTCCCAAGAATCACACTCTTCTTCTACAGCAGGCCGATTCAACCAGAGAAGCACTAATGCAGCTTGAGGACCTCCTGAACAAGAAGTACGTTCCATCCTCATTCACAGCTTCCCATCCAATTTAATAACTACTCAAACTTCAGTCTTAATTTCAGTTTTTGAAAGTGAAGAAGCAGAAGTTCACCTAGACATTTATGCAGTATATTTTACAACATTCATCCTTTATAATCTTGTGTCTCCCAGTGTTGTCCAGCTGGAGAAGATGTGTATGTGGTGGGAGCGCATCTGCAGCCAATCAGAGGCTTTCTCTCTATGGATCAGGGAGAAAGAGATGGAGCTGGAGGCCGTGAACTCCACCTCTTCCTCAAATCCCCTGGATAAACACATCAGCACGGTGGAGGTATATTATGCATCTATCTTACCTTTCAGGATTATTATCTTCTGATATTGGTGAATAATTGTGCACTATACACATGCTTTTTGGTAGCTCACACGAAAATTGGTCAAAATTGCTGTCTTGACAGTAGACTGCAGTGTACGATATCAGTGAGGCCGGAGGGATACTAAGATGGAATAAGATTACATTTGAATGTAACCCCAAGGGAAACTGGGTCAGAGAGCAGCAGCGAAGACTAGGATATAGAAAATAAATATAAATATAATACAAATATATAATCTTGGTTTTCCAGACCTCAACCTTATTAATCTCATGGAGGTTTGAGAAGGGGACAAAGAAATGTCAAAAACATTTGGGATAGCTTTTTAAGACCTGCGGCAGACATTGATTAGTTTGAAAACACTTTCCTCAGCACAGTGAGTTTTTTTTCATAAACAACTTTTTGCATTTCAATTGTTCTAAAACTCTACAAACCTGAATCTGTCATATACAAACAACGCATAATATAGGTTCTGTCTTGTTTATTTTCATCTTCTTCTCGTTTTGCCTTCGCGCAGGCTGTGGCAGAAGGTCTAGAGGAGAGAAAGGCCACACTAGCCCACATGGAGGTGGACTGTGAGGCCCTGTCGGGGTTTGTGACCCCTGGAGAGACCGGACGTATCCGGGCTCGACTCGCACACATGAGGCGCCACTGGGAAGAGTTGATGGGGAGAGTAGAACAGTTGGGAGGACAGCTCAACCAGAGCGCCTCGTACTGGCAGAGATACAACAATAATCTCGAACAGGTATGCAGAAACGCGTACTGGAGTAGTTTGGTGGAGAAATTCTAATTAAGACTCATCACCATCGGTTAAATATACTAGTAAATAAGCTGTTGTCATCATCAGGTCAAGAAAACAATGACTGACCTCAAAGAGAAGCTTAACTGCCCGGTCACACACTGCTCATCTTCATCAGAGACCTACAAAAACCTCCAGGATCATATAGTAAGAGAAAAGAATGCCTTAATGTGACATCACTATAGGACCTGCAGGTTGTAACTTTGTTTTTGTTTTTGTAGTTCCCTTTTCCTTTTTCATAGATAAATAGTATTTTAATCAACTTATTGCTGAATATTTTTCAGGTTACGCAGTAATCCCCAGCATGAGACTGTGTGAAATTGCTTAGCTCGTTGTTACTTGTCATGTCAGTAGGCTTCATGTATGAGTTCACTTTGTAGCCGTTGAGGTTTAACGGCCTCCGCGGAGTTAATGACAAGTACATATCCGTTTCCTGCAGGAGGTCTGCCAGGCTGTCGAGCAGCTGAACCCGAGGCTGATGGCTCTGTGTTCGGCAATGAAGAGGCTCGGAGAGGGAAGCCAGCTGGAGGAAGAGGTGGCTAACCTCCAGAAGCAACAGCGAGAATTTTCGGAAAAGGCAACAGAAAAGCAATCGACATTACAGACCCTTCTAGCACTTTGGCAGAGGTAAAGTTGTATGTGCCTGTGTTGTTGAATCAATGTTTTGATAATCTGCATCTGCAAAATAAACATGCATTTACATTTAGCTGAAAAAGACACACATCTCAGACAGCTTTGCTCGTTGAAAACACACAAATGATACATCGCATTGTGCTTTTAAGACAAAATGACCTTGATAATATTTAGGATGTGTGGTCAGCTGGTGTGATGCCTTTATCTTTATTTGAGCCATTCGAGTGTGTGTGAATATAAAAAAAATAATAATTTGGATTCGCAAATGAGTCTTATTCTGATTGTAAAAACGTTGCTATTTCTACTTTTATTTTGCACTTGTGTTCTTGCTGAATCCTCATTCGTGTGCCAATTTTCCCTTTTTTTCCTGGAATCCTTCTCTCATCCTAGTTGGATGTGGAGGAGCGAGATCTTGTCTTTGACTCAATCTGTCTGTCCTCCACTCCACCATCGCCTTTCAATTCTAATAATAGGCTTTTCTTATCACTTTCTCACACAATAGACTTAGACAGGACTGGAGCAATTGTTTCTCACTCTCTATATTTGTCACATGTAAGCTGTTTATAGAGTCAACGCGTCAGTGCTTGTTTTGTTTTATCCTATTAATCCATGCTAGGTTGTTGGTCAAGTCATTTTATTTTGGATGCTGAACTTAAACTGATTTTGCGTATATGTGTGTGTGTCTGCCTGTTTGTGTGGGACTCTCTGCAGTCAATCTTCTCCCCTGCAGGTGTATGCATGAGGGATTACTTGCAGCACAGGGTGCTCTGGCAAGATAGGTTGCCGCATTATGACCCTGTAACTGATACTGAGACTTGGTCAAATAATAACAAGATATCACACAGACTGTATTACTGTCTGTGTTTGTGTATGTGTCATTGCTTGTATCTACTTTGAGATCACAAGTGACTAAGAGGAATGATTATTTTTCAGTACAATTCTGCACAATTCTGCATAATTTGTATTACATTTAAATTTAGGGTGCCACCTTTGTATCCACAGATTCGAAAAGGAGGGTTCATCCATGAAAACCTGGCTGAGCAGGTGTGAGTCTGTTTGCTGTCCAGACTCAGACCTGCTTTGTGTGGACAAAATAAAGCTTAGGAATGAACTGCTGAATATACAAGTAAGTCATTTTACTATTAGTTGCTTCTTTAGCATCAATTTGCGACATCATTTGTGGCATCCTTTTAAACACCCATTTCCCCTTCCAGGAGATGCAGGGGGAGACAGCATCCTATGAGGTTCTTCTGCAGGGTCTTGTGAATCTCGCGCTATGTCTGTACCCCACAGCACCCGAAGCTCATATCCAAAAGATCAGCAATGATCTCGTACAACTACAGGAAAGATGCTCCGCTGTGAAGAACAGCACATCACACAGGCAATTATCCTGCTAGATTTATCACACAGATAATTTGACTTTATATATCCCTCCATTAAATGGCATCCAGAAATTATTCATCGCGGTTCACCTTTTTTTCCCCCTCTCTTTTAGGCTTGAGCTGCTGGAGACACAGTTGTCCCAGCTGGATCAGATGGATCAGGCACTGCTGACTCTGACCCAAAGCAGTGAAGACTTCATGTCTCGCTTGAGAAGCTTTTCCCAGGTTGATATTGCTGATCTTGAGTCTGCAATTAGTAAGCTGAAGGTGAGAAATAAGTACTTTTGGTCAGAAAGGATATATTGATCACTACAAGATCAAATAAATTCATATCTGTTTAATTGAATAATGTCATTGCAGGAGCATGAGGTGCAACTGCAGGCACATGCATCTCTGAGAGAAACTCTTCAGCAAAGAGAGTCCTCCCTGCTTCGCCGCTCCACCTCAGAAGCCCAACAGCAGCTCCGGGCCTGGAGAGAGGACTGCCTAGAGCCCCTAAATGAATCCCAGCGTCTCCTCCTCCTCCGTAAAGAATGCCTCGCTGAGTTAAAAGCTTTTTTTGAGAAGCATGGAGCCGCGGCTAAGGCCGTGCGCCGCCTTCACGAGGCCGTGGAGGGCAGAGGGAGCTGGGACCGCTCAAAAGCTGAAGAGCTGCACCGTGGAATAGGAGAAAGGAGTAAAGATGTGGGCAAACTTGAGGCTGAGGCAGTTGGGTTAGATGGGAAGCTAAGCAAAGCGCACCTTAACCTGAGTGGGACAGAGTGGCAGGGCTCCAAAGACGTGAGCCATCGTCAGTCAAAAATGTCTTGCAGGGGGCAGGTAGTGGCTCTCATGATTGCTCTGGAAGAGGTCCAGAGGGATGTGGGATGGAGGCAGAGTGAGGCAGACACTCTAGGGGCATTATGGAGCTCCTTTAGGGAGAGGAGGGAGGAGGTGATGAAGAATTTGAAGAAACTAGAGAATGAAGCGCAGCGAGAGGGGGGCCGAGAGAGCTCTGTGCAAGCTTTTCAAAGCAGGTTTGTAAATTGCAATCAGGGTCCTTGATATTTTCTTTTATTACATTTTCCATCAGAATAGTTTCAGCTATTGAAAAGCAATATTGGTATTAGTCTAAACTGCAGAATAACTTCATGATGCATCTCATCTATTTGGATTAAAGGCTAAATTGACAAGATTCATTTGATTTAAAAACAGACTACATTAAAGCATTAGTGCTTTTGTGTATCCTGCAGTTTTGAAAAAAATCTATGTTGCTCTCATACCAGCCAAATTTGGTAAGATATATTGCTGAATATACTATTACATTTTTATTTAGAAAATTACTGTAAGCCAAAATTTGAGAACATATCATATGAATGATGCTAAACCATAGATTCTAATCTTTTTCAACTTGTTAAACTAGGAATTTTGATATAATATGTTGAAATCTAGCTTACTGAAGCTAGTAATCCCCATTGTTTTCTTCTGCATCTCTTCCCCCGCCAGGTTACGTTATTTTGTCCAGCTGGATGATGAGCTCCAGTCCCTGCAGCATTCCCAGCAGTGGTTGGAGGAGAAGGGAAGCCAGCTGGCCCAGAGAGACAGCGAGCTGGCTGGGGAAGCTCTCAGAGAGGTAGCACTGGTGAAGACCGCCTGGGAGAGCGTCAGGACTCTGATCACCAAGGGGTAGGAATGGAGGAGGACAAAGGCATTTTCACTTATTTGTATCATATAAATTCCATAACTTTTTTTTTCGTGATATAGAGCAGCAACAGTTAAACAGCGCTTGCATAGTTTTTTGTAATTTAATCCAGTGCCAAATTATATGTCTAATAACGCTGTTGACTTTTTTTTTCTCATTCAGTCAAGAGCAGAGTGAAGTTGTAGTAGATCTTCTCCGCCAGTTCCACCACTTGAAGTCAACCCTCATCACTGTCGTTGAGAGTGCTCAAGCTGTTTCTTACAATTTGCCTGACCACAGCCATACCGCTCAGGAGGCCAAAAGGATTTTAACACGAGTCAGTACCTTTTTTATTAAATCTATCGTCCAGATTATTTTATATATGTCATGTATATTATCATATAGTTGAAGATTTATTTGTTTCCTTTCTTAAAATCACAGAGTTTACAGTATCTCTCCCGATAGTGGTGTTCTCATATCATTCCCTCTGCACTCTTCTCTGTCCCTCCAGCATGATACGGTCCAAGCCGAGCTGAGAGAAAAGCAGGAAGCAATGGACCAGCTCATCAGCACAGTGGAGGACCTGCAGAGAGAACTGGAGAAGATTCCCAACTCTGATGCAAGCTCCATCCAGAGAGACATGGAGACGTTAAGAGACCAGTGGCTGGAGGTGAATGGTAGTCGATATAACGCATGCTGTGCCCTGCCACTATTTTGGTGAAAAAGCCCAGACGGCTGAAATCATGGAGCTGTTTTTTTATATAGACAAATTGAGCTAGGTGTTCGGACATGGTGAAATAATACTTGAGGACTGTAGTGATTTGTCCCCATTTGTGGTGTGGTTTTATGTGAAAATCAATATTGACATCCACATTACGGCTCAGCAAAACACTTGCTGTTCCTCTTATAATGATATTTATTTAATTTTTTCCCCTTTTTAATTTTTTCCTCTTGAGAGATTTAGTTGCCTGCTTAGCTGTCACAAATGAGACAGAAATATAAACAAGTCTAGACACATTATCTGCCTTTCTGTCTCTCTCCTCCTCTCACTTCTCATCCCCACATCTGTCAAACCAATTGAGTCTTGTTTTTCCCTCCATTTCCCAGTAAAGCGTGCCGTCCCTTGTTACACCGAGAGAAAACTACACGCAAAGAGGGAGACAGATCCTACCTCCCCTTAGTCTCCTGTTGATTGAGACATATCCAATTCCATACTTAAATAGATTGCTGGTCTCTGTTCCTTCAGGTCTCAGAGAGAATACAAACCAACACAGAGAGACTGGGCTACTGTGTAGCACTGTGGAATGACCTCAAGTCCATGGAGCAGGACATCAACCAATGGGCTGCCGGCTCCATCGCTGATATCACCGACAGTGTTACCAACCTCGGTGATGAAGAGCAGACGGAGGTCCGTCTCGCCACATTTCAGGTCAGAGCAGGCTGGACCGTCTGCATGAAACAGTGTGTGAATGATTGTGGTGGTGTCGTTTTCAAAGTGACTTCATAGTGGGTGTGATTTTATTGTAATGTCCGGCCCTTTGATCTACAGGCTGAGGTCGAAAAGAGGGAACTGAGGCTGGATACCTTGCAAGAGAGAGTCACAGAGCTGAAGGAGCGAGCTAAACTGCAAGAAACCCCGATTCAAATGCAGGTGGGGAGTAAAAGTGTTGAATATAACAGCTACATTTTTTTTTTCTATTGACATTTAGGCCAGGGCATTTTAAACTCTGTTACAAAAATCCCAATGGTGCATAAATAATAACCAAAATACCTACGATCATGTACTTTAAATACATAATCAAAAATAGGAATTTAACAAAATATATAAAAGAAAAATGGATGGAACATAAACACAAATGCTTCACAAATGTCATGACATGAGTAGATGAGTAAATGTCATGAAATACTATAAGAACGGGGTAAGGATTTATTATTATAAATTATTATATATTATTCAGGACCCCAATTACCGATCAAAAGGGGGATAGACTACTTCCAAAACAGATTTTTCAATTTGTTTTCAGATTATTGTTTGTTGCCATGGTCATCTGCTCGGTTTATTTGTTTGTAGATATCAAAATTATCAATAAAAACTAAAATGGGAAAAAAGGATCATGAGCACCTGAAAGCACATTGTGCACGTGTGGTTTCCGTGGCGATATGGTGATATGATGTTATTTCATTTCTTTATTGAACCAGGTCCTGGAGTCGGACCTGAGGAAGAAAATGGCCCATGCTCGAGAGGTGTACAACCAGGCCAAACACACTGTGACGTACTTCAGTTTCCAGAAGCAGCGATTGGAGGACCTCATGTCCCAGATGGCCGAGCGGCTGGTGGCAGTTGAGGGCTCCTTATCTGACCTCACTGAAGCTACTTCTCCCCAAGACATTGGTACAGTAAAGGTATGACACTATCATTTCCCTTAATGTGATTCAAAAACACAATGAGTAAATTCTAATACATATCAGATTACATAGGAGTACATAAAGAATATGCCAGAAGTAACCATGCAGTCTTTCCTCTTATTCAAAAGTTATTTCTATTACCATCTTTTTTACTTCCTATCTACACTATGAAAACACAAAATGAGTTAATACAATGAGACAACATTTCATTTGTGAAGCCTTAATTATTTAAATGGCTTAAGAGAATGCTAGTTTATTTCTGTCGCATGTTTTAAACACAGAGAACATTTTTGCCTGGTATCCTGTTGTCCTCAATTATGACCCTCTTTAGGAGATCAGAGCTTAGACTCTTCATAAGAATACATTCTAATCTGGCAGTAATTGACATCTGCGAGGTGGATGAACATGTACACTCTGCCCTCTCCACCACCCTTTAACCCCAATTATCAATATACATCCTCTTATTTCTCACTTTTCATTTACAGGACCTGCAAAGCGTTGTGCAGCAACAGAGGGCAGACATGGACTCAGCGAGGGACGCTCTGAGTGCGCTGTGCAGGTCTCATCCCTCTCAGGAGTTGTCATGCCTCTCCTCTGACCTCACCTCCATTGTCAAGCGAACAGAGGCTGTTGCCCAACGCTGTGCCAAGACCAAGGGCAGCCTGCAGGATGGGCTGCAGCTCCACTTCAACGGTAATCGCTGTGTATCTGTAAAGAGGGTATTCTGGAGTACAATTTCAATCCAGATAGTTTAATGTTTTATTAAATGATCTCCTGGATGGCGTTTTTGTTCTTTACCTTCACAACTTCCCCTTTAATAAATATGTATTTTAATAGTACTTCAAAATCTTATAATAATCCAATCAAACAGTGCACAACTACATGATGGGAGGTTATTTGTCATTGGTGCACAGATTTATTGTTGATTAACCTACATTTTTTCCCATAGCACACTCAATCCATCCACAACAGCCCACACTCTGTTTGCACACTGTGTGTTACACTGGTGCTCTAACTGCTCAGACACACACCTGTGCCTCAGAGATTAATGCCGCTCTTGTCACATCTGCTCTCGAGGGTGTCATTTTGGGCTTGTTGCCAAGGCAACCCAGCACACAACAGCGCGGACACGCCCGCACTTAGTATCTGCCGCAACACATCTCTTCCCACTCTCCTCCTTCGGGTCCCTTCACTTTTAAATATTCTGCGCCTTTATTTTAACACCTCAGTTTTCCTCAACTTGTCGCCATTGTTTATTTTGCCTTTTGTTTACCAGTCCTTTATGTTACTCTAAGCAGATCTCATCCAAGACTTCCACTCCCGGCTCACAGATCTGAAGTTGGAGCTGAAAGAATGTTCCAATCTATCAGGGGATGTTGCGGTGCTTGGAGCTAAGTTGCAGCGGTTAAAGGTATTGTTATATTCCATACTTCCATTATGCTTTTCTTTTGGTGCAGTTGTCAGGGAATTGTGTTAAACCAAAATCATGCACAAGTCTCTCAGTTTTTAGTAACTGCACTTGTTGATATTTACTACATTACCCTATACAAAATGTCATCATTGTGCCAAACTAAATCTGGGCTTGTATTGAACAAACTACAGCATCTTTCTTAGATGAAGTGTGCTGTTTATATCGTTATACCACTTTTTAGGAAGTAATTGAGTGTTACATATGAGTGTTATAAGTCTGTACATGTTCTGTACACATCCACAGGTGTCAGTCGAGCGGAGATCTGAGGGGGAAGAGTGTCTTTCTAAGGTTCGTGTGGAAGCCGAGAGGCTACAACTCCACTTGCCTAAAGCTGGAGCAGCACAGATCCGAGAGCATCTCTCCTCCTGTCAGAAAGACTGGAGGAGCTACCTGGACTGCTGCTCTCAGAGCCAACGAGACTTGGAAGAGAGTATTGACCTCATGAGAAAGTAAGTTACTATTGTTGTTGTGTCATGTGTTTATGCAAATAAATCATAATTAAATGCCAACGCACCTCCTCTCCAGCTTTAATGACTGTGTGGAGGGAATGAGAGCCTGGCTTAAGCAGATGGATCTCAGCCTCAAGAGAGAACCCGTTCTTGGGGGGGAGTGCCAGCAAGGAGCCCAAGACATCACAGAAGAGCTGAAGAGGATAGAAAACCTCCATGAGGAATTGCTTGCAAAAAGGTGTGCATACGTGGGTGTGTGAAGCCATATGTTGTCGACGCCCGAGCGTGGGTTGTCAAACATTCGTAACAATATCATTGTCTCTTGCAAGGGACTCCATCGAGCATCTCGGCCAGGAGGCCCAGTCTCTGTCTGAAGCATGCCGGGGATCAGGAGGGGAGGTCAGAATGACAGGCCAGCTCCAGATGGAGCACCAGGCCCTGTTGAAGGCAGCCAGGGAGAAGCTGCGAGGCTGCCAAGGGAGCCAGGCCTTTGGAGAGACCCTCCAAGGGGTTTGGGCCTGGCTGGAGGAGATCCAGGAGAGACTGGGTACTGTAGACAGCACCATGGGGACCAAAGAGCAGTTAGAGCAGAGGCTGGAGACTGTGCAGGTAATAAGGGGCTTTGACTGGTAGGCTATATGTATCTGTAATTTACACTAATAATTTTATATAATGAGATAAAAGGGGTTGGATTCTTTAGGATTGCCCACACGTATTTTTTTCTTTACTTGATTAAACTACACTAATAGTTTTTCTACAGTTGTTCTGGTAAACACAAGATGGAGCTGTTTGCTTGAGAATGTATTCATCAATATTTCTGATGTCTAAATCCAGATCACTCTGACCTCTATCTGTTTGCACAGGACATCCTGCTTTTGAAGGGGGAGGGCGAGGTCAAGCTGAATATGGCGATGGGTAAGGGCGAGTTGGCCCTGCGCAGCTATGGAGCCGCCGGACAGGAAGTAGTCCGCTCTCAGCTACAGGAAGTGGAGGACGCATGGGCCACGCTTATTGTGACTGCCATGAGCTGCCACAGGTAGAGCGTTCACCTTTTTTTTCATCACCCAAAGTATGTGATGGTTTAGCTTCTATGTGTGCAATTAAAGCCAAAAGGAAGAATAGGTCCTTCCCTTAACTTAGAGTTATGTCATCATTGCCGAATTGCATTCACAATAGCAGAAACTGGACAAACTGCCAAATAATAAACAGCAAACCATTATCGATTTTCTGTTTTTTTTATTGATCTATTAATCCATTAAGCCCTGGATATGTTAGAGGCCATTTACCTCATGTGCCAAAAAATCCTCTCTTCGGACAGGTTATTTCACCGTAACGGATTGATGTCTCAATGCCATTCAATACCATTAGGTTAAATACATAATGAGCAGTATTTGTCTCATTTGATAAATCTGATTAACGTATTTGATTTAGTACGTTCTCTTTTTGTCTGTGCACGTGCATCAGTCCAGTGGGTGTTGTTGTTTAATTGAGCAATTAGAAAAATGAATCTCATTAGGGATTAAATGGTTGATGGAAAACCGTTAGTCACACACGGGGTGTGTTTGTGTTTTAAGGTGAAGGGGATATCAGGAGGCCTGGGGTATCCGGTGAAATAGTGCGCGTGTGTGTGTGTGTGTGTGTGTGTGTGGGAACGGCTATTGGTCATATTTGTACATGAAGCGATAACAGATGGCAAAGGAAAATTGTGTGAATCTGTGTGTTTTGAACCAGGGCATGAAGGTACTAAGCCAGTATTACAGCCCATTTTTCGATGTATTGGCCTCATCATCAAATATACACTGTGCCTGCACAGTGAAAAGATACATAAGAAACACATAAGAAAACGGTGTAATACTTCCCATGTTTATTCAGATTTGACTAAAAATGCATGTTCCACACTTTCCAGTCAAAGACAACCACAAAAATATCTTGTTTTGTTCCTCCAGTCGATTAGAGTGGACCGTGTCGCAGTGGGGAGGATACCTGGAGAGTGCTTCCCAGCTGCGATGCTGGATGGAGGCTGTAGAGAGAGAGGTGTGTGCCCCCCTCACCCCTCAGCCAGGGCCCAGAGAGAAGGCCTCCCAGTTGGAGAGACTCAGAGCTCTGTTGGCTGATCTGGAAGACCATCAGGTGGCTCTGTCCAGCCTCGAAGAGAAAGCCAGAGAACTGTTCAAGAAGACTGGCGATGCCAGCTTTAATCACGGTGCCCGCACCCAACTGCAGGGCCAGTTTGATGACCTCACAGCCTTGGTGGAGGTATAACGTTACTTCATCTTAATTTGATTACATGTAAGTGCTTTGTTATTTTAAAGTAATGTTGACTGATTGTGTTCATTGTCTTTAGGAGAGAGTACGTCTATCACAGGCCGTTGTGTTGGAACACCAAGAATACCTGGAGGCTGTTCGGGAGCTCACTGATTGGCTGATGGGTGTCGGAGAAAAGCTACATCACTGGTCTGATACGTCAGGGGACTCTGCTTCCATCAAAAAGAAACTGTCAGAAGTGAGGGTAAGGCAGATATAAAGAAATCCTCTCGCTGATGCCGGCTGACACTCCTTTTGTTTTCTTTGTATACACTTATTTAAACTACACTAATCATAACAATGTGCCACATCTGACTGGTGACAAGCCTGTTGTGCTGTAGAGTAAGCATGGGTGTGCCGTTAAAGTGGTTTTCCTTGAGTTTTTGCTACATAGTCTTTGTCAGCAGATGGAGATGGCCAGTTGTCCTTTTGTATTTTAATTATAAACAATGTGTGCACTTCAAATAAGTCGTTTCTTTGGATTTCTTGATATATTACATTTTTGACCATATGTGTTGGCTGGCCCTTTTGTATGATGTTATGATAATTTAAAAGGAAATGGAGTCACTCATATGTGTATTGAAATAGCACCTCCATAAACATCAGTTTTTCATAATTGAAGGGTACATGAGTTGGATGTGGATTATAAAAACATCTTTCATATTGAGATTGTAACAGTAAGCGGTGTCTCTCTGAATTTACGGCACAGCATGCTTTAAGGATTTGTAGTATATTGGTGAAAATACACCTACATGAAAGATTTCATATGTGTAAACTGATGCTACGGTAACTGATTGCTGAATTATCTGAACCCATCTAATCTTAGTTGACCGCTATAGAGGAAGGCAAACTATGTAAGGAATAGGAATTCGTTCTCAGTTTGTCTCCATGTTGTTGCCAAATATCTCACTGCCATTATTTTGGGCTATTACAGTAAAGTAAAAAAGATGAAGAATTGAACAGTTAATTAGCCATGAATATAACAAGAGCTGGCTAAGCTTTTGACTATTCAATAATTCTGCAATTAAATAAAGAAAATATGAGAGGCAATATAAATAAATTTCACACGTGGGCACTTATTATTGCATTATTTTGTCTTGTGTTTGTAATCACGGTGTGAATTATTTCAGTAGAGGAGGAAAGATAATTGGTTGTATACACAAGCGAGTTGCACCATTTTCATTTCCCATTCATTGCCTCAAGGTCAATGTTCATATCGTTCTACTCACAAACAGAACTCCTCAGCTGCCATTTTTCCACATTTTTTCAATCCTGTCATCAGTTCAATGCTGTTGCATCACAGTCGAGTGTTCGCCTTTCACGTCCTCTGCCTTCTAAGTGTTACCTTTGTACACAGAATGAGAGATGGAGGCGTCGAGGTATGGAGGCACAGGATGAAATTATATCTAGCGCGAGGATGAAAATACAGGACATCATAACTAATGCTCCAAAGACAGAATCAAAGGGCTAAAGACAGAAAGTAATAGAGCAGGACACATACGCCGCTTCAAATAGAATAAGAGCTTGCGGTTTCCGTAGCCACAGTTTCCGTAGCAACTTCGTCTCCTATCTACCTTCCCCATCTCGCCAGGAGCGCGTGGAGTGTCAGCTACTGGAGGGCCGAGAGCGCCTCTGCCGGGTGCGTCGCAGTGCGGCGTCCACCGCAGAACACACGGCGGCAGGCGGCTGCGAGGCCATGGACCGCCAGCTGGGAGCGCTGTCCCAGGCCCTGGAGCAGTGGGAAGGGGCCGCGCTGAGGGCCAGGGACGACTTGGAGGGGGCCCTGGCTGCCGCTGCAGCCTCGGAGCAGGAATACCACCGTCTGACTGCCCGGCTGGAGGACGAGTTGAGGGAGCTGGATGGGCGGCTGAGGGTGTGGAGCCAGGAGTTGTTTAAAGCTGAAGGGCGGAGCAACGGCGAGGAAGCAGTCGCGGGGTGGCAGCTGGCTAAGGTATAAGAGCACAACAGTTAAATATATGGCAGCTTAATGCCTGAAGTATTCACTGTTCATCTGCTCACAATAGTTAATTAAAAAAATAGTAGATAATAAAAACTCTGTTCGACTGAGATTTGGGTCGAGGGAACTGTGATGTGTAAAAAAAGAAAAGCTGACAGTGGCCACTGTGCTGCAGTTTACTATGTTAATTTTTGAGGCGGGGATTAGCATTGTTTAATGGGAAGTAACCCCAATCGTACATATACAGAGCATTTGCAGACTTAGGCTGCATCCTCTGCATTCAGCTGTGTTTTCTCTGTAAGTAATTAACCATTCCATTTGTAAATCCTAAAAACAGATTAGTTGGTAAATCAGCTTTACTCGGATGGCGAAGGAGTGACAGGGACAATCCCATCAGTTCCTCTTGTTTTCTCCTCAATCTGTCTTCTGTCCCCTCCACCCTTCCCCCCCTTTTGTTTTTTTAGCCGTTATTCTTCACTATCTCGCCCTCGCAAACGTTCCTCTTTTCTATTCCTGCTTTTCAATTCCTACTTCTTCCCCCTGTCGGCACTTTGACTTGTTCAAACTCCAGTGTGTAGTGACGTCTTTCTCTGACTGCAGGGGTTGGTTCTCCGATGCTTCTGCTCCTCACCTCCCCTGCTGCTCTGGTTCTAACATCCACAGGATGTTTACACCGTGACAATTTCTCTGTGTTGTCAAGGCCACGCCAGCATGTACACCTTCACAGTCCTCCCTGGCTTCTCCGGCCATGCCTTTCTCTGCTTTTTCTCAATTTGGGGCTGTCAAGGAACAGAGGAGGAGTCTTCCCCCTCCTCCGCTTCTCTATCTCCTCCTCCTCCTCCTCCTCCTCCTCCTCCTCCTCCAGCCTGCTTCCTGTGTCCAGCCGTGTTTTCGTTACGCGCTCGTTTGTGCGCGTTTGAACCAATCCCGCATCTGTGAGGGCTGACAGCTGAATTCCACCGGGAGAGAGCGTGAGAAGGAGGGAAGATGTGTGAGAGGGAAAGAGCGCAAGGAGCGGGAGGAGGGAGAAAGAAAGAGGGGAGAGGAGGGAAGAGAAAGTAGCAGAACGTTGGGAGGAGGGAAGGAGAAGACAGCAGCGAGTCCAGGAGAAGGAGGGAGGGAGGGTTGTTTATTGGTAATACGTCGGACAGAGAACAAGCGAGCGTCAGAGAGAGAGAGAGAGAGGGGGATCGGACTTGTACATATTTCATGGGACAGGATTTCATGACTGTGTTAGTGCAGAATGTGAAGCACGCTGAGGAGAGCGGGAGAACGTTATCCGCAGCTCCTTCCTGCCACACTCCGTGAAGAACAGAAATGCTATTGTACAAGCAGCACTGTGAGTATGTGTTGGACTGTGTGTGTGTGTGTGTGTGTGTGAGAGAGAGATATATAGAGAGAGGAGCTAAGAAGATAAAGCCAGGGTGAGATTGGCAATGTGAGTGCACTTTTTTGAAGGGTGTCATGCGGATCTGTAGGGTGCTCGTTACCAGTTGACGCACTCACACTCTTACAGACACACACACACACACACACACACACACACGGTTTGAGCCAGATGGTGTCTGTTTTGATTTGTTTAGGATGTACTGGAGGGCTTGCAGAGCGCCGAGCCGATGGCAGAGAGGTTGAAAGGCCAACTTAACGACCTGGTGCGGTACTCCGGGGACCTGGGCTCACAATCCGACCGGGTCACCGCGCTTATCAAACAGCACAACAGGTGAGCTGAATCTTTCTGCTTTAGGAGACAGCGTGTGGCGGAAAATACTTTTGGTGTCTGTTTGAAATCAAGCTAGGTTCCGTTTGCTTAGGCTAATACATCATATTCTAATCCCTGGACTTTCAACAGATTTATATCACGGTGAAATTATTTTACCACTTTGTGGTTACAACAATTCTGATCAAGCTGTCAATTTTGTAACTATATATATATAATAGTATATTTCAGCTTTGCATAATCCAATGTTGGTTAGATCATTTTAATGATTTTTGCATGTTCTGTATTCTAATAACGGACAATGAATACATCTTTAATAACATTGTGATTTTTGAGCCCGTTATATTCATAAATGGGAAAGTGTCTTGCATACACAAAACACACACCATGCGTAAATATGCACATTTTTTCCATAATACAGGACCATAACCAAAGTAGAAGAACTGCGGCCTTCATATGTTCGAAATGTCAGGAGCAGTTTCACTAGCTTATTTGTGTCAGAGGCATGTGTTTGTGTGTGTGTGGCCATTGTTGTTGTGACATGTGCCAAACGAGGTCTTAGGGTGACAGAGAGCACCAGAGCCACGAGTTGCTATGCAACGTTTAACTACCTTCCCTTCACTTCGGCTTGGTCACTGTCTTTCTCAAGTTCCTTTTTATGCAATACTAAGTGTGATTTGAGGGAAATCAGATGCATTTGGATGGTATATTTCCCTGTGCTCTAATTGCCTGCTTCTGAGCCCATAAGTGACCCTCTGTTCATTTAGTGCTCGATTGCGTACGTGCGATGCCTTTTCAAAACAACAACCGTGCGTTTAAAGAGAACGTGCGTTCATAAAACCATACACACGTATGAACATCTACTGTAACACTAATGATCTACCTAATTTGCATGGATGGCGTGTGGACTTTAGTAGATAATGCCTGAGAGTGAGGGCACTGGGTGTAGGGCATTGTGACTAACATCTACTGGCTGACAACCTGAGGGAGGTCGGCTCTTTGGCGGGTAATTGGCTTTGGCTGCTGATTTGCAAAAACAGCACCCTTCCTCATTCACTGGGCTTTTTAAGCTGTAATAAACTTGGCCTTCATGCTCTTTGCACCTGTCCTGCATTTAGCACTGTGGAAAAAAAGAGCAAGGAGTGAGACAGAGTAAAAAAATTAGAGTCAAAGAGAGATGAAGAAAAGGTAGTTACTCCCCCATCCTTTTAGCAGCACATAACAGATTGTGTCTGGCACAGCAGAAAAAAAAGTGCCTCCACCACTCTCATGCCATCCCGACTGTACTACCCTTTCATGCTCTCATCGCATCATTTAAACTCAAGGGTGTTTGTGTGCGTTAAAGTGTGCGTGGATGAAAGGTTGTGTGTGCCTTTGCCTGTTTTTTTCATGCCTCCCTTTGGACACCAACCCTTACTCAAGCAGCTGCGCACCTTGTTTCCATGCCGTAATCCTTTCCGTCCCTCACTCACCTCCTTTACCCACTGCCCGATATGTGTGACTCCCAATGGCTCTTTTCCTTTGTTGTTCTTAGTCATCCTCATTTGTGTTCTGTGGTTATTATGATTTTGCATACAAAGTAAGTAAATATTGTCTATGCAATTTAAGGTTCACACTTTGCTCGAGGTATGAAGAATGGGATTATATCTCACAAGCTAATTACACAGACCAGTATTCCTAGATCGCAGACGAGGAGGAAAAAAAAGGATGTTAGAGTTGAGGTCATGCATGTTTGACTTTTACAGAGGAACCAAGGATTAGTGTCCCATCACAGACCTGCATTTAATGTATGCCAATCGTTCACTAACCTTGACCATACTGTAGTTGCCATGTGCACAAAGGGTAATGAGGGAGAATAAACACTGGCACTGGACATAGAGAGGTTCTGTCGTTGAACTTAAATTCAGATTTGGCACAATTCTGCCAATAAACGATTGACCTCAAAATGTAGCCGTTGAAGTGACGTCCTTCCCTGTTAATTTCTTCTTCTGTAGATTCTGATGACTAAATGAGGCACACAAAGAATTCTCAGCATTTTATTAGTCTGTGCTGATACAATACAGTTTACTGAGATGTCCAATTATCCCTTTGATATGTGCCCCACCGCTGTAACTTCTCCCTATCCCTGTCATATTCTTTCATTCTCACCCTTTTTCTTACAGCATCAATCTGTCAACCCTTGTTCTCTCCAGCTTGTCGCCCCTGTGAACTCTTACCCCACTCATATGTGTCCTCTCAGCCCCCTCCTAACCCTAACCCTCTACCACCATCCCCCACTCCCCCTCTTTGCCCCAGTGATCATTACTTCCACTTCACCCACTTTGCCATTTCTCCACCTGCCCGCTTCTCACTCGTGTCCCAAGCGTCTCTTTCTCCTTGCGCATCATGTGAAGGCAGCATTTACAGTATCTGAGCATCTGCACACGCATCCTCTTTGTTTTGATCAGCACATGGACACTCTCCTCTGGTTGTAACTGTCTGTCTTCGTTAATTTCACCCGCGACGCAAAATTCTCTTTTGCCCAACACAGCCTGAGTCTTCGTGCATCCAGGGAGTGTCAAAATAAGGAGCGCTTGCTGGAGCAGAAGTTCCGTGCAGCCTTGCGAGACTTTCAGCAGTGGTTGATCAATGCCAAAATCAGCACAGCCAAATGCTTTGATGTGCCACAGAGTGTCGCCGAGGCCGTCACCGCTCTGCAGAGGATTCAAGTAAGATAACTTATTTTTCTGTTCAATTCTTACCGTGTCCTTAAAACATTGGTGACATAAACTTGTGGTCTTGTGCCATCCTCACCATGCTGTTTTTGCACTCGCACTGTTGTTCAGCGTTTTCAGCTATTGCTGCTTACTTACCAAGTTGTGATTATTTGTTCTGCTGCTGAAGGCATGAAGTGCACCACCCCAGGGCAGACCCACCAAGCAAATAAACAGACTGAACCACATTGTGTTATGTTATTCAGAAATAGAGAGTAGTAGAACTGATATTTATTTGAATGTCACTGAATATAACTTTCATTTCAGCCTTTTGAGAGATACCTACATTTTTAATAACTTTGGTGGGGGGAATAGGGACTAATACTCATGTATACTGCCTTGTCTGATCGGCATACAAAATGGCCACATAGTCGCTATTTCTAATTAAGCAGCTGCAGTGAGGCAGAAATAATTTCACAGCAAGTAGCTGCTGATGGTGGAGTTACATGTAAGGAATGGCCATTTATTCACTTCCAATACTGGAAATAATCAGCCTGTTTAAGGAAATTAAGTCAACCTTCTTCTTGTAATAAAATTAAAACATTTCTTTCCACCTTTGGACGGCCCCTGATGCCTGCCAGGGCTATTTTGTATCTATTTGCATGAACCGGGCAGGCTGGTCAACGATGGTTTACACAAAGGAATAGTTGAAAGTGAAAATAGAGTTGAAGAATCTATCCACTTTCAATTGGATATTACTCCAGGGGATTCCTGTATTGACATGCCGACTGTTGAGTATCCTCCGGTGGGCCCGTTGGAGTGACGCATAGCCAAGAGGGATAGCAGAAAGGCTCCATGCCACTCTCGTCAAAAATCTAAAATATCTGCGTCAAAAAGCATAACCAATAAAGAACTACAATACCATTACTGCTTTGAACTGATAGTAAAATGATAATTCTGGTCTCACTCAGGTTTTCAAAGAGTGTCAAATGAAGATTGCGTTCCTTGGAGACATCATTTTTAATCTTTTCAGTGCTCCGTCAGAAGTTTTCTGATAGCCTTGAGGATGAGCGTGAATGTCATAGAGTAGATGGCGGTGAAGAAGAGAGGAAACGCATGTTTTATTTATTATTGACTTGGTGAGGAATGTGGAACAATGTTTCCACACGGCTGACCTCCAGGAGGGCCAGGGTGGGAGGGGCGGGGGCATCCATTGTGTCATGCTTAATTGGTGGTATAGTGTAACGTTGGCAGGGAGAGAGTGGTGGTAAGGGTGGAGAAAAAGAAACCGTGGATGAACTGAGAGAAAATACAGAGACGCAGAGATGAAGAAAGACTTCCTATGATGGTGTGTGGTTGTACTGCACCGTGTGTGTGTGTGTGTGTGTGTGTGTGTTTTGAGGGGCTGAAGCAGTAGTGTGTGTAAGTGATGTGCTGACTGCACAGATGGTGGAGTGGTCCCCGCTGCGCTACTGTCATCGACTCAGCTTTGAGGATGGGAGGGTGCGGGTGGGTGTGTGTACATTTTAATGCGAGCTATGTAAAAAAAACACACACACATTTCAGCCTCCCTGTACTGTCCTTATCTATGATTGCCTCCCTGGGTCAAGCCATTCCTTCTGCCCACTCATATGGAATTAGCAATGGCTCGCGCTAATTACTGCTTTTTGACAGTGTACGGTGAGATCCGGGGACTAGTTTGCTATGTAAAGAATGGCCGTACCGACTTACCCATCAGCCATTGCATGAGAAGTGGAATACATGAGAAGTTTAGGATTGTCATTCAGTCAATTTACCCCCCCCTCTCCTTTTACTTTCACACCCTCCTCCCTTTGTGTGTGTTAAATAGTCACAGTTCCTTTGTCTTTGTCTGTGTAATCCCGTAGGAGTTCTTGAGTGACAGGGAGCACGGCCAGGCCAGGCTGAGTACAGTAGGAGCCAGTGGGGAGCTGCTCATGGCTGTGATGTCCAAAGACAGAATGGAGGGAATCAAGGGCAAGGTGGCAAACGCCAGAGAAGACTGGAAGAGCCTGATGAATAATCTGCAGATGAGGGAGGAGGCTCTCAAGGTTGGTTCATATTCACTTTTGTGTGGATGCGTTGCCCACAAAATTGTCAATCTGGATTTCAGAGGGGATGGGTGTTAAATGCAGTTTAACTGTAGGGATTGGAGGTGAAAATGAATACAGACTCAGTATCTGTACGTAGTATTTATGTATTTTTTTCTTTTTAACAGTTTACATACCTGATGCCAGACTATGATGAATTTATTTATTCATTTTAATTCCGCTAAGAAAACTAGTTTTTAGTTTGTGCAAATTCTATTTAAATGAGACCATCTCTTTTTGTATTTGGATTAGTTGTGCAAATGTTGTATTTCCAGAACCTGCAGTCCCAGATGACGGAGTTTGAGGCTAGTGCTGAGCCTCTGCAGGACTGGCTGAACAGCACAGAGGTCAGAGTCCAGGAGAGCAGTGCTCGTCTCCACGACCTTCCAGCCAAGAAAAAGGAGCTCACCAAACTACAGGTAGTGTGGAGCCCAAAGTCAAGCTCCTCGTAGACTTACACTAATCTACTCCGTCTGTGTTTCTTTAACCAGTAGATTTTTTGGGAAGGTAGAAGCTGGGAATGTCTTTAAATGTACATCTTCCCTTTTTTCTCACTCACTCAATTTGATTTATTTCCAAACCTCTCCACCTGTCTGTGTAAGTACATTATATGCACATGGCGTGAGTTGCCTTACAGACCTCTGAGAGGGCATATAGGAATGATCTAAAATGACTTCACTCCAAAAATAATACAAAGTTTGCTCAAATAATGGTAAAAACATGTTTCCACCATCCACATTCAAAGCTCTCTTGAAATTGACTAACTCTTTTTAATTACAGTGGTTATACATGCTGTCCTGAGTTTTTACAGTGTTTTAAAAGCCACTCCTCAAGCAATATGTTTTCCCAATGTAGGATTTTTTGTTTAATTGCATTAGGTCATGCTGAGAGTGTGCCTTTTACAGTTCTCTCCTCAGCTATTATCCTTGACACACGTCTCTTTTCTTCTCCTAACAAAAGTAAGCCCCATCATTACAACATAAATTGAATATTAAGTAGATTTTCCAAGGACACTTAGTAGTTGTAGCTCTCCATCAGATATGCATCCCTAAAGCACAATCTAAAATCAGCTGGGAAAGGAGAAGGAACTAATTACATTTGTCGAGCACCAACGCATCAAAATAGAGCGGCGTCTTAATAGGCAGCGACACAATCGTCGGAGGAAAAGTCCAGAAATCTAATTAATTCTCCTTCTGTCACAGCTGAAGCGCTGCTTGGCTAAAAGGCGCCTTTCAAGATGTGATAACAGTCTCCGCCATGTCTGGCTGAGACAAAAAAGAAGGAGAGCCACTGAGCGTTAAAAAGATAAAACTGACAATAGAGAAGAAATATATCAAGCCCATCTCAAAGCTCTGCCCTTATCGTTGTTGCTATTTTTGTATTTACTCAGTCAGCCAACTATAGCTCCCCTCCTCGCTGCCTTTTGTCTGGCCCTGCAAGCAATTACATTTCTTCCCCCAGCACCTGAAGTACAATGCAATACACGCAGGCTTTAGTATCTAAAGCTGTGTTAGCAAAATCCTCCTTACCTTTTTCCATGTATACATACACCCCTACATCGCACTTTTTTGTCAAGCATTTCTATTTAAAAAAACAGCAGAAATACTGATTGTTTTTCCATGCTGGTTTTCCCTCTGTCTTTATTCATGTATTTTCATGTGTTGTCCTGTCGGTTCCTGTGACATATTAATTCAACTTTCTGCCCCACATCTCCCTTTTCTGTCATCGCTGTCTTGTTTTTTTTGTCTTTCTATTTTCCAAATGGCTAAAAATATAATGCTTACATGCAACCGTCCTCTCCGATGTACTTCATGTCTTCTCCTGCCCACCCGGCCTATCCCTAATCCTGTTGCTCCTTCATCTTAATTTCTCCATCTCGTCCCCATCCTGCTCCATACTGGTCCAGTGTGTACTGGAGGAGAAGGCCAGTCGGGAGGCAGAATTGGGCAAACTGAAGGAAAGAGCTCATCGTCTCTGGGAGGGACAAGCAGCCGGCAAGGGCTTTGTCCACCGTGTATCCCAGCTGTCCGCCCAGTACCTAGCCCTCAGCAACTTAACAAAGGTAACACAGCCCCACCCAGAACCCCCCTTCTCGTGCCTTTATTCTTTCTGTGCTTCTGTCGAAAAGCTGCTGCAGCGTGCATGTGCCTTGCTTGATTCATGTGCGGTGTGAGAATGGTGTCCAGCCGTGTTGTTTATTTGTCATGGTTGCTGCAATCAGATTTTTTCTTTTAAAAGATTGCGTCCAAGAAAGTGCAGCTACTCACAGTAATTTACCTGAGCAGAATAATCTATCTTTTACCTCCCAAAAAGGCCACGCCGCTGCACTCTCATCAACAAAACAAAAGGCCCTGGCCGTGGCGCTTTCCTCTCATCCGCCGAAGCCCATTTAAAATGCCAGAGCAGAAATGTGCCAGTGCCAAATAACCTAACCTTTTTTTAAGCTCTCATTAGATTGGTAACACTCTTATGATTAATTTGATACGGTGTAGAGCACAACATTGCTCTGACCACAAAGCACCATCCACTTCCCGCAGGACAATGAGAATGCCCGGGGATGATGAAGAGACGTATTCACTTTGTATTTTTAGGCCCTCCTCCCTGCTAGACATGGAAACAGGAATGAAATCATTTAAAATTGCCACTTGTAGATAGTTATTGCAGCTCTGCCTCCACTCTGAAAGGGATTACTGCAAAAAATGACATTGCGTTGGTACTTTCATGTGGGGTAGAATGGTCTCTGGACATGTCTGCAAAGAAAAACAAGACTGTGATTTCATATGCAAACATATGAAGAGGTTGTTCTTGTGCACCGATTGTGTTTAACTCACTGCCAACCTGTTTCTCAAAACCATTATGAGGGGAGAATGCTAACAGTGGTGCTCTCTGATCTCTAAAGGACAAGGCCTCCAGGATAGAGCGTATTGTGGGAGAGCACCGCCTCTTCTCTCAGGACCTTAAAGAGCTCCAGGATTGGGTGTGTGAAGCCCAGAGCGTCCTTAAAACATGCATCTCCACCACCACTGACAAGGGTGTGTTAGAAGATCGAATGCTACAGCTGGAAGTAAGTTTGGGAAAAGACGACTATGGCACCCCATAAACTAACTTTAATTTATTAATTTAATTTATTAGAGATTTGGCTATTGGTTGATTTTACTTGCTTCTCCAGCAACACTTTCCATCAATTCATCCTGACTTTTTTTAGTCAAAGAGAACTAGAATTATCTCAGAATTAAGAAAACCAGACCTGTAACCCAAATTACAAATAATGTTTAGACTTGGGAGGATTATTTTAAGCGTGTCCCTTCACTTCTGTCTGTAGGCCTTACTGGCTGCTCGTCAGGAGAGGGAGATCCAGCTCAAGATGCTTCTGACGCGGGGGGAAGCGGTCCAGAGGAACACTTCGGCTGAGGGAGTCCCAGTAATTCGCAAACAGATCCAGGACCTCAAAGACTCATGGGACTCTTTGCTCTCTGCCTCCATTCAGTGTAAAAGGTGGTGATCATGAACCAATCAATCAGTCTGTCAATTGATAAATGGGACTGGGAAGCGTCTAGTCTAACGTGATGGATGTCAGTTGGTTGAAAGGTTACAGGGACGATTAAATTTAAATGTATGTGTGCATTGCCTGTGTGCGTAGTTGCGAAACGTCTGTTCACTGTGTTAACATTATAATTCCGGTGTAACAGCCAGATGGAGGGCGCGTTGTCTCAATGGACCAGCTATCAGGAGGACGTGAGTCAGTTTGTGATGTGGATGGACCGGGTGGAGGAGACACTCAGCTGTTCAGACAGACAGTACTCTGAGATGAGAGACAAGACTGCTAACCTGGGAAAGACCAAGGTAGCACATCTCATTACTAATGTCCAGGCTTAAAAAGACAGAATATGTTTTGTAAACGTTTTTTTTACTTAAACCGTATTAAACATACATTAAGTATTGAAATGTGCAACCCTATTGCCTGTTTTTCTTTCTATTTTTGGAAAAACCTTTCCACTATTTTTAGAGAACAGCTGTTTTTCCATTTAAAAATATCTCTTTTTTTAATTTAATTTATACACATGCAGTCCAATACATTCATACCCCACCGTCTCCCAGCAGCGTGAGATGTACTTCACCCAGTGCGTGCGTGTGTTTCATTCCAGCTTCTCTACGAGGAAGTACTGAGTCACAGCAGTCCTCTGGGAACCATCGCCACAAAGGGGTCCAATATGGCAGAACACTACACTACCCAGCAGGAGGTGCAGCAGCTGCAGTGTAGATACAACGCCCTTAAAGAAAAGACCAAGGTACTTTGAGTGCACGCAACATACGGTGTAACTTTTTACTGTAGTAAATTATTTTTAAATTGTATTTATAGCTTCGGAGTATCCTACAGTACCCTAACTTTTGTTCCTCAGAAATCATGTTAACATGTAGTTAAATTGTTCAATTTCAATCATTTGAAGTCCGTAGTCGGGCTTTTAGGTCTTGTGTATTGAATGAATACATGCCCCTTCTTTCCAGTAAAGTCTAAATTGTTGTTTACAGAATGCGGTCAGCAAGGCCAAAGGCCTAGTGCTGGTCCATCAGGAATATCAAAGGGGGTTGCATGTGTTTGAGGACTGGCTGGAGCAGGAACAGGCCACTCTGGCTTCCTTGTCCCATCCAGATGGAAACGTGGATACACTCGAGAAAACACTGCAACAGCTACAGGTACTGATACCGAGGAGTATTTTGTGTTATTTAAATGTCAAAAACAGAGTGTTCCTAGTATAGTACATCTGTTCTTCCCTCATTATTTCCCTTACAGCTCCTGCAAGAATCCTGCTCAAATGGCCAGTCTTTGCTCTCCTCTGTGCTGAACGGCCGAGAGAGAGTAATCCCCTGGGGTATACCTCAGATCGAAGACAGAGTGCTGGACACTGCTCAGCAGGAGTGGGGGGCCTACCAGGGCCGTCTGGAGGAGACTCAGACTCAGCTGAGGACCACACTGACCAGACTGAGGCAGATGGGCCAGAGGTTCCTGAGCCTCGCACAGTGGCTGGAGGAGATGGAGAAGGCGGCAAATATCAGAGGTCACCGACGGTCGGACAGAGGCACCAAAGAGACACAGCTGAAGAAACTCAAGGTCAGAGAAAAGAAGACGTGGAATGTAATATCTTGTTCAAGCGTCAGTGGTTTAAATCTCATATAGAAGATGGGTCCTGTTAAATAAACAGCAAAGAACTGTTACTGCATCCAAAACAACCATTTTTCATACACATACTGAATTATCTAGTCTTTCTTTAGACATTATCCCCTCCTGTAATATTTTCACAATATATTATTTTCTCTTTGCCGGTTATCTAATAACACCGGATCATACTGTACATCAACAGTTACTTTAACTAAATATTTTTGGACCACAAGGGGATACTAATTTTAGGCCATTAATAGGAAAGAACTACTATCATCCTTCGAAAGAGTCCTTTTAATTCAAACTAATCAAAACAGAGAAATATCTAAGCCAAAAAGGTGTCTTTGAAAAAATAAGATATGAATCATTCCAGGGCCTTGCAATAAATCACAATCCCCACTTTTACATACACTCCACTCACATTATGCATTTGAAAGAAACAAGCAGGGGACAGAATATTTCCCTGCAAGGTCACCTGCTGTTTGAGCAGGTTTCCTGCCAGTGTCAAAATGTTCTGACAGTCAAAGTGCTCTTCCTCCTGCATTTAAAGAGCGGCACACATACACACACACACACACAACCTGTGGCCCCATATGTTGTTTGTGAGCTGCTATTTCATCTCTCTCCTTTCCCCACTGGTTGTCCTTTAATTTAATTAAACAACACAATTTGATATTGAATTATTCATAGCTCTAGCATGTTGCTCATTATACATTTCTACGTGTCCCTTGTGAACAGGGGTGTCTTGAGGCAGTGCTTGCACGGCAGGGAGAAGTCGATGGCCTTTCCTCTCTGGCCCAGCAGGTTCTGGAGGAAACCTACATCAGCAGTCGTGTCAGCGTCACTGCCACCCAGCTCACTGCCCGCTACCATTCCCTGCTGCTCAACATACAGGTTAGGCTGTCTCCGTTGTATGCTGCTCAATGATGCATACGTCATATGTTTTTCAATTTGACAGAAGCCTAACTTTAGTATGATGTCAATGCTCAGATATATTGGGGTTAAAAAGCCTATGCTGGTCAGGGAGTCTGCACACATACACAACACTTAATTTCCGGTCCGGCTGAACATTTAGCTGGAAGGTAGCTGGCTACCTGTCATTGAGAGAAACAAAAGGCCTTAATGGGCTCGATATTGGTTTAATCGTAAGTCTCAATTATAGATAAGGAAAACTTAAAGCTGTGTATATTGCCGTTAGGGTCTCTTCCCTCAGGGGGCTTCTCACACATGCTTATCTCTCACCATAGAAATTGCTCCAGTGAGAGTTTGGACTTTGTTTCTGTAACACCCCATTGAAGTTGCTCTGAGACTGATGCCTGTGAGTCTAGCCTATGTTGCTCTGTATACTCCCATCCCGCCTCTCTATTTGTCTGAGGGGCGGACTAAAGCAAAATCAATGGGGGTCCTCTGGCCTGAGGCTAAGGCCATAATTAAACGCTACAGAAGGCAATCTTACACTTGGCAGCAGCAGTGGCGAAGCTTTGCCTGTGCTACATTGATTTTTTTTACACCTCCACTAACACGTGAGTTTTTGCGCGCGTGTCTCCACCACACTACTCTCCCTCTGTTATACATGCACACACCTTCCTTCCTCTCTCAAAATTGACTAAAGTATGCACATACTTACACTGACGCCGGTACATACATATGCAGGCCCATGGCAACCCACTCATGCCAAGGATGCCTGTAATTACACAGTGTGAAGAGGGGGCCGTATGAGCTTGAAGTGGGAAGCTGTTACCTCAGTCTCGTCGGAAAAAGGTGTGCACTCAGCAATATCTGCTAATTGGCGCGTCTTGCAACACCACAGGATTTGCAAGTTGAGTGAATAACGTGTCGAACTTGTGAGAAACCCCCTGCTCATCCTGATGGTGCTATCGACTCAAAATCTCCGTCAAGTGGACAATTCTTCAAAAACGTAAAGACCCCTCTCCACCTTGTGGTGAGGCTATTGATGTTCTGCAGATGAATGGGGCGGAGAGGAGGGGGGTATTTTTGATGGTTGATCAGAGAGTTTTTGGTCCTGAGTGGCCGAGGTAAGACAGCTGAGGCCCATCTCACAGCTTAAAAGAAAGCAATACAGTTTCCTAAATAAAGTCTGAGAGCGAGTCTTCAGTTCTAACCTTACAAACAGCAAAAGGGGAACAGCCATTTTAAGTGAGCATTACTCACCTTTAAGAAAGAAAGAAAACCCCAAAACAACTAAATGTTTTCCAGGTATATCATTAGGTATATGATTACGTTTTTTTGTAGGTATTGAAAGAATGAAGCAATCCGTACATTCGTTTAAAAACAATGTTTTGCGATCATTATTTAAAATGTGTTCAACTCCATTTTGACCTCATCCAATGTTTTTTCCAGGACACCATTAAGCAGCTTCAGGAGGAGCTGAAGAGCATCGAAGAGGCTGAGAATCTTTGCGTGTCCTTCACTGATTGGTTCAGCTCCACTCAGAAGAACTTCACAGCGTTGACTGACACTTCTGAACCCCTCGACCGACCCGCCATGGAGAAGAAGATTAAAAAACTAGAGGTATCGATTCATTTACTAAAATCTGTACTGTACTTGTGTGGTGATATGTTTTCTCAGCCAAAGCTCTGAACCTCAATTTGTATGCATTTAGATGCGTGTGTGGCACCAATACACTTCCATGAACAAGTTACAATAAATCTGCTCAGATGTTTTATTATCATTGTAAACTGATGAGTTAGCGAGATACCTGCCACGTAACCCAAAAACCTTTTAGAAACATCAACTGTTTTCAGAATTCTTTGGCAGCTTCGATATGATCGCCAAGTGAAAAGTTTTTAAAACGTTCAGTGTTTCTTTAGATGTAGGTGTAGAAATTCACTGGGGGAAAAATGTAGAAATTTGTCTTTGTGTTTTTATTTTTTTAATGGACATTGGAGGAAATGATCTCTGCTCAAACATGTCCAGAGCGCAGTGAAGAGAAAAGCACCAGCAGCCTTTGCTTTGCTCAGTCCATATCGAGTGTGTAGAGGACTGGATGAGTGTGCGTGTGTATCGATCCGCTCTTTATGAAGACAAAGTGGGGGCCGCTTTAGAGGAAGCATGGACGCAGGGAGAGACCTCCCACTGTGAAGTAGAGGATGAAGAAGCGCCGGTGTCAGGAGCCTGCTGGCACAGACACTGTAATTGATGCAGTGCTCTTACCGCTTCACATCACCTCACACACACAAGCATTCACACACATTTCTCTCCTCTTACACTCATTTCATATAACGAGATAACGAGGGTATTAACAAGCTGCCGCAAACCTTCTAATCAATGATTCCTCTCTGGTTTCACACATTTTTCCAATGCATATCTTTAGTTATCACTACATCACATGTCTCTTTGTTGTTACAGCCCCCCCCCCCCCCCCCGGCCCACAAACACAAAAATGTTCCGGAACACCTTTATAGACACACACATTCACAATTCATCATCTGGTGTGGGCTTTGCAGTAATCCCTGTCTTGGATCAATGCTCTGTCTCTGCATCAGGACCGAAGACATGCTGTCACCACATGAGTCCTTCCAGCTCTGCGGATAATACCCGACTGGTCCCTCACTTACTCGTACTCCTGTAGTGAAATCTACAGGGCTTTTCCGTGGGGTGTGATGATTATGCAATGACACAAAGACCAGTAGTCAATAGCCATGTCAAGGGCCATTAGTTGTATGTAGACTTCAGTTCTCTAGACTGAACTGTCTACTGAATCAAAGTATTAGTACAACTCAATGAGGTTTCCAGTTTCCTGTCAGTGGCTAGATTGTGAGATTAAACTCTGTAAGACTACTGAAATAGTATTTTGTCCTTGCTGAAATAATTACATGCCGGAGTGAAATATGAGTATTTTTTCATTTATAAATGACTGAATTTGAATGATCATTCAAAGGTTTGGATGGTCTTGAATATGAAATGCACAATTGGGACCAATTCAGGAATGAAAGGCTAATCTTGCAAGTCTTTATTTGACTCGTTGCCAGGTGTGCGAAGGCAGCAGATGTTTAAATATGAAGTGGAGGTGGTGAGTCAGACAGTACATGACAAGATATAATAAGAAAGCGTCAGCTAAATGACATGTAATGTAATGTAATGTAAAGACATTAGACAAGTGGCAAGTACACGTCTCACATGTCAAACCATACGGAATTGTACAAAATTGAGGTATATTGAGTGTCACCGTCAAAGGTCTGCAGATAGGCACATTTGTGACTGGAATGAATGATCATTACAGAAGTGTCATGTTAAGCCGCAAAGATGTACGTGCAGACACAGGTCTCGTTATGTTATTAGCTGGAGGACTGGGGTTGTTGCAGGTTGAAGCTTCTCTCCACTCAAACAATAACAGACCGATGATGAAAGCTAGATGGCGTCCCATCGAGTGGACGTCTGTGTGTTGCGTGTTGTGGTTGCCCTGGAAACCCCTGCAGCTACGGCTGTCTGTTGAGGGTCTATATAATTGGGTCCTCCTTTTCATATTATTCACTGTGGTTTCACCACTACATGACTTCCAAGTCTTCTCCACATGTCACCACGTCGGTGTCAGCCTACCTGATGGGTTCAAAGACTGTCAAACACAATGCCAGGCTGGTCTGGATGACTGAGGCTGCACTGGAAGAAATCAGTGATCCCGAATCATTAAAACTATGACCTCTATGACCTCTATTTCCTCGTCCCTGAGCAACTTTTGTGCAAAGTACCTCGTTAAGTATAAAGTAATGGTGATAAAATTGAAGCAGCTTCCTTGCTGAGTTGTATTTCTGCTCCCTCTTTCCCCTAGGCTCTCCAGTCCGAGCTCCAACATGGTCACTGTTTGCTGAAATCACTGAGGGAGCGCGCAGAGCGGGCAGCAGGCTTCCTGGACGATGCTAGAGCTGAGATTTTAGGAGAGGAGGTAGAGGCTCGTCTTGCCGAGCTGGAGGAGCTCGCAGGTGGGCTGAGGCAGGAGCACAGCTTTCTACAGCGGGCATTACTGATGGCTAAGGAGTTTCAGGACCGATATAAGGCTCAAGCCCAGTGGCTGGTGGAAACCAGGGCACTGCTCAAATCTCCTCTGGAGCCCAAGGCTGAACTATACCAACGGAGAGCACTGCTGGCTAAGTACAAGGTATGGCAGCAACAATGTAATTTCTAAAAATAAAAAATAAACTGTTGAAATTTAAATCACATTTACAATAAGTGCATTTGCACTAGTGGTTCCAAATGGCAGCAAGACCGTGGTGATTATTATTATTATTTGCTTAAGGTACCACACAAGCGTCCTTGCTTGTCCTCCAATTTGTAGTCCATTAACTACAAAATGGAATTTACTTTCGACAACTGTTTAGCATTTTCCTGAGCAGATTGTCGCTTTTCATCAGGATGTGTGCTTGTAAAAAGTGACAGTATAGTTGCCAAAAACCTTAGCTTTTGCACAATGATCTAATACGATAATAGTAACTCCACAAAATTCAAGTACCATTGCTGAGAATCGTCGTTATTCAATACAAGATGAAACTAAGGATACATATTGAATGTGTCCCCAGGCTCTGCTGCAGATGGTTCAGTCCCACGATGAATCCATCAGGTCAGTGGTGGAGAAAGGAGACGCTCTGCTGGCCTCTGTGCACTACCCCTCCATCAGAGAGAAAATGAACAGGATGCAAAGGGACTACACTGAACTCTGTCACACTGCTACGGTGATTAACATGTGCTCATATGACATACGTTTTGATCGACAGAGGGAGAAAATGATTATTGCGCTTTCATGCCAGTAGACAGATGAGTCGAGGCAAACAAAACTATAGAACATGTAGTTCTGTCTCGGGAAGGTGGTTCAAAGGGTTTGTTTCATTGCTTTTCTAATCACTATGATTTCTCTGTGTGTATACTCACATTTTGTGAATGATGCTCTCCAGGCTCACGTGGAGAATCTGGAAGGCCAGGTGAAGGAACAGGAAGCTTACCACAACGAACTCCAAGAAGTGGAGCGCTGGCTGCTCCAGATGTCCAGCAGGATGGTGACTCCTGATCCCGCTGTGGGTGGCAGCCTGGAGGCAGCCACTCAACAGCTGTCCAGGCACAAGGTGACTAATCACATCTCTGGATCCTTCACCGTTGTTTGCAGAGTTTGTAGCATATAATAGAGCTTGAGAAATAACCGCAGGTTGTTGCAAAATTACTGAAGATTTGCTTCACCTACTGCAATGTTTTTTATTTTGTTCAAGCATTACTATGACCTAGAGAGTTTAAATCGTACAATATTTGTATTGATAAATGTATTAATTATCAGTTCTTATGATGTAAATAATGTTATTTAATTAACTACTTGCTGATGTTATGATTTATTCATCTTTAGTGATATAGAAACATTAGGTACTGTGTTTGTAACCTGAGGGTTTTCTCATCCATGATTTGGAATACAATTTTTATTCCATCTGCGTGCTTGTGTTTGTCTACCTCAAAGCCAAAATATGATTTTAGTTGATTATTTTCGAAGGAGCCCCATTCAATTTCTTCCTCTGTCGGACATAGAATGAATTTGGATAGAATAATACTGTATGTATATTTATTTGAAAATAAAAAGATTCACTTTCTGCAAAAACAAATTCTCTCACAGTTTTCAGTCCAGATGAAGATAACTTGAAGTTAGATAATAACGAGAGTTCTAATTAAATGAGCTACTGTCATTCTAAAATTCACAATAATTCTTTCAATCGTCTTCAAAGCTCATTTATGGAGTCCTGTCTTTTGAGACACCCCGGTTTGACATCAGTCTGCTCTGACCTCCATTGTCATTGACATATTATTCTGCAATATGTCTCCACTGGAGACTCTTTCCTACGTGATCCTACTTTGGTACTTTGTCCACTACAGGCCATCATGGAGGAAATAGCGGGCTTTGAGGATCGCTTGGCAGCCCTGAAGAAGCGAGGAGACCACCTGGTACAAGGCTGCAGTGACCGTGTGCAGAGCAGGCTGAGACAGCAGGTCCAGGCTCACCAGCAAGGCACCAGAGACAGCTACTCGGCCATCTGTAGCACAGCACAGAGAGTGAGTGAGGAGGAGATGGACAGAAAGACAGACAGACAGACAGACAGACAGAGGGATAGAGGGATGGGATGCAGCGGAGGAGGGTGGGATGACGGCTGAGATGTATTATTTATTTAAAGAAATGGTTCTCACATATTCATGGTGGAAGTCATATTAGACTTTCTGCTGCGTTGGATACTCGCACATTCATGTATGTGAACACACATATATCCACGTGCAATTAGTATTCCAACAGCCTAGGCATCCACATCCTTACCCATTCTGACACTTAAACCCATCTCTCAAGACAGCCCTTCCCTGTCAGTGTAGAGGGCACGAGCAATTAAGGCAGCCAAAGTGGAGCCTAACAGCAGCCCCGCTCAGACAGAACACACAAGCCAAAATCACAAACGCAATCTACCCATATTAATCTCTGCATATCCCCTGTCAACTCCACTTTTTCATGACTGAGCCAAAAGTGGTCACACGCCACTATTCAGTAGCTCTGGCGAGCCCTCTAATCCAGGCCCGCTCTGTCATTTTGGCAACCTCTATTCTGTCATCATAGCTCACCTCCCAAGGCACCACCTCCACCAGCACTCACACATCCAATCTGGCATTGTGTGATCCAGCCACACTTTACCACTACGCTGCTGGCTTCTCTACAAATGCGCCTCCAGTGTTACGACGGCTGCCAACTGTGTCCCAGCACAACACAGCTCTAATATCCTGCCTGCCACTTGCCACCACGCCAACCTTCAGGACTTTGCCAAATACGCCGGGCGATCTGCCAATGCATGCCCCCCTTTTATCCCTCTTTCAGGCTCTCATATTAACTCTGTCAATCAGACCTTGCTGTTTTGCGCTCCCCTGCAGGGCGTGGACGCCTCCACATTCAACACCTGTCAAATATTACTCTGCATAAATGCAACTTTCACAAGTTATAGAATGTAATGCCTTCTTGTATTTGGCCGTGCTATACCGGTTTCCTAGCTATGCGTCTAGCCGTTTTTTTTACCTAGTATTACACTGAAATAAATCTGTTTGTGTCTTATAGGTGTATCAGAGTCTGGACCATGAGCTACAGAGACATGTGAGTCTCCAAGACACCCTACTGCAATGCCAGAACTGGCTGACTTCTGCTTCAGAGGAACCAGAGCCTCCTGCCCATCCTCCTCTCAGCCTGGAGGAGGCGCTACAGCAGGTACAGCATTTCTTGCCCTGATTTCTTTTTAACATGTTTGTTTCAAGGCCTGTGTCTGGATTGGGACTGTAATGCGGATGAAGGGATAATGTGATGAGTCAATAAAACTATAGGAGCATGAACAAACTTTTTTTGGGGACAGGTGAAACAGCAACGCGCTCTCCAGGAACAGGCAAGCACTTACCTCCAGCTTGTGTGCTCAACATGTGACTTGTCCGAAGTGAGGGTCAGGGGGACCGCGGCGGCTATTCAGCAGGTCAAGCTGCAGGTTAGTCAGCTTTTACAAGCCTTCTCATTTGTTTACGTTGTTTGACAAAATACTTTTGATTCCATTGTGTGTTTTTTTGTCCAGATTGAGGAGCGCATGCTGCTCTGTGAGGAGGTAGCAGACAGCTGGAGGGACATTGAGGAGCAGAAGGGGGATCTGGAGGCCCAGCTGAGGGAGACAGAGCAGCAACTTCAGAACCTCATCCGAAGACATGCAGAGCTGGAGCCCAAGATTGCACAAAACCAGCTGGACAAGGCACAGGTCCGTGTTTGGTCTGCATGCTTATGAATTATTTTGAGTCACAATGCTGTATTGTTATAAAAATAATAATTGTCATTGCCGTGGCAAACTTTTAGATTGTTTGAAGTAAAAAAAAACATTATCTTTCCAACAGGAATTCCTTCAGCAGATTAGGGAGAGACAGTCCGAGGTGTCCCATTTGACAGACGTCGTTGCTAAGATGACAGACGGACAGGTCTCTCCTGCCCTGGAGGAGATAAGGAGACTGAGGAGAAGCTGGATGGATCTGGGCCAGCGGGCAGAAGACCTGGAGTCTCAGCGGGGGGAGGACATGCAGCGAAGTGGGGAGTACCAGGAGATTGTTGTTGCTGTGGAGGAACTCTTCCACCAAGTATCCAGGGAATGGGACTACCTCGCAAGGTATCTAGTTTTTCTGAAGAGGCTGCAATGTTTTCTTTTCTTGTAGAATTTTAAACATGATGTCCATTTATTTACAAGTGGATGTATTTATGTATCTATTGATATGGTTATACATGAAGTATTTGCCAAATGTGAGCATATTTCCTCTCAGGATACAATTTTTGCATTCACTTTTTTATCTTAATTACCTGATATCTCTAAACTCATGCCTTTGTGTATCTAGGGCTGACACAGAGAGTACTAGTGAGCATCTAGAGGCTCTGAAGAAGCTCTCCAGTGACCTAGAAGAGCAGAGAGCAACTCTGGAAGACCTCAGAGAACAGAGACAAGCTATCCTGCCACGACTCAGCCTGCTAGACAAGGAGCTGATCAAGCAACAGGTGCCATTCAATTTTTATAGTTCTGCTGCTATATCTGATATTTAACTATTGTGCCCAGAGTTACACTGTGTTTTGCCTTTCGCCAGGTTGGTCATCTGGAGCAGCGCTGGGCCCAGCTTGAAACCCTGATTCAACAGAAGATCCAGGACTCCTCACAGACACTGGAGGATCTTGCCCGGGTTGAAACCCAGCTAAAGGATGCCCGGGAGTGGGTGGAGGAGCAGCGGCCTGCCTTCACCTCGGCGCTGAAAACCAGCCCAACCCCCGATATGGCCCAGAGTTTCCTGTTCGACCACCTGAGCGTGTGCGTAGAACTGGAGGCCCGTCAGCAGCTGCTGGGTCAGGCGGTAAGCGAGGCCCAGGCTGTGGCTTCCAGACTGGGGCTGAGTGAGAAGAGATTCTTACAGGAGCTCGTTGAACAAGCCCAGACTGAGGTGGAGGCTCTCGGGGCTCGAGTAGCCCAAAGGAGGAAGTACCTCAGTAAGGTAAACATCTGGATTTTTATATTGGTTTCAAGGAAAATTTAATGATCTCCTATTGGACCTAACTTTTTTCTAAACTGGTTGTCTAGTAAAAACAAGAAACCCGCTGGGTTGAATTAAACTAATAATAATAATAAAATATTCAAGCTATTTGATTAATTATTTCTCTCTAGGCCTTCACGGAGAGGACGCAGTTCCTTCAAGGCCTGGGCAGAGCACTGTCCTGGATACAGCAACAGGAGAGGAGGGCTTTGATAGATGACCACATAGCGCTTCTCCCTGAGGACTTAACCAAACAGGTCGCCGCTTGTCGGGGCGTCCAGTGTGGTTTACGGGCGTACCAGAGAGAGCTGGCATCTCTCTGGGCCCAAGGGCGAGAGATTGAAAGAGATGCCACAGACAAAGAGAGAGCAGAAACTGTGGAGAGGCTTGGAAAACTTCAGGCAGTGTTTGAAACCGCTTTTCACACAACAACCCAGCGTCTCACAGACCTGGAGAAAGCCTTGACCTCAAGGAAGTACTTCCAGGTTGACCTGGAAAAGATCTGCCTCTGGTTGAGACGAGCAGATGCCATCACCTTCCCCGAAATTAATTTCAGCAACATTGACGACAGCTCAGAGTTGCAAACACAACTGTCTAGCTTTCAGAATGTCCTGGAACAAGCTTCTGAGTACGAGAACCTTCTTCTTATCGTCCAAAGAATAGGCCAGGAGATCCTCCCTACTCTGAACGAGATTGACCATTGCTACCTGGATGAGAGGCTCAACGCCTTGCCTCAGCAGTACAACGCCATCTTGGCTCTCGCCAAAGAGAAAAAAGACAGAGTCCAGCAGGTCATCTCGGAGCGGAAAGAATTCAGCACTTTCTTTGATATCACTCGTAATGCACTGGAGGAGCTTCAGGAGAAGTTTGACAATCTGGAGAAGCAGACTATCAATACTAGTGAGGAGGAACTTGTCTGTCGTCTAATTAATGAATACAGAACTATTGAGGAAAGTTTATTCCATGTTAGTCCCGCGGTGAGAGAACTTCATGGCAAAACGGAGGGGTTTCTCAGTTGGGGTCAGCAATTTAGAGCTGCGGAAACACTGCAGCTGGTCAACCTCCACAACTCACTGAAAAAGATTAACGATCAGAAAATTAAACACTTAGATGGTTGCTTGAAACCACTACCTGAACACAAACGAGTGTCAACCAAGTTGGACTCGGAGTTCAAGTCGGCGAAAGAGAAGCTGGTGGGACTTAAGTCAGATAGGGAACAGAGTGCCGTGGATAGAATCACAAATCTCTATTCACTGCTCGAAAGTCTGGATTGCGTAGGCTCTGAAGCCGAAGAATGTAACCGACAAAACAAAGGCCTCGGGCTGAAGTTGGATCCCAAAGCTTTTCAGGAAACTGAACTGCAGCTTGAATCATTGCAGTCTCTACGGTGTGAAGTAAAGCGTTTTATTGATGAAAGTGAAACTGTCACAAAGGACGAAGATTTCGCAGAAGAAACTGAGAAATTGTTGGAATGGCTCAGGACTATCAAGGAGAAATCGGAGGAGCCTTTGAGTCTTTCAGAGGTCAGAATTGAGACGGTTAATGAGGAGGTGCAAAAGCTGAAGGTTGTAGAGGAGGAAGTGAAAAGTAGATTAAGGATAGGAGATGCTTTAGGCACAAGAGAAAAACAAAAGTATTTTAGTAAGAACAAAACGGTTCCAGCCAACATAGAAGAGAAACTACAGGAGCTGGCAAAGCTGGGAGCTGAAGTTCACCGAGGAATTAGCAGAAAACAGGTATGTTTATTTATTATTCAGAAATTACAGTCATGAAGAACTTTTCTCGTCGTTTGATTTTTGTAATCAATACCCTGAACTCATCATTTGTGGCACGAACCTGCTGTATACTAATTTCAGAATTAGTTTCCCAATGTGTGACAACTCCTTTTACTGTACATAATACTACAATTAACCACTAATAAAGTTACTATAACCTAAAGTTTAGCTCTGGATCACATTTAGCCTTGCATTTGTAACTTCAGTTCTTTGAAGAAATTCCTGCAGAGAAAGACGCAAAAACATTGAAAGGTTAATGAAATCACCTTCTGCATATTCTAGCTGGCTGTGGATCAAGCGCTTTCCCTGGTCCAGAGACACCGCTTATCTCTGCAGTCCATGCAGACGTGTCTGGACTCTGCTGCAGCTTTACTCCAGAGGAACAGCTCGGGGGTGGATCTCGAGAACCAGGCAGATTGTGTGTGGGAGGTTGAAGACGTTTCAGCCTGGGAAACAAACTTTACAACCGGTTTAGAGGAGCTCAGCACTTTGGATCCTCTGCTCGAGGATTTTGTGAAGGCAGAAGCGATGGGTGAATTTAGAGAAAAAGTTAAGGCGATGCTGCTGAGAAATACAGAAGTCAAACAGCAACTGGATGCTTACAGACAGATGCTGAAGAGGTGTGTATTACTGTGTATTACTGAGACAAGTAATATATGCACACACAGCTGCTATGTGCAGCCCATTCGATGCATGTTTTAATAATAGACACCCGTCAATGGCAGTCTGTAATTTGTATAATTTTCTCAGTTGCACAGCTCTATGGGCATCCTTCCAGCACGAGAAGGAGATGCTAGTTGAACAGATGAATGATGCAGAGGGAAAGATGGCCATGTTCACAACAGCTAAAGCCATGAGTATCCATCAAGCTGAGGAAAAGTGCCAGAGATATAAGGTACGCTCATGAAACAGAGATTCTGTAAAAAAAAAAGGTCCAGCTAGAGGAATTGTATAACCTGCATGTGTGGGATTTCGCGTCCTGTTGTATTAAATTCAAACATTTGTCATGCAGCAGATGCACATTAATTCAATCAATGGGGTGTTTATTCATTGTTACAGATTTTTGTTTTTTTCCCAGTGTGTGAATGTTTCATTAGACTGCATTAATGCAATAACTCCTATGTCTCTATTGTCTTCTTTTGGCCTTAGTCTCTTGTGGCTCACATCAATCTGCTCGAGTTGCCTCTCAGCGCTTTGAAGGAGAATACGATAGAGTTGGAGCAGATCGCCTCTGAGTCCAGCAAAGCTGTCACCGGACACTCAGTGTCGTCACTGTGGCAACGGTGGACCCGGCTCCGCAGTGTGGCCCGAGCCCAGGAGAGGGCTCTGGAGGACACTGCGAGGGAGTGGAGGACCTTCACTGACAAGGTAAGCGTGTTTATTGCAAGAATGGCGCTTCAATGACACGCGTCTACAGTGTAAAACTAACCAACATTGTGCCGGCGGTCCACAGAAGCTGTTAATGCCCAGAAGACACTTACAGTTGTCAAACATCTGCGAAATGAGACCTGCTCTCACGGATTTAGGTCAACCACAGCGACAACTCAATAGCAGTTGGTGTGCTGTGATGTAACTGCAGGCCTCAGGCCAGGGGGGTTTCCTGCCAAAACCATGTGTCATGAAGCGTTTTCCCGCCTTTTGAGCTATTTCAAATTTGTACACTGTCAGCGCCCCACAATTCCCACAAAGCACTGCTACTGAAAGGAAAATTAGGTCACTTCCTTATTCAGTATATGCCACATTTCCTGTTGTTCAGAAATTCTCTCTGGCTCCATTGTTTGACTGTAGATGATGTCATTCACTGGACTTCTTTGCCTTTGCCTTTATCAGACTATCTTAGAAATATTATCTTGGAAATTGAGTATACATGTATATACTTTTATACATCTCTTTGATTTTATTATTTAGAGTGACCACTTGTTTCTATTTATACCATAATTCATTAAATATATATTTTAAACAGTCTTTTAGCTCAACAGGAGATATTTGAACACAATGTGTTGAATCTCTGTTGTGGATGTCCTTCAGTAGCATGAAAATATTAAAATTATGTCATTCAATTTAATGGAGAGGCTGTGGTCAAACTTAAAGGTGAACACATCAGACTGAAAAAGTTAAGTGGGTTTAGTGTGCATAAATTGTACATCCTTAAGGTCTTTAAGGTCCTTAAGGTGATCCTTAAGGTGACTCAAAGGTCATCAGCTTTTTGTGCTTCAGTCACTGTGTATTCCCTAGTCATGTGCACTCACACTTTTAAAATACACTCATTAAAATACATTCTGAGGCACATTATATCATTGGTACAAGCAATGTAATGTTAACTATTCCCCAGTCTAGAATGTTTTAGTTTTTTTTAATGTATATATATATTATTTAGTTTTTTCCTACACAAGCATTTGCCGATTGAAAAGGTTGAAAATCACACAATGATTACAATAGTGTGCTGAATGTGTTTCATTCCTCGTGACGTTAGCCCTTTTTTTATTTGAACATTTTTTGTAAATATAAAAAAGCTTGTAAAGAGTAAATTGTAAACGCTAAATGGGCTGCATCAACTGAACCTCAATCTTTGCACCTGAACTGTCTTTAGATGGAGAAAGTGCGCTCCGTGTCCCAAGACCTTCACAGTCGTGTCCCGGACAGCACAGTCGAGAGGGCTGCAACCAGGGCGGCGCTCCAGAGCCTCCTGGACTACCATGACTCCTACGGCCTGGAGGTGGAGAGGGAGCAGTCCATCCTGGCCCTGCTGAGGCAACATACTCGCAGCCTCAGAGGAGAGGAGGATGAGGCCATGGAGGAAAATGCAGTGAATGGACTTGAGGAGACTCCTTGCCTACAACAGATCAGAAGCATGCAGGAGCAATATGACGGGTGGGCGACTGTGGGCTGTGGCTGCTCCAGCAAACCAGACCCTCATGACTTTGTGACACTAAAAATGTCCATTGCATTAACATCTTCTAAAATGTCTAATGTTTTTCCTTGATTTGTTACCACTGTGTGTTGTCTAGCCTTGTGTTGCGGGTACGAGCCAGCAGAGCGCAGCTACACCAGGAGTTGAGGGAGAGAGAGGAGGTTGAGAAGGAGCTGGGCTTGGTCAAAGGCTGGATCCAGGATACTCGGGGTTTACTGCTGAGTCCCAGCGCAGACCTGGATTCACTGCTGCAAGAGCTAGAGGTAGGCCACTAAATGCACACACTAGTAATAAAGACCAGTGTTGGGCAAGTTACTGAAAATGAGTATTTAGTTACAGTTACTAGTTACTTCTTTTAAAGGTAATTCTGGAAAGTAACTTTTAAGTTACTTTTATGTCTGCTTTTTAAATGTAATGAATATAAATAGTACTGAACAGTCAAACACAATTAACATATTTTTTAGACCTATTTATTGTAATCAACAGGGCAACAGGCCTTCAAATCAAGCAATAGTACAAAAGTCCTTTTTAATACTTAACTTAATACAAAATAACTGTTTCAGGCATTTGCCTGAAGGCAACTGACTCGACAGTTGACAGGATGCTTCTCATCTTCAACATACCGAGCAATCAATCTATTCAGCTCTGCCCGGTTTATCCGCTGCACTGCAGTCCGTGTAAAGTGGAGCCTTGGTTGTTTGCGTGGAGCGGCGCCTGCAGCATCCGCGGGCCTGCGGTCTTTCGTCATGAGCGACGCGATGCTGTTTACGTGCACGTACGGCGACGATTCTGTGACACACAACTTTTGGTGGCCACAACTATTTTGTGCTGACAGGCAGCTATTTACTTACTATTTGCCAGCCCTACGCTTCGCGTCACAAAAGAGAGTAACACGAGTAACGAACTCATTTCAATTTCAGTAATTGTAACTGCGTTAATTTATTTTAAAAAATACTTCGTTACATGCTTGTTACCGCTAAAAGTAGTGAAATAACACAGTAATCCCAACACTGATAAAGACAAACATACATATCCTCAGCAATTAAGTACAGAACTTCTCTGGCCTGTTTGGAAATAAATATAGTGTCAAGTCCTGACAGAAAAAAACACGATTGGCAGCAATGTAATGTTGTTTGTGTTGTAGACGGCACATGGTGAGGTCATCAGCAGGCGTCAGAGTGTGGAGCGCATGACAGAGCTGCAACAATCCAAGTACCAGGACCTCCAGGCGGGTCTTCCTTCTGAGCTCAGTATGCAACTGGCTGAAGTGGCTCTGGCTCTGGGATCCGCTGAAGACCAGGTGACCTCTCTTGGCCAGCGTTTAACTGGCATTAACTAATTAGAGCTGTAAAATGTGAGTTTAGTAAGTTAATCGAGTTAAAAGCGCATAACAAAAGTGAAGCAGTGAGCCTATGATAGTATGTACCACTGAAAAGCTTCCACTCACTTGTATGAGTTCTACTCGGGTCTGGTCTATGACATTGTCAATGTTAAATGTTAAATGTTAAAATGTTAGTTTTTGATCTGCTTTAGGTCCAGGCGAGAGAACGGGAGGTTCAGCAGACCAGAGATGTGAAAGAGGACTTCAGCCTCAGACTCCAGGACATTGACGCGAAACTGAAGACCATCGCTCTGAAATTGGAAGACAAGGGCGCCGACCTGGAGGAGGCAAAAGAAGAGACCAAAGTAATCAACTAGACAGATTGACTAATTAACAAGCAATTAACCCCTGTTAAATTGACTATTCATTTTGCAGATGTTGGGGTTAATGATTGTTGGAGTGTATGAATGGCATGAACTGAATTCTGCCTTCAACAATGACCCACTTGTGAGAGGAGTATCCCAGATGGGAGACACAGCCCAACGTTTTTCCTCTTCTGCCCATCTGTAGACCCACAAGGCTTGAAGTGTGTGTAGTTAAATGAATACCGGAGCCTCTGTTGCTCTATAATTACACACTCTTCTCTTGTAAAACCACAATTTCTTATTTTACTTTCACTACAGTTGCACTTTTATTTTTCTCAATTTGACTTCCTCTCCTCTCTCCTGTCGTTTTGCCCTGACCTTCTCTTGCAGGTTCTTTGTGAAGAATGTCAATGCTGTGGTCGCTCGGTGGCAGAGTTAGGAGTAGTGGTGCAGGAGTTTGGTGAGCAGAACCCTCTGCTGTGTAAGCAGCTGGGCGACGCCGTGGCCAAACTGACAGAGGTGCAGCGGCACACCACGCAGCAGGTGCAGGACAGAGCCAACAGACTGAAGAAGGTGAGACTTTCTTTCAGTTCAACATGTGATGTAGACTCTGTCAGTTCACAATGTTGCTCCCATAAACAAACCAAAAATACAGTGCACAGTGTTATATTTGTCATTCTTAAACGTTTGTCTTGTTCTTCCTTTGCTGAGCAGGCAGAGAGACAGGTGGAGGAATATCGGGGTATGAAGGCATTTATTTTGGGCTGGACAGAGAAGGCAGAAGCTCTGGTGACTGGTGGTATAATCTGGGGGTCTGCGTCACAGATGCAGGAGCAAATTCGAGCACACCAGGTGAGCACACTACAGTAGAGATGGCTTTAATATCTCTGAAAGAAATTATATTTATTTGTCCAAAAGATTAAATATTAATATCCCCTATATCAATTTAGTTAATCTGAAGACGCCCCACAAATTAACAGTTAATTAGGGTCTCTCACTTATTGGATTTTCAGTGAAATGTCATGTACTGTTGGCCGACCTTAATTAGTATAATTACACAACACAAAATGCTCCTCTGTCTGATGTGTAATTTATGTTCCTATGTATGTTCCTATGGTGACAGGCGTTGCTGCGGGAGTGCCGTGGTCTCCATGGTGACTTGGAGGCCATGGGGGAGAGGGAGGGGCAGCTAGGGGAGGTGTTGCAGACGGAGGGGTGGATCCAGCAGGTGAAACACCTCAGCAGACACACCGAGGAGCTGCAGCAAACTGCCAAGACTCGCCTCCAGAGTCTGCAGGATGCAGCAAAGGTATGAACGACGTACTGCCTTTAGACACCAGTACTACTTCACCTCAAAATTATTTTTAGCCTCATCAAATTATCTTTATTATGAAACGTACTTACTTTTTTTTTTTAAATCAGAACATTTTGGTGCAAAACAAGGACAACAACACAACAGTGGCCTGTGGCCGTGGTCATTAATGAGTACTGCACCATCATAATTTTATCCACTGCTTTATCTTGTCGTGCAGCAGTAATTTGTTACGGTAATCTTATTGCCATACACGTGGTATAATAATAATATTTTGTGCTTTTTTATAGATTTCTGGGTCTAGAGTGTAGATATAGCATGACTTTTGTTACAAATGTAAATTGAATATAACATGAAATACAAGTAATAAAGGTAAAACAGAAAGAAGTATGAAAGGACCATTTTATATGTAGCTCGAATTGAATTGAAGAAATATTTGTTCAGACTGGTGTTTTACGTATCTATTACTCCAAGCAGGTCCACATCAAAAATAACTATTTTCAATGTATATAAGCTAAATAATCAGCTGCTGCTACTCCGGTATGTGCTTCCCTTTTATCTTTTGTAATTTGTTGCCTTCAGGACATGTTGCTTTTGGAGGCGGAGGTGAAGATCCTCCATGCTGCTGTAGACCAGATCCAGATCACACTTGCCTCGCCAGACCTCAACAGACTCAGCCTCAGAGAGCAGCTCACACAGAGACAGGTGATAAAAATGTTTTAGTAAAGATCAGAATTTCAACATTAACAGAATACTGCACATGTATGTTTGCATGTAGACAATTACAAATACTGTAATAAACTGCGTCAACTTAGAGGCAACTCTTCTCATTACAGCATTGCTTACTAACACACCCAACAATTCCTCCTCACTCTCTTGCAACCCTCCATTCCCTTATAAGCGTCTGCTGGTGGAAATGGAGGGCTTCAAGCAGCAGGTGGCGGCAGTACAGCAGTGTCAGAGCGCCCTCCGGCTTCCAGAGGAGGTAGTGGCCAGCCTGACTATCTGCCGCACAGCTCAGATTCTGCAGCAAGAAGCCAGCCAACTGCAGCACACCACCATCCAGCAGTGCAACATCCTGCAGGTAGAGGGCAGTCCTGTCCCCCCCTAAAACGACCAAATGATCTGTCAAGATAAGAACTGTAAAAACTGAAAAATCGTCATGCCTCGAAGCGGTTGACATCTATATTGGTCATTTGTCACCCTGTGGGAGGAGTTCTAGAGTTCTACATTGACTTGCCACTGGTTGCTCAAACTCCTGCTGCAGCGTGCCAACAGGCCATCTCAGGAATGCCTGTGTTTTTGTCGAGCCCCTATTAGACCACTGCTATCCTCCTATCCTTGGTTTTGGGCTCATTGTAATGATGATTCATCCAAACTGAAGATTTGAAACAAAGAGTCAGTCTGTCTGATCTTTTCTGAGGATCAAATGTGTGATCAATAACTGCAATATTATAAGTTTTATCTTGGAGGTTTTGCTCTCATAATCAACAGAAGAGGTGTTTAAAACGTGTCTTTACTCCAACAGCAGCAAATCTCAGATGTCTACCTTTAGGATTTAAGATATTTGAATATAATGTCTTCATCACCTTCTGTCAAATGCCCCACTGGATATGCATGTAGTTACACTTAGTGATACTGTGCATAGTAATCGATATCATGAAAGCATTGTGACATAGATGGTGGAAGAGATGATGTCTGACACTGACTCCCTTAAAGTAATATGTGTCACATTTTATAATTATTTGACAAAATATGCGGCTTCAAGCTTTCTTTGTTATGATTTCTCCTTCCCAGGAGGCTGTGGTGCAGTACGAGCAGTATGAACAGGAAGTAAAGAACCTCCAGAGATTAATAGAAGAGGCTCACCGCATCATCCAGGACCGACCCGTCTCCACCAATAATATCCAGGAACTTCAGGCTCAAATACACCACCATGAGGTCAGTGAGAAACATTCTCTCTCATATAGTTATTAAAACATATATCATATACAACTTATATCTGGTTTTGACTTTCCACAAAGTTCGAAGCAAAATATTGTTTATGATATCATTGTAAGCTGTAGCCGGAGGATGAGGAATCATGAACAACACTTTTGGCCATATTGTGCAGTTTATGATTAGTCTTTATTGATGAAATGCACAGCTTGTTATCATCAAGTAGGCTGTGAAATAACAGCAAAGCAACAGGGACATAAAGAGTTTCTGGACATTGACTGTAATGGAGATAAGAAGATCACATCACCAGGATAACAGAAGAGAGGCCACTTGGCATCTGACAAGACGGTGATTGTCTGTTGTCTAAAAACGTTTCTAATAAGGCCCAAATCAAGCACCGATGTTTGAATCATAATATATTTCCTGTGCTTTGCAACAGTGTAAGATATCAAGTCAAGGCAGCACTGATGCTGCACATCTTCAAGTAGTCGTGGACAACCGTGACGACGGAAGCAGTCAGAGCCTTTGTCAGCCTGTGTTGTTTCTGAAGGCATCAAATTCATCATTTTCTGCAATTTATTTATATTTTCTTTCCCATTTTGTTGATTGATTCAACAATCAGGGATTGTTTGTTGCCTCTATAAAACCATAAACTCTCGACTAAATACTGCAGTACAAATGTCAATGTGTTATCAGATCATTGCCACCAGATACGGCAGGTGTGAAAAAACCTTGGGTTGTGCCCCTACAAGCCCAACTCAAAAACATTCCTCCAGTAACTGATGGTTCATGTAAAGATAATCTGCATTCCTTGGAAAAAAAGTTCTTTGTGAAGTGTATCTTTTTTTGCGAGGCCCGTGCTTTTGGTTGCAGTTTAACTTTGCTGTGTAAAAGCATTTCATCTCCTGCTGGAAGGAGAGAGGTGGCAGACTGAGAGAAAAAGACCTGCAAAGAAACAGAAGCAAACACTTTTATTATTGCGTTTCAACTTTATATGCTCGGCTCGGGCAGATTTGATCTATTCCTATTACTTGACGGGGAAAATATTGACCCTGCTGTCTGTAGGTATTTTATTGCTACTGCAATCTCTGTGCCGCAGAGTGACTTAGCAAGGGAGTGTGTTTATGTCTGTTTGCTCTCTAAGCTGAGCAGAAAGCTGCAGCGCTACTGGCCCAGTTAGTCACATGACCTGATTATGAGTGCATTGACCATCTGCGGGACACAGGGAGTGGAAGGGGGGAGGAGGCAAGGAGGAGTTGGAACCCGCCTCATGCCATAGCTGTAATTTGACACCATCTTTGTCGCTGTCCTACTCCCTTAATGCTCCCTCTCTCCTTACGACTCCCTTTTGTTGAAAAGAATCTCTCTCGAGGATTGTTGGAGGAGGAAAGCGTTGGGCAGAGGAAGGGAAGGGGGTGGAGCCAGTGAGATCACTTCCTGTTTTTCTCTTGCCAATCGTGTATGTGTACGAGTAGGAGTGTCTGGGAGATTTTGAACTATTTCTGCGAGGGTCTCTCTCTCTCTCAACCAAACATCCTGTCTGTTGGCTGCACTGCTGCTCCGAGTCACCCGCCTCTGTGCTGCTCCGATTGGCCGGGAGATGCAGAAGAGAGAGCAAAAGGAGAGAGTGAGGCAGTGCTATTCTCTTTTCCAGTCCTACACAGTGTGAAGCCTAAAGCAAGAGACCGGGGAGGAAAGAGACTGCGTCAACTCTCAAGCCGGCACCACATTCGCGCTGAACCCACGCAACCATCCCCTTTTTTTTCTCTCTCAGCAGCCTACTTTACCAGGAACTATTGATCATCCGTTGTGGACTGAACCACACTCTCCTGACCCCGGAGGGTGGTGGAGTTTTCTGTCTTTTATGGTGGGATGTTTTGACAGGAGCTGGGCCAGAAGATCCGCAGCTACCAGGAGCAAATAGCCTCGCTCCACTCCAAGTGTAAGATGCTGACGGTGAAAGCCAAACACGCCACCATGCTGCTGACGGTCAACGAGGTGGACGGCCATTCGGACTGCATGGAGGAGCTGAGTGATGAGGAGCTGCCCGGTTCTCTGGCAACCACCAACGGTGCGGCCAACAAGCAGCTTCCAGCACACCCCTCTGTCGTCATGGTGAGTGGAACAGCTTCTTTTGGACACACACCCACAAACTAACTCATGACGTACCGCATGGCTGTATGCCTCTTGAGGGCAATGTTTGTGTGTGTGTGTGTGTGTGTGTGTGTAGCTTCTATCCTTTCTCCTATTCTGTCCACACCACTGCTTCTCAAAACTGCAAAAAGGAAACACCAGGTACCATTTTGTAGTTTATAGAGGGTGTTTAGAGCTCATTTCACCATAATGGGAATTGGCCTAGAGTTATCCCAAATTAGAGGGTGTCTGTGGATGACAGTAATAATTACAGCTCACACGTTTATGTCTGTGCAATTAAACTCTGATCAGCAGGCTCAATCAGAGGCTCAAATTGTGCATCTATCCTGTAGTCCATGTAACCGCAAGTGTTACTATACTGTCTCCTCTAGTGTGTTGCCGCACTGACATTGTGCTGTGTAATTTCAGTTCGTATTACCCCGATTCTTGCAGGGCTTTTTTACCTTAATACCTTCTCTTTCTCTGTCTTTCATTCAGATTTAGTTCTCAAAGCCTCTTTGCTCTGTTGCTGCTGTTTGTGGTGTGTTTGATCTCAGCATACCAGGAAACAGGATACTACTGCATGCGTGCGTGTTTGTGTGTCAGCCCAGCCTGATAAGTCGGTGTGTGTGGCAGAAATGGATTGCCAGGACTGCTGATATCTTGGATATTGTTTTAACATTATTAGTGCCGTGTCATCGTAACCACGGTGTTGGGACTGTGCTTCTCAGCCTCTAAGTACTTGGAATAGTTTTCCCACACGCGCTGTTGTGCCCCTCCTCTTCGTTGCGTTGCATTGCATCATAAAGCCCGGGCAAAAAAGTCTACCAAATAAAACAAGGTCCCGAGTCAGTCGGCCAAGTTCACTGCCAAAAAGCAGCCCACGGCTTGGCTCACATTTCTGCTCTACCTCTCTACTGAAGCATGCAGGCCCACAGACACTGTTGGTACTTCCAGGACAGCTGCTGTATTCTCGGTTCAATATGACGTGACTGGACCATCTGGATTCCTCAGAAAGTCTTTTGTGCTGTTAATGTAGTATAACTTCAGTGTGTGCTTGTGTCTACTACTTACTGAATGTTTGATTTTCAACTTCCTGGTAATGGCCATTCCTTTCCTATGACGTATCCTGTATAAAATTACAGTGGCTCATTTATTGAAAGAGAAATCCAGTGTTATAATGCTAAAGTACAGAGTCAATTTGTCAAAAGTATTGTCAGTTGTGATGTCAATAGCAGCAATGTGATCTGGTCTCTTCTCAGTATTTGATTTCTGACTTTCTAATTAATCATCAATGTACTCACTGCAATCTGGCTAATCTGCACTCCCCCATTAATTTGTATGCTCTATCTTAATTTTTCTCTCTGTCTCCTCACTCACATCCGGGCATTTTCTGTTTGATTCGCCTCCCGTTTCCTAAACCTGCTTCTTTTGATGTGCGCGTTTGATGTGTGCGTGGTCAGATGACAGCCGGCCGCTGCCACACACTTCTCTCCCCTGTGACGGAGGAGTCGGGGGAGGAGGGCACCAACAGCGAGGTCTCCTCTCCCCCTGCCTGTCGTTCCCCCTCCCCGGGGGCTAACGCTGACACTCCTCTTAGCCAGGTACTGCAAACCCCACCCTGGTCTCCTCCACAGCCCTCCAGCATTACCTGACCTGCCCGGTCTCCATACCACCACCGTCTTTGTTAAATCTTACACTTCAAATTGTCACTCGTAAGAAACCAAATCTCCATCTTTATGAGTCACCAAGCATAAAGTTACTTCTTCTGCTTGAATTGATTGCACAACCTGTAATTGATTGCTATACTGTTTTCCATGCAGATTAACATCGCTCAAAAATGTTTTTGTACCTAATCAAATTGCTGGATGCGAGGGTTTTCATTACGTGTTCACTTTGAAAAAAATAATATAGAATTAATTAATATAGGATTTTAAGACTGAATATTGAACTTGTTAAGATGGACATGCTTACTCATCCCATCACCACCACCTGATTCCCACCACCAAACAATGACCTCCTCATCATTACCACCATCTTCATGGTGGATGTTTGAAACAGCTGGAGAGTTGCTGTGATGTCCCTGCTTTTTTTGTCAGCATTATGTTTGCAGATTTATTTTGCATGTTTGCCACACAATTTTTCACTGTTCATGTTCATTTTAAATGAGTGAATGAAAGAGTTGTCATTTTCCCAACATAGCTAGTAGCTGTGAAATCTATGACATGAGTAAAACAGACGCTTTTTGTTGTCATGAGTGCAATAACAAAAGTTTTTTTCATTGTGTGATGTAAAGACATTGTGTTTGTGATCAAACTAAATTATCATGAGAGGTTTTAAACAAATCAGATCTGACTTTAGCCGGCCAGATCTTAAATTCTAATTTATCTCATACATTCATCTCGCTGCAGTATATATTTTACTGTACGTGCAGTAAATGTGGGCAAATTTCCTCCTAATGTGGCGATTACGATTACAATACAACAGGCCTACACTCACTGTGTTGTTGTGCCACAGGGTCGAGGTGCCTTAAGCCGAGCGCCCCTCCGAGAGCTGTACGACCCGTCCATGGAGACCAGTGCTGCCAACCTGGATGACCTGCAGAGATCCTGGGAAACACTCAAGAACGTGGTACAGAGCATCATCAGCTACCTATCATTATGGTTCACTTTTGCTTCTCCAGTTACCGTCTTGATTTAGGAATCATTCTTTCCGTTTCTTTTCTTTTTCCACCTTGTCCCTCTGGCAACAGATCAGCGAGAAGCAGAAGAGTCTATACGAGGCTCTGGAGAGGCAGCAACACTATCAGGAGTCGCTCCAGTCCATTTCCACTAAGATGGAGTCCATCGAGGGAGCGCTCAATGAGGGCCTGGAGCCTACCAAGAGCCCCGAGAGCCAGATGGCTGCACACCAGGTGAGGGTGTGGTGGCCGTCCGGAGATATTGGGAATGCTGTGTGTCTTCTGTGTGTGTGTGTGTGTGTGTGTGTGTGTGGCAGAGTGCAGTGCAGTGTTGATAAAGTTGAACGTAATGGTACACACAGACAGAAGGCATCTCTCGTGGAAAAAAACTCAAAGCTGACAAAAGACAAGCCTGTTCTGAGAAAACAATTGAGCTAGCTAGTGCAATGGTTGCACCGGCTGCACGGCGCTTTTCGGCGTTGCTATGCCAACTTCACAGCGACAGCAGTTACAGCTCATTTTTGAAAGGCTACTGTCAGGCAGTTTGGACAAACCCTATTTTAGTGCTGTCTTTCATCGTCGTCTTCTTCTCAGTTTTTGCTTTCACTTCTCCAATTTATTCTTCTTTTATTTTAATGTCCTTAGACAGGACGTTGCTGTTGAATGGGCTGTCCCCACTTGTCTACAGCGTTTGTCTTTTCTTTTTTTTTTTCTCCGTATGTCCAGGCTGTGATGGATGAGATCCTGATGCTGCAGGAAGAAATCGGAGAGTTGCAAACGTGTTTCTCTGAGGAGCTGGCAGACAGCGACAGCGACGGGGAGCCTGGCGACCAACTGGCTCTCCAGTCGACCCTCACTGTGCTGGGAGAGAGGATGGCCACCATTCGAATGAAGGCTTCTGGGAAACGGCAGCTGCTCGAGGTGAGGCGCTTTAAGATCTTATTCATATACATCTCCCGATTTGCGTGTTGTTGTTTTTTTCTTGCAAACACTAAACTTGACTATGATGTCAGAATTGTTTCACCTATAGAATCGATCATGTCTCAATTACAGGAAAGACTAAGTGAACAGCTGGAAGAGCAGCGACAGGAACAGGCGCTGCAGCGGTACCACAACGAGGCCGAGGAGCTCGACCATTGGTTGCTCAGCACTCGGGCCACTTTAAGCTCGGCCCTTCAGCCCCAAAATGAGCACTTGGACATGGAGGAGCAGCTCACCGACTGCCAGGTGAGACTGATGTTTCCCCTTTAATCACAGGCTGGACAGACTGTTGAATGAGCACTGCATGGTTTGTTTTGATTCCCAACGATAGCAATGAAACTGTAATTATTTTCTCAGTGGAGAAAAACCTACCACTGCCTCAGGCCCAGTATGAAAGTCTGAATGCTACTGTTTTATCAAGTGTGATATATCTGAGGCTAAAGGGAAGTGTCCGGCTGCTTTGCTGTGCCAGAAATACTCCATGGCTGTTTCAAAATAAGGACTCCATTTCCCAATAACTTTACACTTTATTTTTGCGATTAACAAATCTGGATCAGTATCAGGGGGTGACCTGATCACCTTCATGACTTTTCTTAAAATATTCTTCCACCAGGAACAATGTTGTTCCCCTACTTATCCTGTTTCTATGGTAACGTCACTTTCATTCAGAGGTCATTGGCATCCATGGCTAAATGGTCACAACATTAATCAACAATCATGTGTCCTTATTATGATTTTTCCATGATTGGTGTTGTGGAGTTAAAAAAACAAAAAAGCAAAACTGATTCAAATACAATTTTAAACATTCCTTCTATCATCAATTGGCTTCTCAACTATAATATTGTTGGTTCTGTTACTCGGGCAAAGGAAATCTGTGCTTTAGAGTGTGTGTGTTTGTAGCAGCCGGGAGACAATAAGCTGATTATGCTCACATATGGCCCCTGCGGAGCTCAGGTCCATGCGGATTCTCATCTCCAGAAACTGCTTTCTGCGTAACTGGAAGGGTAGATTATCAGAGTGATGCAATGAAAAGAGGACGATATTTATTTTTAGGTGTTTTTTGCTCACAGTTTTGTGTGACAGAGTAAACTTTGCAGTAAACTCCTGAATCACCACAACTAATTTCAACACTCAGTACAAGAAAATCAAGACACAGTAAGCAGCTCAGAGACCACTTCAGCGCAGCCTCTCACGGGTCGGGGCTTTGCTGAGTCTAAACTTCTTCCACAGATTGTGACAAGAGTATAAAAAAGAACCTTTCTCTTTTAACTGTGTTGATTGCATCAAGCATTACATGTTTTGCAAATGCTGTTGGCTTCTGGGCCAAAAGAGGATTTGAATTAGAGTTTTTTTTACGTGGTAAAGCGTATGGCGGAGAGAGGTGGCTCTCAGTGAAACACACAATCACAGCACCGGATAGAAGGAAATGAGTTATGTGACGCCACTCTGTATTGTTGGGGAAAAAACAATCTCCGTCAAGGGCCCTTGTGTCCTGGTGTGAAAGGTGGGGATTAAGGTTGCACCACCCTTTCTTCAATACAAAGAAACCACTTTTCACACACAACATTAGATGTGAAAAATAAGGGTCTGTTTTTTTCTGTGGTTTCCCTTAACACCGCATGTAAGAGGGGATTCAATGGGACATTTTGAATAGGAGTTGGTGGGAAACAGCATGAAAATGAGAATTATGTGATTATAACTTATAACAACATACACTAAGAATGCAGCATGTTACGAAAAGCTTTTTTCCACTTTAAATTCAGGTTACTGTAAAGAGTGATGGTGATGGTTATTGAACTTTTTAGATAGCAATGGGTTCATTATAAATACAACTTACACTCGTCTTTCCAGAATATGCTGTTTGAGATCGAGCAGAAGGTGTCGTATCTGTCGGAGCTCTCCGTCCACAGCGAGAGCTTACTGTTGGAGGGTCGGGCCGAGACCAAGGGCGAGGCGGAGCAACTCACCTTCAAACTGCACTCCCTCAAAGACAGCCTGATGGAGCTGCAGCAGATGCTGCAAGACAAACAAGTTGGCATACAGGTGAGATCAGAGGTCATATGTGGCCCTTGGTGTTCTCCTGTTCACCTTACCCTCCACACGTTTTCAAATGTTCCAGCTTTTCCGTCCTCCCTGCCTCTGTGTGACTTTTGTTGTGCTGTGTTACATTGTATGACACCGTGTACCAGTATCAATGGTGGCATTGTGCAAATACTAAAGGTTGTTTCATGCTCCTTCATAAAAGTCTGCTGTTTTCCACTGTGGAACAACAAGAGCCTTTGCTGGCAGTTATGTACTGCAGCAGGTGTGGTTTTGATGACACAACATTTTGGCTTTGGCCCCTTTTGGGGAACAAAAATAATAATGGAAATACAAAAGCTCTGAGTCTATTTGAAATACTGGCTGCAATCTTGATTTGAATGCTTGAAAATACAGATGCATTGTTGAAGAGTTGGCATCTCATTTGGTGCTGGTGATATCTTCCCATCCACAAACATTCACACCACTTCCTTAGAAAGAAAATATATTTTCCCACCCTTTTCTCCCCCATTTAAAAAGTGTTGCCATCCTTGCGTTCATCCCCCAGGGTTCACTGCAGGAGCAGGAGGACAGTGAGCCAGACTCCTCTCTGTCCCAGAGTCCTAATGTCCAGGATTGGCTCTCCCAGGCCAGATCCACACGCACACAGCAGTACCACGACAACCTCCTTCGACAGAGGGTAAATGCTGAACTTTTTTGTAGTAATTATAGTTGTATATCTAACAGGCCTGAGCTAATTTCATCATTATTGCCTTGAGTGCCAACCGTCTGTCATGTTTTGTGCACATCAATTTAATTAGGTTAGTGCTCTCGGGTGGAACAAGTCTCTTGATTGAAACTATTTCAGATGGGAAGTGTCCCTTCTAGACAAATCGGATTAAAATGCTGTATGTTGACCTCCAAGGAGCTGCAGGAGCAAGTAGCTGAACAGAAGAGGCTCCTCCAGTCTGTAGCCAGCGTTGGAGAGGACTTACTCAGCCAACAGACCACACCTAATGGAGACGGGTAACCCTCCTCCCTCTATTCTTCTCACACTTACATTGTTATTCCTAACACAGGTAGAACATTTCTCTGTCACGCTTTATAATGGTGCTTCTGTGATTTTTGGGTAATGTGTGATTTTTCTTATTTTGATGTTTATTTATATAATAGATGGGGTAAACATTTTATTAGGAACTTGCTGATAAAATACCCAATCTCTTACCACCTCTCTCCCCTTCTATCTCCCACAGGGAGGTGTCCATCCCAGGGGGAGTGTTACTGGAGTCAGACACGTTGTCTCCATTGGACCAGATGAGACAGCGCTGGGAAAACTTGAATAAAGATCAGAGCACAAAGCTGCAGCTCTCCCTCAACTCCATGGAACAGGATCAGCTTAGCCCGGTACACATACCATACTTCACGCAGCGTGATGTTTTTGATGAACTCATTATTCGTGGCTGATTGCGTTCTGTAGGTCATTTTTTCAACTTGTTGCCAGTCTGACCTTCTTGTCTCATTCGTCACTCTTGTCACCAGGTCCTCCATCGGTCCTGTTTGCCCAGCCCCAGTCTGGTGTTTAGAAGCACGACTGCCAGCCAAGACTCTTGTTCTCCTAGAGCTTTGTTTGAGGCCTGCAGTCAGACTCTGGAAGGAATTGCCAATAAGGTGTGAAGCACAGATTTTCTACTTTATCTCAATCTGGTGTTTGTCCGTGGGAACCGTTTCTGTGTCTTTTAATAAGACAAAATCCTTTTTGCTGACAGCTTTTAACGCACTGAGTAATTATTCTTGGTTCTTCCACACAGACGGCGGATGGTGACAGCAAACTGGCAGCGTCTTCAGGAGGTACAGCAGTCCAACAGGACCTGTATGCTGCAGTTTCAGCGGCTTCCTCCTGGTTGGATGCTGCTGAGAATCAGCTGCTTTCTGGTCCTGTGTTGCTGTCTGATGATACGGAGACTCAACTTTCCAATCTAGAGGTATTAATGACACTTGTGTTGTTGTTATAGACACTAAAGAAGGAAATACAAACAACACAATTCAATCTCTACTGGATCGAAGTTTTTTTTTTTCCTATGTTACTGACTTTTGCTCTTCCATTCAGGGTCTGAATAAACAGCTGAAAGTGATGAGCTGGGAGGTAAACCAGTGCAGGGACTTTCTCGGTGGAGAAGCTGGCCGTCTGTGTGGAGGAGACGAGCAAGCCCTGATGGAGGACACACTGGAGGGCCTGCAAGAGAGGATGGGCCTGCTTGACTCCACCCTTGAACAGCATTGTGATGCTATGAGGGACAGGCTACAGGAATACTCAAGCTTCCAGGTACTTTATGACCGTCTTATTTAGATTAAACTTGTAAACCTAAGAAGGTTTTTTTTTTTTGTGAATAAAAAAACAAACTCACCCGGTAAGAATATTATGTTATCCTTGACAGAATGAACTCAGGAAGCTGTTCACTGCTCTTGGTGAAAGGAAACACCTGCTGCTACAGAAGATGGCGGGAACTGTGGACCGTCCTGCATCCAAACAGATAGAGGTATGATGCTTGCATTGTACGCAGATACACAATACAAAGTATATAAATCCCGCAGAAGCAGTGACTTTGCATTTGCTTTTGAGAAGACGTGTTCGTTAAATGTGTTTTGTCTTTTGTAGACATTATCAGAGGTAGAGGAGAGTCTGAGAGAGTTTGACCAGAGAGTGACTGAGCTGAAGACCAAAGCAGAGGGACTCCAATCTGACCAAATCTCCAACCAGGAACTTCTCAAACTACAGGTAACATCAACAATTCCATTGTTACCTTATTTCTTTTCTCCCCCACACTGTATCCATACGGTGATAACACTTTGACTGCTTTGTGCAGGATGCATACGAGGAGCTGGTTCTCATGGTGGCTTCCAGACGCAGCAGCCTCAACCACGGGTTGTCTCTGAAGGCTCAGTACGAAGCCGCACTTCATGACCTCACAGACCTGGTGGACACCGCCCAGGACAAGATGGCTGCCGATCAGAAGATGACTGTGGCTTCCGTCGTAGAGGTCCGGATGTTACTGGACAAACACAAAGTAAGGAGGATGGTCAAAGGGTGTTGCAGTATAATAGAAACATATATCATTATTTTCTAACGTTGTCTTTAAAACGTGTTTCAAAAACAGGAGTATTTCCAGGGTCTGGAATGCCATATGATCCTCACCCAGGCGTTCTACACTAAAGTGACTAGTCTGGTGCCTCAGAGGGAAAGCCAGGCCCTGGAGGAGACCATGGCCTTAGCCCACAGTGTGCTCAAGCAGGCCCACAGGAGGGGAGTGGAGCTAGAGGGCATCTTGGAGGTGGGAATGAGTGACACAAATAAATATACCAAATAGGCAACCGTGAATTAAAACTTTTCGGATGAATTTACTTAGCGACTCTCTTCTTCTTTAACAGTCATGGAGCAAGCTTGTGGAAGACTACCAGGCTGTATGCAGGCAGCTGGAGGCTGTGGAGTGTAGCATTCCTACTGTGGGCCTGGTAGAGGAGACGGAGGAAAGACTTGTTGAAAGAATTGGCCTCTTCCAGGTCAGTATTTCAACGAGACACAAGCATGCACATTTAAACTGCCAGGCACTTTCAAGAAAGCTCACTGAAAGCAAGCTTGTTATAATGTAAATTCTCCCCGTATCCTCTAGCGTCTGAAGGCCAGCCTGACGGAGCATCAGTCCCAGCTGTACCAGGTCCTGGAGGAGGGTAAGAGGCTCCTCCTGTCTGTTGGCTGCTCAGACTTGGAGAACCAGCTGAACCAGCTGGGAGATCACTGGCTCTCCTCCACTACCAAGGTCAACAAGGAGCTGCACCGCCTCGATTCCACGCTTAAACACTGGAGCAGGTGAGAGTCTAATAATAGTCTTGAGGGTTTTTTTGTTTGATAGTGTGCCAAATAGTTAAATCAATAATTTAGCTTTGTGAGTAAGCAATCTGTTTATGCTACGCTGATGCTGAATACAGAATGAAAAACAAACACTTTTAATCTTTCTGAAGCTGCAGCTGAAAAAATAAGTTTAATATTGTTTGTGCTGTGTATCAACTTCAGGTACCAGAGTGAGTCAGCAGAGTTGAGCCACTGGTTGCGATCGGCCCTGGACCAGCTGGAGTTCTGGACAACACAGTCAGTGACGGTGCCTCAGGAGCTGGAGACCGTCAGAGATCACCTCTGTGCCTTCCTGGTTAGTTTGAACAAGAGAAAATGAAGCACCCACCTAAATGAAATAATAACATCCATATTATTGATGAGCGCATGGTTAAATTGCAACCTAACTCAGTCATTTTTCTCTCTCATAGGAGTTTTCCAAAGAAGTGGATGCTAAGTCGTCCTTGCGCTCATCTGTGCTTAGTACAGGCAACCAGCTGCTGCGATTAAAAAGAGTGGATACAGCGAGTCTCCGGACGGCATTGGGCCACATTGACACTCAGTGGGCTGAGCTGTTGACTCATATTCCTGTAGTACAAGAGAAGCTACACCAGGTCTGAGAACCGATGCCGTTGAATTTCAATTGTTGCACTGGTTTTGGTGCTGTATTTTGGCTGGATTGTAGCCTCTCTGCTCTCATCCCCTTAGTTGCAGATGGAGAAGCTGGCATCCCGGCATGCCATCACAGAGCTGATGAGCTGGATCTCGCTTTTGGAAAACCTCATTCGGGAGGACCAGGACAAAATCATGGGAGCTGTAGGCTCAGAGTTGGTCCAGGGCTTCTTACAGAAGTACAAGGTAGACAAAAGTTTTTTTCTGATACCAAGAAGAGTTCAGTAGTTATGCATTGGTGTGTATTTTCTCTTCTTCAATCTTCTTTATCAGTCACATGGTGTCTCCTCCATATTCCAAAGGGTTTCCGCATTGATCTGACCTGTAAGCAGTTGACTGTGGACTTTGTAAACCAGTCAGTGCTGCAGATCAGCAGTCAAGATGTGGAGGGAAAGCGCAGTGACAAAACAGACTTTGCTGAGAAGCTGGGAGCCATGAACAGAAGATGGCAGATTCTACAGGGGCTCATTGCTGAGAAGGTAATTTTTCAGTCACAGATTTTTGTGTGTATTTAGTTTTTTAGTTTGTAGGTTCTGAAATTGTCCTGAATCCCAATTATATTTTAGATTCAGCTTTTGGAAGGACTTTTGGAAGGTTGGTTGGAACATGAAAATGGAGTTCAGGCATTGAATACCTGGCTGACACTACAGGAGGACAAACTGAAGAAGAGACACAAGATAGAGGATGTAGCATCTGTGCAGAACGCACTTAAAGACTGTCAGGTAAACATGCATATACAGTGCTATGGATGCAATGCATGGTTTGAGTTTTATTTTTCAGAAAGGAAAAATAAAGTATTTGTCGCAGGAGTTGGAGGAATTAGTGAAGGAAAAAGAGAAGGAACGAGAGAAAGCAGAGGAACGAGGAAACTCTCTCATCCAGGATAAGACAGGAGCAGCTTGCTCTGTTGTCAAGGAGACCCTACAAAGATTAAACCAGTCCTGGGCTCATTTGGACCACATGGTGAGCTTCCTGCAACTCTTACCATCATGACTTGCCTAAAAGCCCCCCATTGTGCATTGTGATGCTTACACGTTTTTTCTCCTGACCTTCCTATCAGATAAGCCAGATGAAGGTGAGCCTGCGGTTGATGCTGGAGCAGTGGACGCTGTACCGGCGAGCTTCAGAGGAGATTAATGGTTACCTAATGGAGGGGAGGTACTCTGTGGCCAGGCTGTGTCTGCTAAATGGGTCTCTTGAGGCAGTGCAGCAACAGGTGGAGAGTCTGGAGGTGAGGAGTGCAGATGTGTGCAGAGTGCCACACCACTGAAAACACTTAGTATTATTATTAGTACCTAAAGTCCTGCTTGAGTGTCAGATTGAATAGAAACATCTGCTTGGGGTCCAATAGAAAACTGTCAGTGGTATCTCTTGGAAACTTTGAAGAAACGATTTTAACTAACTTTTTTGCGGGCTTCTGTGTTTTTAAGAACCTGCAGTACGAGATGGACAAACAGGAGAGCAGCTTGAAGAAGTTTGTCTCCGTAACACACCAGCTACTGACAGAGTGTCACCCATCTGTAGCTGACACCCTCAACACAGCCCTCCAGGAAGTCAACATTAGGTAGGCATAACCAAAGCAGGTCCCCCGAGGGACTTCAACTCAAATGGCGGCAACTTCTGAGCTGAGGTCAATACGTACCGATATGATTCTCCTTCTCTGTTATAGGTGGAACAGCCTACTCGAGCAGATCTCAGAGCAGCTGAGAAGCTGTAAAGCACTATTGGGGCTGTGGCAGCGCTACAGGTCATCGTGTGGCCAGTGTGCGACAGCAGTTCAGAAACAGGAAGAACGTGCTGATCGCCTGCTGAAGAGCGCCACCGACCGGGAGATCACAGAGGAGGAGAGCAGCACCTGGATAATGGACTGCGATGTGGGTAGAGAAGGGACAATGTAGCGCCGTCCACTATGCGGTTCTGTGAAACAAAAACTGTCAGCAGTTGAGGCTTACCCTCTGCCTCCTTTTTGATATTTTATGAATAAGCTGCAAAGCGGCTTGTCAGCTCACTGAGGATTCACAAAGCCTCTATCCCCTCTGCAGAATACCAAATTGCTCCCTGCTCCATTGTCTGCTTGAATGTAGATTCACAGCACAATCGAACAAAAGCCCTTTGAAAAGGAGACTGCAAAGCAAAAGACAGGCCCCTGATTTACACTACAGGGGTCATCCAGTGTCACGCTGGGCTGGCAGGGCCATGCTGTGCCATGTCTGTAGAGGGACTGTCCTGATACTATATGCAGACTGTTGTTCTTTTATTGAGGATCTCTGATTCAAACTTACAGTGGTCTTTTATTGGTTGAGAACTCTTATATGGTTCTCCATTAGATCTCCATTGTGGAAAGCTTTTTTTTAGAATGCTTTACACAAAACCTTCAGCAAAAGGTTCTAACGCTCTTTCAGAGCTTCTGCATTAACACATAACTATTCACAATATTATATCCATTACAAATGTATTCATTTCCTTTGCAGTACAGATATAATCCTGTCGGCCTTGCGCTATCCCTGTACATATAAATACCGTAACTTTCTCACGGCTCTCCAAAAATTTACTCACTGTTACTAACATGCCTCTCTATGATGCCATTACTGTTGCAGGCGTGTCTTCGGGACCAGGCGTCAGTGCAACAATCCCTCAAGCAGCTGCAGGCTTTAGCGGAGCAGCTGAAGAGCCAAGTCGACGCCTCCTCTTCTGCAGCCCTCCAGTCCGACCACCTGTCGCTCACACAACGCCTAGCAACGCTGGAGCACGCCCTTCACAGGCAGCAGGAAGTAATGCAGGTAGGAAAGCAGGGATTTTTTGGGCAGAAACAATGACTAATCTAAAACCTCAATATATGAATGTGTTGTGGCATCACTTGGGTATTCTCTCTGTCGGACTGTTTGCAGTCTGGTTCTCAGTCCTGTGAGGGTTTCAGAGAGCAGCTGGACACTCTGATCTGTGAGGCTGAGGAGGCCGAAGAGATTCTGAAGGAGTCCGACCCAGTCGGCTCACCAGAGCTCATTCTGGTCGAGACACGTATGGAAAGATTGAGGGTATAAAACAGTTATTGGCTTTGTTGCATTTTCACAAAATTGATTATGTAAAACATTTCAAAAGCTTTAATACTAATTCAATTCATTATATTCACTTTCCTTTGACTGAATAAGCATGTTTGGTGGAGAAAAAAGATGTTTAATGTAAAAATGCATTCCCAGGTTTACTTGTTGAAGCTGAGCAGCCTATCTCCAGACCTGGAGCGTGTTAACGAGTCGGTGTACAGACTGCCAGTCAGTGACAGAGACGTTAAACGGCTGCAAAGTCTGAACAGAGCCTGGGCCGCTCACTCCGCTCACCTCTCTGAGAGGTTCAGGTACCTAAAACCTTTAGATTTCACATCAAATAATTGTGCCGCATGTAAGAATTTAACTTTGCATCATACAACAGAACTATGAATGTAAACTATGGACTTCTTTCCTTCCTGTATTCAAGAGCATAATCATTTTAATGTGAGAACATGACTTATTCATTTCTTTTACATTTTTGAATGCTCTCTCTCTCTCCGTCTCTTTCAAAACCCTTTACAAAATATATGACACACTTTCCTCACACTCAAGTGGCCTCTCTGCTCCCAGTTTTCTCCTCTGCTCTTTTTTTATTTTTATTGTGCAACAACTCTGTCAAAATCTCCCAACCAATAAATGTGACGTGTAGTGTGACCAACAAAACAATCCTGCCTCTTTGTGGTTGCGTTCTCTTTACTCGTTAGAGCTTCCTGGACGGGCACTTACCCTTTATCTCGGCCTTTATTTTGTACTTCATGTTCACGTACCTGCACATCGCAGCTTTTTGACTGGTAATTTTTTCTTTAAAGAGCCAGGCCAAACATTACAATGAAATCAACAAGTCATGAATAAAAACAGATTCATTGTCTTTTTACCTTCTTATACATGTTAGATGCCAGTGAGTCTTTGAAGTTACATTTTCTTTTTGTATTGTAGACCTATACAAAGACACACCTTTTTAAAAAAGTGCAATTTGACACAAAACAACTCTTATATGTTAATATTGTTTATGTCCCCTCTATCCCTCTCCAGTAAACTGCAGGCAGTGTTGCTCCAGCAGCAGAGTTTCCTCCAGAAGTGTGAGGTGTGGATGGAGTTCCTGTCGCAGACCGAACGGAAGCTGGCTGTTGACATTTCAGGAAACTACCTCGATCTGGTGGAGCAGCAGAGGGAGCATGAGGTCAGAGAAACATCAAAGTACATGTAAATGCTCTCTGAAGGTAGTGTGTTATGTATTGTTGCTATATATATACATATTTATTTTGGTATGTGTGCAGTTGTTCCAGGCAGAGATGTTTAGCAGGCAACAGATTCTCTACTCAATCATCAATGATGGCCATCATATGTTGGAACAGGGACAAGTGGACGACAGGTAACAAGACACACAATCCTATATATATTTCATATATCCAGTTGTGTGGAGCATACATGCTTCTGTTTCTCTCTTGTGCCCATAACAGAGACGATTTCAGTGTGAAGCTGGCCTTGTTAAGCAATCAGTGGCAAGGTGTGGTGAGACGGGCCCAGCAACGAAGGGGCATTATTGATAGTCTGGTCCGCCAGTGGCAGAACTACCGGGAGATGGCAGAGAAGCTGCTACAATGGCTCCAAGAAGTGACTTCTGATACGGATGAACATCAGCCAGGGGAACCAGTCGCCTTGCAGCAGGCCAGAAACCTGTTGGATCAGATTCAGGTGAGTCTCTCAATTATCACCTTTTGTCACATTTCTAATGTTCTCTGAAAGGACATTTTGTGAAACATTTTCTTTTTATCTGCAAGTCCCAATTGAACATAATTTTGAGTACATTTCTGGTGGATGAGATGATGGATTCAGTCATTCCCGCTTTGCCCCAAACTAGTTATTTTGCCTGAAAGCTTATCCTAAAGGTTTTCATTATTTATGAGGCCACTGGACTTTAAAATAATTTGAATTATGCAGATCTTTAATTTAAGAAACACTTCGTCAATTACACTTAACACTAAATTGTCCTCTGACTAACAAACCCTCACCTCATCCCCAAACCTTAGACTCCCTTAGTTAACCTGTCCCCTCTCTGCCCACTGTCCCTGTCTCTGCTCCTTCAGCTGAGGGAGCGAGTGCTGCACAGGCAGCAGGGAGGCTACATCCTGACGGTGGAGGCCGGCAGGAGCCTGCTGTTGTCGGCCGATGACAGGACCGAGTCCACCCTGCAGACGGAGTTGATGGAGATTCAGGACAGGTGGAGACACGCCCACCACCGCCTGGACAAGCGGAGGAGGGAGCTGCACGGCTTGCTCAAGGTAAGTCAAAGACTACAGCTGGAATTGGGTTTTCATATTATTTCTTTTGCTCTCTTGGGTCTTTTCTTGTCTAAAACAAGACAAAAAAACGTCTTAATTTTATTAAGATATTTTTCTGTCTCGCCTCTTTCCACTTTTTCCATTTTATGCTTCGGTTCCTACACACATTGGCATGGAAAATTGGGAGAGTTTGTTTATTTTTCCATTATACAAGAGAGTACTGAGTACTCTTATTATAGGACATCCTGTACTAGGTTTGTGAGGCCTCATTTGAGCAAAGTCTGTGTTGAAGTCAAAAGCTGTGCCTCTACTGTGCCGCAGAGTGAAGGGTGCCGAAGGGCATCTGAGCCCTTAATGAGTCCGCTCGGTTGTACATTCAGGACACTGAAACCAGGTCATCACATGAATTATGCAACGCTGCATCTTAACCCCCGAGAAGACGTGAAGGACGGAGGAGGAAGGAGCACACTCACTTCTTTTGCCAGATAAATAGCATCTGCACACAAAGTAGCACAACATGGCACAAAGATGATTGTCAGGCCAGGACACGCATGCAGCTAAGCAGAAAAACGCATGCAGATTGGGGACACGGCACAGGGAGCTGTAATCATTTTGTGCTTTGCGAGGTAGATTTTGCAGGCTGTGATAGCGCACAGTTGTTGTTGTTTTGAATGGAACAGAGGGACGCACTATAAAAGATTGTCCCCTTTCTTCCTCTGGATCTTATTCCCCTACAATCTCAGTTACTGTCTCTCTTTCTCTTGGGTTTACATTTAGAGAGCAGCTTCTGAAGGTAATTTTGTTCTTTCCTGGCTGCTCTTTTGCCATAACTTGTGCTTCAGTTATGTTACCAAAGCATTTATTGCCAAATATTACCGTTTTTTTCTGAATAGGAACATTATTCAGACTCTAAAAATAGATTTAATCTGCACTCTTTGGAGCAGAAGCGCTTTATAGCGCTGTCTCTTCTTGTCTGTTGGATTTTTGCTGAATCACTCGTTCCATGGGGCTGCTTATGAGGTTCAGGCTCAGTGAACTGAATAAGGCATACTTGTTGATATGACCTGACTTAAATACTGTGTGTGTGTGTGTGTGTGTGTGTGTGTGTGTGTGTGTGTGTCTGCAGCTGCAGAATACACACACACACAATCTGTGGCAATCTGTGTGTAGGCATGTGCGTTTTTTTCTGTGTGTTTTGTGACCTAATTCTTACTGTGTGTTTGTGTGTGTTTAGAACTGGGAGCGATGTGACAAGGGCATAAATGTTTCACTGGAGAAGTTGAGGACCTTTAAGAGGAAGCTGTCTGTGCCGCTGCCTGACCACCACGAGGAGCTGCACTCAGAGCAAATCCGATGCAAGGTGAGAAGCATATGATACACACATATTTAAACTGTGTTTTCATCATGGTTTATGTTTTGCAGATGTACATTCATATTCTCTTTCTGTCATACATTCACTCACCTTTGCCCTTTTAGTCTGGTTATGAGGAAAAATATATGAAACACATCAATCTTTCTGCTGCTGTTTTACGGTTTGTCCTATTAGACTGTTGGTATAAAAATTGTTTCAATCATTTTGAATATGTATTCCATTTTATTGAATTTTAATTTTTGCGTGAAAATTCACATTATGATAATTCGCAGTTGGTTCTTAACCACTGTGTGCAGTCGGGTTTCATGCATGACTCGTCCAGAGCTCCTGAGGGAGGAGGAGGCCTGTGAGAATAGCTACACACAGTTAGCATCAGCTCAAAAAGAAGAGGGGGTGGGGAGAGAGAGAGAGAGAGGGAGGGTGCGTGCGCATGAGAGTGTGAGAGAAAGACCGACAGAGAGAGAGAGCATCCCTGCTTGCAGTGGGGGTATATTTCTCTATGTGTGTGTGCTTCCGTCTGTGCCTATTGCATAATGGAGACGTTCTCCAGGTCAACGAACGATTACACCGCCGCAAAACCGTCACAATGACGGACGAGGAGGCGATAGAAGGTTTGATGCGTCTGTTACCTTATCTTGCCTTTAACCTTCAATGCAACTGTTTTGTATTCATATTCGAATGTAACTTGTTACTCTTATTTATTTCTTTTTCAGGAAATGTAAATTATTGCATTTTGAACAAATACTCTTATCTTTCTTGGCATTTTTTGCTGTTCTGTCTATCGTCAGTTTAATGTTTTGTTGTCTCCACGTCCATTTAAGGCTGCAGCAGCTGCACTTGAGCCTCATTAGACTTTTGGGATAGCGGGCTTCACATTTAAGGGAATGGGTCACTCTGTGTTTTGTAAATCATTTCTTTTCATGTCATCTGAATGCAGGAGTTGGAGAGCAGTGTGGAGGGCTGGACCGATGACATCACTTCCTTGTTCCTGCTGAGGGAGTCCTTGGAGGGCGTGGTCAGTGCCGATGACATCACAGTCCTTCGGGAACGCCTCCAGCTACTACAGCGTCAGTGGGGGGAGGTCTGCCACCAGGTATATTGTCACGGTACACCTTATGATACTTTATCTGGGGGGGTTTTGAAAGGCTGGCGGTATTTTGATTTTTTTTTTTTATATTTCACTAGTCTCAATTATCTGTATTAAAATGATTTATTTGAGTTTGTTTTCCAACAATACTGACCCTTCCATCGTTATCTTAGTTTTACAATGATCCCTTTCCACTTATTTTCTCACATGTCCTCCCTTCCCCACTCTGTCCTCCCCTGTGTCCCCCTAGCTTTCGCTGCGTAGGCAGCAGGTGAGCGAGAAGTTGAATGAATGGGCAGTGTTCAATGAGAAAAACAAGGAGCTGTGTGAATGGCTCACACAGATGGAGAGCAAGGTCTCTCAGAATGGCGACATCAGCATTGAAGAGATGATCGAAAAGCTGCGCAAGGTGATTTACACACAAAAATAATATTTCAATGAAGTTTTATGCAGTCATAATATGTTTATTTTTTTAGTGAATTGGTGTAAACGACGCTACTCTGCCTTTAGCTACTAATAGTAGTAGTCTCATCTGCAGTGCTAATACACAGTTGCATGAACACACAAGCACTGTACCCCACACTCCCGCCTCCTGGTGGTTAACCTACCTAATGCCTCTCTACCAGGACTACCAAGAGGAGATCGGTGAAGCTCAGGAAAACAAGCAGCAGCTGCAGATTATGGGCGCACGCCTGGCCGGGTCCAGCCAAGAGAGCAAGGCAGCTGAGATCCAACACAAACTCGGCAAGGTCAGCGAGCGTTGGCAACACCTGCTGGACCTCATTGCCGCCAGGTGGGTGTACAAGACTCGGAAGAGCAGCTTCAGAGCGCTGTTTGTTAGTAGAGTTTTAGTAGCTAATGGGGACTGGAGATTGAGGCAAATTATTAGCATGAGTCCTAAAGTGAACCAGGAATACGGTTCAAACTACTTGTGGTCTTTAATGATTCATTGATAATATCCACTGCATCGACACAATTAACATTTAAAAAGTTTGTAGGCAGGTTTATTTACCCTCCCTCTGGTTCTGGAATGCAGAAACTAGAGTCCTCAGAGTAAAGTTTCGATGAAAAGAGAGGTAATTTAGTCACAAGGCTTACTCTTCATAATTCAGATGCTGTGCTTCTGCACTCCTCCAAGTAGAGAAGAGATTTTTTTAATCAGTCCTTGTTTGGTTTCCATGACGTTCTTCATGACACGTGTGGAAGAATACATTTTACCACAATGCTGCTGAGGCATTTTCTGAGTTCCTTTGTGGTGTCAGTGGGGTTTTTACTTAGTGAAGCTGTAGACTAAGCAGAGAGAGAGAGGTCACATTCCTCATCTCAGCTCAGCTCATTCCTTATTTCTTCATCCGACTTTTTAAACCTTACCAGAGTTGCAATTTTAGAGCAGTTGGCAACATGGTGTTTGCGACGAGTCAATTAAATATTGAATATAATTGAGAATATGAAAAGCAAGAACTCCTTTCTGTGTGCTGTGATTAGAAACTCTCATGACCCCAAACATTTGACTCAAACTGCCCTAGCTGCCCCACCCCCACAGCAGTCTTCCGGCTGTTGTCCTCCGGGACTGCAATGGATGAAGGAATAAAGGGGAAGACTGGGTCTGACCTCATGCAAACAGCTGTACTCTCTTTGTCTTTTAAATACGTCCTCTTCTTAAACACAACAGGACAGGCCGTCTGTAGCTGCTTTCTAATGTACTGTGTTTCCGTGCAACGACGTTTTGATAGCGTCTGGATGTTTCTATTTTTCCAAAAAAACAAGGATCTTTTAATTCTTGAGCTGATTGGTTTTTACCGCACATCGTTTCTTCTCGATGTGAACTATCCATAGCGGTTTGCTGATTTGCACGCAGCGTCCAGCCTCCGCTTCTGTTCACCATCCCATTTGTGTTATCTAGTGTACGATACTCAGACACAGGCCAGCTTTGTGGCACATGCCTCTGACTGTAAGGCTCTATTTAGAAACAGCAGCACTTGTCACTCTAAAGGCACCCACACACGCACACACACACACACACACATGACTCTTGGTGTTCTCTTTTTTTAAACCTCGGAGAGTAACTGTTGAGTAGTCACAGTTGTGCTACCCAACCACTACCTGCTTGCCCTCCCCCTCTGCACAGAGTTTAGAGAAAGTCCCATGTGGAGCACACAGTCAAGAGAGAAGCGTGTTTGGATCAACATCGCTACGCTCCCTGACAGTCTTTGGGACCTCGGCACCCCCATGGTTTTGGATTTAGGGACGGATAATATGGCGGGATGCCCGAGTGAGGATCTGCCAATTTGTGACTGCGATGTCAACAGGCAGGACAAACTTTTTTAAGACTTTAACTTACACAACTAGAGTCTACAGCCTCGAAATAGCTCCATGTGCTTCCAACGTGCAAAGCTTATTCTTCTCATTCTCTTTAAATATCCAGCTACTGCTGTGTATAATAATCTTTTTAAAGGATTATTTATTATGAGTGCTACAGCATCCAGATATGTTTTTAGTATGTTTCTGCTCTACATTATACAGATTAATCTTCTTCCTGCAATGTTTATTTATTTTGTTTTTGGGAATCTGGTTTACATGGTGTTTAAAAATATTTAGTGGCAATGGCAGTAGATTATGTGTGATGCTATGCAATATAGCATCACACATATTGCTATGCAATATATGCTATGCAGCATCACACATATTGCTATGCAATATAGCATCACACAGTGATGTAAACAAATCACTGTGTCCTACAGCACATTATGAGATTCCTCAACGCTGGTTCAGGGATTTGGGGAATGTGGTTTGCAGCTGATGGCATGTAGCACGTACTGCCACATCACATTAGAACGTTAGAGCTGCAGTGCGAGTAGAGTAGCCCTGCTACATGTGTCTACTCTTTCCAGATGTTTATGTCATAAATATATCACCAACTCCTTCACTCCAATTAGCAAATACATGACAAATGGTGCCCAGTTCTTATGTAGAGGCAAGGAAAGATTCATTCCTTTCAACATGATCATCTGTGCAGATCAGAAATACTCCTCCTCACACTCATATTTTTCTGCTGCTCTGTTTTGCTGACCGTGGCACACATACAAATGTTTTCAGTAACTATCTCAGATGAACATTTTTCCTGTATTGCATTTTTTGGGTTACATTTTGACAGCTTTACAAAAATAACTTGGAAGACATCTTTCCATCATACTTTCATGCATTTAGAAATCAGTATATTTTCTAATATTGCTTTATTTGATGCAGCAATCAGTGATTTATATGTATGTTTTTATGATTTCCTGAAGCCTTGCGTTATTATGTGGCATGCCTCTGTGTTTGCACTTCCCATCATTTGACTCTGACTCGCTCTCTGAATCCGTTTGTCTACCAGGGTAAAGAAGTTGAGGGAGACCCTTGTGGCGGTGCAGCAGTTAGACAAAAACATGAGCAGCCTGCGTTCATGGCTGGCTCACATTGAGACGGAGCTTTCCAGGCCCATCGTCTACGACACCTGTGACGACCAGGAGATTCAGAGGAAACTCAACCAGCAGCAGGCGAGTGGGACATCACACACATTCAGGAGCAATAGAAATGACATCACGTCTTGCAGGCATGCTACAAACTGTAGAAACTAAATAACAGCAGGACATTATGACTCAAACTACGTTGGTGGAAAAGGTGTAGCATTGAATCACAGGAGGAAATCAAAGCGTGACTCGTGCATATATCTCTGGGTGGCTGATTAAAGCTCGCCTTCAGCCGGTACCCTTACTGACATGCATCTCTAATGCAAACTGGATTCTGAGACGCTACTGACCTCCATCCTCTCCACAGTCGCAAAGTTAGCTCACACATGCATTTACTGTGCTTATTGTGGCTGATTGTGCTCCTTTTTTTACACCAAAACCATAAAGAAGGACAAAAAAGCAGCATTTAACCTAATTTATTGGAATGCTAAAGACCACACATGCTAGTACTGAAAAAATCATTTTTTTATTCTGTCTGACTTGCAGGAGCTGCAGAGGGACATAGAGAAACACAGCACGGGAGTGGCGTCAGTGTTGAACCTGTGTGAAGTCCTGCTCCACGACTGCGACGCCTGCTCCACAGAGACCGAGTGTGACTCCATCCAGCAGGCCACCAGAGGACTGGACAGACGCTGGAGGAACATCTGTGCCATGTCCATGGAGAGGAGGCTCAAGTTAGTGCCTCTATGACGAATGCAAATTTTCAATATCTGCATTACAATGCACGCACTCGTGCAATCTTTTTTTCAAAGTTGCAAAGGTCCATTCAATCTTTGTTTTGAATAGGTAATTCAGCATTTAGATGTATGACAATATTTCAACATGTACTAGATACCAACCAGAGTCACTCCCTTCTGTAGTATACTATACCATTGTTGATTATGCTACTACTAATTATGCTATTATATTTTAGAAATTTGACATTACCGAGTAAATGTGTCCGTGCAGGATCGAGGAGACGTGGAGGTTGTGGCAGAGGTTTCTGGATGATTACTTCAGATTTGAAGATTGGCTGAAGACGTCAGAAAGAACCGCAGCTCTGCCAAACTCCGCTGGAGTTCTGTATACTGTCGCTAAAGAGGAGCTGAAAAAGTTTGAGGTTTGTCCATTTCACTCTTGTGATCAGAGTGTCTTGTAAATAAAAGTTTGCACGTATAAAAAAGCTGGATTGGAAGCTTGCTTTAAATGTTGTGTTTTTTTATTCCTGCGTGCTTTACTTTTTTTAAAGTTTCCTGTCAGACATTTACATTCCTCCATGTGAGCAGTAGATCACAGGAAAAAGAGAGAAGAGTGTCATGTTGCTCAAACTCGTCTGCACTGGTCTGATCAGCTGCTGCAGTCAATCTCTGTGCACGTGCACATTCCTGCTGCATGGCCTTTACCACCATTTAGATCTGCACAGTTGGTGCCCGAATGGAAAGTTGAATTTGGTTACAGATTTATATTTCAAATATTTAACAAACTTTTAATAATTATTTCACTGTTTTTTTGTTAATATATTATATTTTTATCAGTTTTTTAATTTAATTTCTTTCCAACTGCAGAATAGAAAACATTTCCACATTTTGGAGCCATCTGTAGTTCTTGTTTATATGTTGTATTCTTTGTGCATGTACATACATTTTTTTAAAGAAAATATTGTGTTAGTGTGTTTTCATGAATCAGGAATCAGGATCAGGAATCAGGAAACATTTATTGCCAAAATATGTCAGACATACAAGGAATTTGTCTTGGCGGTTGGTGCGTGACAGTAGACAGTGTAACAATAGACAACAAGACAGCAGTGCACAAGTAATAAAATAAAGTAAAAAACAAATTTCAAATGTGTGTCAGACGTTTAATGAGTCCGTGTTTGGATACATGTACATACTTTCATTTCTTTCATTCATTCTTTCATTTTTGCAGGCCTTTCAGCGTCAGGTCCAGGAGTGCCTCACCCAGCTGGAGCTCATTAACAAACAGTACCGTCGCCTGGCCCGGGAGAACCGCACAGACTCGTCCTGCCGACTCAGGGAAATGGTGCATGATGGAAACAGGCGATGGGATAACCTGCAGAGAAGGGTGACCGCTATCTTACGCAGACTCAAGGTAACATTTGTTTTAGTTTGTTGGCTCAATGACTGGCGCTTGCAAGAGTTACTGATGCAACTTTGGTTCTAGCATAACAGCTCGTCATTAGCTCTGTAAACCCTTTCTAGTGTCATCTGTCCACATGCAAAATCAATGAACTGTGTCCATATCCAATAATGTACTTAATCAGTCACTTTTTGGACCACCAATCTAACTAAGTTAGAATAATAAGGAATCAGGAAACATTTATTGCCAAAATATGTCAAACATACAAGGAATTTGTCTTGGCGGTTGGTGCGTGACAGTAGACACAAAACACACAATAGACAACAAGACCGCAGTGCACAATTAATAAAATACAATAAAAATAAAATGAATGCAATGCTAATGCAATGGGTTAGTATAAAATAAGAGAAAGTTAAAAATGTAAAATATTAAAAATAAAGTGCACTATCGAACAAGTGACATAGTGACGACATAGTGACGACATAGTGACGACATAGTGACGACATAGTGACGACATAGTGACGAGTGACGACAAAGTAACGAATGAAAAATTACAGTTAAAGAGAAGCAATACATGTATTTGTTTGTTTCTCTCTCTTTATATTCAGCATTTCATCAGCCAGAGGGAGGAGTTTGAAACTGCACGAGACAATATGCTGGTGTGGCTGACTGAGATGGACCTCCAACTGACCAACATAGAGCACTTCTCTGAGTGTGACGTACAGGCCAAGATAAAACAGCTCAGGGTAAGGCAGAATTATAGTCTGCAGAGGATGCAACACGCCAACATGATACATAACACAACCACTGCAAGAACAGTGTCTCCACAAATGAGTACAGAATGTATAAGAATATATGCGCTGATTGTTGTACTTTCCATAGTATTATATACTATCTGCTACAGTATAGAGGAACCACATTTATTATTGATTTATTATTTTCTAAAGATGAGAGGAAAATTGATTAAAATCAGGTAAATTATAATGATTTAAGTGCGGAAATGTAGTATACTAAGATTATTATTAGACGTAGTCAGATAAGTGCATTTTAAAAACATTTGTTGTGTTCCTGTGGTGAAACCAATATTTGGTTAATCTATTATTAAAGAAAATTACCAAGTATTTGCTAAAGTAGTACTAAAGTAATAGTACGCAGTTTTCTGACCTCTGCAATGTACATGTGCTGCTCAGGCTTTCCAGCAAGAGATCTATCTGAACACGGGGACGATCGATCTGGTGTTCAGACAGGGGGAAGCTCTGATTAAAAAGAGTGAACCTCTGGACGCGGCCGTCATCGAGGAAGAGCTGGAGGAGCTGCAGAGATACTGTCAGGAGGTTTTTGGACGAATCGACAGATACTACAAGAAACTCACTCGACTGCCTGTGAGTAAAGATAAACACAGGACTCAAGTACTTGTTGTAATCCCACAATATAACATTCCCCTCTGGTTGAAATGCACGTAGCCTTCTGATAAGTTAATAAGAGTGATGCATGTTTAAGTGTTCACTCCATTAGCAAGTATGTTGAGAACACCACAGTTCAGACTCATGTAACATTTTTATGTAAACACACACACACACACACTGACGTCAGTGTGCACGCTCACATTTCTAAGTGACTTTAAATAACATTTAAAGTGGCTCACTCTATTTTCTGTTTGTTAGAGTGTTTAATTTTCTCCCTCGCATTTTCGTGCACCTCCCATCACCTACCAATGGTTCCCTGTCTCCCAGCTGGCCGACGACGAGCTCGATGGTTCGGACAGAGAGCTGGACATGGAAGAAGGCGGCGAGCTCTCCGAGCTGCAGTGGGGTGACTCTTCTCTGCCCCGGACGTCCAGCCGCCCGGCCTCCGGCACGACCGCCCTTATCCGGGCGGATCGCTCGGGACGGGACACGCCGGCCAGCGTGGACTCCATCCCGTTGGAGTGGGACCACGACTACGACCTGAGCAGAGGTCTGGACAGCCCCGGGGGACGAGGCGGGGAAAGGAGCCGAGCGCAAGAGGAGGAAGATGAGTATCTGAGGACGGCTGCCGCAGTGCTGTCAGGTTGGTGAAATCAAATAGATTTTTATGTACGAGTACATACAAGCAATTTGAATCAAATATGAATATATTGTTTATATTTATCCCAACATTCATATGGTGTTAAAATTAACATATGTTATCCATGTTATGGATGTGTTTTGAGGGAGTCTTCAAATAAGGTCCAGTAGTTTCTGAGGCTCTGGCGGCAGTCAATCTCCATGGCCCACCTTTTTTAATTTATCCTAAAGACGTTTGTAGATTACCAGCGATATGTCATTCAATCATAGCCACATTTGTAAGTAGTGTATGTTGTATGCCTCTTTTCCCAGATGTAGTTATCCCAGAGAGCCCAGAGGCCTATATAAAACTGACTGAGGACACATTGAAATCGTCCTCCGGTAGGAAGCAGCAGCCCCCTGGTTCCGATAAGGAATGCCACAGCATGACAAATGAGAGCATGCCATGAACATCCGCTAAAACACTGCTTTCTTTATTCTTTATTTTTCGTCACCGCACAAGAAGGCATCGTTCCGGTTGCATGTCCCATCATCCGGATGAACGTTGGCATGTTTGAAGTGCACAACTTTGTTGCATGCTGATGTCCGGGTCACTAAATGCTAATCTAAACCATCGCATCCTTAATAGTGCGCCTGTTTTTTGGGTGTATCTAATATCGTTATTAATACGACAATAACCTGACATCTGTGTTTTTTGTTGTTGTTATTTTGCATTTCAGACTAATGCATGCCGTCACAGAATCAGCCTCCGCACCAAAACAGCATGCTAATGAAAAGACTTTGAAACATCTCCCCTTAACATCTTACTTTTCTCGACCTTGTTGTGGCCTCTGCAGGTGAGTCGGGCCAGCTGGAGGCCAGTCTCAGGCAGCTGGATCAGGCTCTGGATGCGGGGCGGTACCACCTCCAGCAGAGGGAGTCCACCGTCAACAGCTCAAGCCCCGACGTCGACTCCACGTACATGGGCTACGTGAGTCACGGCACATGGGGTTGTACTAACTTTTATTACAAGCCAAAATGTTTATCATTAACATCATCCCTCCAGATGCGTCTGATGGGAGAGTGCCGAGGCAGTATAGATGCCGTCAAGAGGGCGGAGGGAGAGCTGACTGAAGACGAGGACGACATGCCAGGACTCACCAACCCCACCAGCACAGACGGTCAAAGCGCAGGTCAGTTACACCCATTTCCCGATGGATTACCCTCCCTCCTATAAACGCCGTGTGAGCCAAGTTCCATTCGCGCCGTCTGTGGTCCTTCAGGTGTGATCAAGCGCTGGGAGCTGATCCAGGCTCAGACTCTGAGTGACAAGCACAGGCACAAGCAGAACCTGCAGCAGTGGCAGCAGCTGATGTCCGATCTGCGGACCATGTGGGGCTGGCTGGGTCAGTCTGAGGCTGAACTCAACCAGCTGCGAGGGCTCCAGCTCAGCACCGACATACACACCATCCAGCAGAGGATCAAGAAGCTCAAGGTTCGTTTCCTCGCTGTGCGTTTCAGTTGCTGCATCGGAGCAGCAGGAGTTTCTCCGACACGGTTTAACTGGATAGTACTTTAAATGTTGTAGTTTCAACTGTTGGCCATGTTTCCTCAGCCTACTCTGTCTTTTCCTGATTCGGCTTTGCGGTCAATAATCTACCGCATGCAGACGCTGTTTTGACTACTTTCCCCTTCGATACAATCCTCAGGAGCTGCTGAAAGGGCTCGATGCCCACAAGTCAGAGGTCCTGTCCATCAATCTGAGCAGTGCTGAGTTCTTCCAATCAGAGCCTGACTCCGAGGAGGCGTGGGAGCTGAGGGACAGGCTGAAAGAGATGAACACGCGCTGGGATCGACTGGGTTCCTCCCTGGAGCACTGGAGGGAGGAGCTACAGAGGGCGCTGATGCAGTGCCAGGTAACAAAAAAAAAACATACACATTCCTGGAAAATAATCACTTTTTAATCCATTTTATTGGCAAAAATCTCTTTTTCAACTTTCCGGAATCTCTACATTTTGAATTTTGTGAAGGACCCTCAAAGCATTGAAAGGTTTTACACAAACAAAGACAATGTCTGGAGGCATAAACTTTAAGTCATCTCCTTGTATATTAATTTTTGAAACAAGAATGAAAAGACCGTTTAATTACTTTTTTCACTTTTTAATTACTCTATAAGAACAGGACTTTTTATGACATACTATACTAAGACTTTATGTCGTAACAACGCTAAAACACATTTCAGGAGTTCCATGAGATGAGCCACGGCCTGCTGCTGTGGCTGGAGAACATCGACCGCAGGAGAAACGAGGTGGTGCCGGTTCCCCCCAAACTGAGCCGTGACACATTGCGAGCTCATCACAAAACACTGACGGTATGTCTCTCTAGTACGAGGTCTGTGTAAAGCAGACTCAAAGCTCCTCAGTATGAATTACTATTATTATTGCTGACCACATTGCTGCTTCCTGCGTCTCTTTTGTTTCTTTTTTTTCTGCAGAAAATCCAGCAAGAGCTGCTGGACTCACAGCAGAAGGTATCGTCTCTTCAGGAGCTGTCAGCTCAGCTGCTGGTCAACACCAAACCCTCGACGCTGCTGCTGCAGTCGACGGGCTCGGAGCAGACGCGGGCTCAGGGCGGCGAGTGTCTGGAGGCCCGGGAGAAGGTGCACGTGATCCTGAACAGGCTGAGGCTGCTCCTGAGGGAGGTCAGCTCGGACCTCGAGGAGCTGGAGAGGAGACTGGAGACAAAGGACACGCGGCAGGTCGGAAAAAAAACGCCCGCCGAGTTGTTACTTGCTTACTAGCAGTTTTATTTAGATCAAAGCGCTGTAGTGACTGTCGCTGTTTGTGTTTATTTTTTCAGGATTGCTTAGCGTTGCCTGTCGGCAAGTCGGAAATCTGTGGATCAGCTGGTGCCGAGTCAGAGGTGACTGTCAAAAGTCGCAAGCGATCGGTAATGTTTCCCCTCGTAATGTTCCTCCCCTCACTAAAAATGACATCAAATTCAACTTACTCATTTATTCTAACTTAAGTACCACATATTATTTTTATGGATAGTTTAAATGTTTGTCCTTTTTTTTCGATTGCTGTACTGTAGTGTACCTGAGATTTTTTTTTGCTGCCTCCCTCCCGACCCTCCCTTGTTTAGATGTTTTTGCTGCCCACATCATGTTGATCTGCCAAAAATGTACAAGAAAACCTGGCTTTTCGGTTCACATGATAAAACTGTTCTTTTAATAGCAATAGTTTAGGTCTCATTTTGGATTTCATAGATAAAGGAAATACAATTTTCTCTGTTTTCTAACGATTTAACTTTAACAGCTATGCATATTTAATTATGTCATTTTCTAAACGACTTAAACTAATTTAGTCTAGAGAAGCCAGATTTCTTGGATCTGAAAGTCAATCACCGTCATTGTTTACGTTGCTGCTCTTTTATTGTTGACGATTCCTCCTCTAGCGATGTTATGGCTCTTTATGTTTTTCTCTCATCTGAGGCTTTGTCTTCATTTGCCCTTGACTGAAACATTCTTTTCTTTCTTTTACACCTCCCTGCTCATTACGCGGTACAGCCTCGAGGCAAAAGTAGTCAGGCCCACCAAGGACACCCTAAGAGCGGCCCGCGCCACAGGTACCTCTCTCCTGGACTCTAGAAACGTGGGATGATGATGGAACCAAAGCTATGCCTAGAAACGCTATTTCTACTCATTCAATCCATGAGAAAAATCAATGAATCTCATTAAGCTGCGTCTTACCTGCTGTGAAAGACATTATTCGACCATTTTGATTTTTAGCTCCTTTGATTTGTTTTTGGGCTTTAACCCTGTGTTCCATGATGCTCCCTTATTCTAGAGACCATGTTGTCAGCTCTTAAACGAGTGGGGAATCGCTCCTCTTCTCCTTTAAATGTTTTACCTCACTGCTTCTCTTTGCCCTGCTGCTTCTTGAATGGCATCATGAAATATTGCTCCGTCATACTTTTTGCCTTTTGTCTCCGAGTGACTGACACTCTCCTCCACTAGATGTCGTTCTCTGAATCCCGCTGATCCCACAGCCCTTTTTGTGTTTCCTTCTCGTTTTATTGTCTTTATAATTAAAAGGAGGATATGATGCAATAACTCCTGCTCTTTTTCCTTTTACCTTAACTCCCACCTTGTTTCCTACGGTTCCTTTCCAGACATCTTAACTCACTCTGACTCTCTTCAGATTGTTCTGATCTAACTTATAACAACAACAAAAAATCAAGTCTTGCAATAAGTGTTTTTATAGTCCTTTTATATGAAATGCAAGTACTCTATTTCCCGTGAACAGGCTTTTGGAGACAAAAATCCAGCAACGCATGAGGCAGTGCCATGAACTACATCTCTGAATGTGTAATGTTGCTCGTGTGCTTGCGGCACGAGGCCTAAATTGGAAGGCAGTAGTGTGAGGGATCCTCTACGAGGATGAGTTGGTGAGAACACGAGTTTTCGAGTCTTTGCTTTAACCGTGGAAATCTGCGCGGAGCCAGTTGGCGTTTCTCCTGCCCCTTTCTGGAACGCAACGTGGTGTTGACGTCTCGCACACTCTGCTCTAAAGCCGAAGTGTCCCCCCCCCAGAGAGACGCAGCCGGCTACCTACGAGCGTCTGTGGTTTTCTGTGTGTTTGTGCCTTTATGACTCTTTCGATCTTTGAATCTGGGTCTTTTTTGCTGCATCTTCAATTTCCTTCCCGTTGAGTGTTTGTTGAGGCTTCGTTCACTGGTCAGACGTGGGTGAAGTAGTATTTGCAAACATGTTGGTTTTACCTCTTTTGAAATGTAAGAATTGCCATTTTTAGGATAAATAAAATTTTGATGACCTCCTGTTTAATTAAATTTGATAAAAGGAAAAGATTTTGTCCGTTACACATTTTAACGGCGCTCAACCAAAGGAAAATCCGGAATTTACCTTCACATGCTTCCCATTGATTGGATTAACTTTTGGATCTGTAAACAATATTCCAAATTCCAAAACACAATGACTCTGAGGCTGAAGGCCCCTTTCACTATAGATCACCAAAACCTCCAATTAAAAAACAATTTTGACTTAACTTGATTTGCAAATGCTAGTGAGCTCGGGTCTGTTCTCTTCTGTGTTTAACTCAACTCTGTGTCTTCCGGCAGCCGGAGCAGATCACCAAGCGCCGCTGGCTGCGTTTCCTCCCGTTCTGACCTTCCGGATGGCGTTTCCTCCTCCTCCTCAAAAGGCCAGTCCTTCCTGCTGCGGGTCCTCAGGGCCGCGCTTCCCGTCCAGTTGATCCTCCTGCTCTTGATTGGTCTCGCCTGCCTGGTGCCCATGACGGAGGAGGACTACAGCTGCCACCACGCCAACAACTTTGCCCGCTCCTTCCACCCCATGTTGCGCTACACCAACGGACCTCCACCCATCTGAATCAAGCAGCTGAACTAGCTGATCTACCAGCTGCTTTGCTGAGGACTCCACTGAATGTTTCCTCTTCACCCAGTGCCCTGAAGTAACAAACCCTGCTATCATGCTTTACGAAGTGATTCAGAGGTGATACCAAGACTTCTCTCTGTTACGTTGCTCACCGCGAAATCACCTCAACCCTTTAAATCCACTCTCCAGAATAGATCGACGTTCATTTGGAGAACCCCCTTTTCTCAATCTAGGTATTCCCTGCCGTTTTAAACTAAATGAGTGTATAATTTTTCAAGGTGTATGAAGAATCCTGAGAAAACAATGAGAACAAAAGCACTATTTATATACTGTATGTTGGGCGCCAAAGTCGACCGTGCTTTTTGTCAATGATATCCAGGGCTGCTACTATTTATTTAAGGTTCGATCCGTTTATAGATTGTATTCAGTATTGATTCAACTACAGAACTCCCTTGAGTGTGGGGTATTGTGCCTCCGTTTCAGTAGCAACCAGTCTCAGATGTCAAGTTTGTTACTAACAGACACATTTGGAAAAAACACTCGGACCCGACGACTGAAACAGCATAAAAATCAGCTCAAGAGGAGTACTTCTAAATGCGGTTGAACTAAAAAGGAACCTAGAGCACTGACATGAGCACTGTCTGAGTTACTTGCTCTGAAGACGGCCGACTTCTTTCCCCAATCGCTGAGGCATTTATTCCTGTTTTGAATTTCAGTATTTTATTTGGGGATGAAAAAGAGATAGCTCTTAACAGATAGAAGTATGTTTGTTGAAATGCCTTTTGAATACAGGCAGTTATTTTTGTATTTAAGTCCCCTGCTTTTAAGAAGGCCAAACAATCACTGGTAGTGTTTAGTAGACGCCTGCAACATCAAATAGTGAGCTTTGTAATGACTGCGACAATTATTCTGCGCATCAGAATCTGTAAAAAAAAAAAAAAGAAATGAAATATGAATGTTATTTATGTATGTACAGTTTGCTAATGCCAAGTTCATGAAGAATACTCTTTGCAAATAATAAAACATGAATTATTTAACTCTGCATACTCTTGACTTTGGGATACAAACTCAAAAGAAGGTGATAAACAACTTTCCCCATGAATGCTTTTATTTGTATGCACAGTAAACCAGTGACATGTCAGTTCAGGTTTGCCTGGACTTAAATGATCATTTACTTCTATATATTTTATGGGGGCTTTCCATTCACATCTTAGTGGCACATACCACAGATTGAACTACCTGAAACAACACTGTTGTCCTCTTTTTGTCAAGTATTTCTTTCCTAGCAACATACCTGCTTGAACTTTGATTTCTAAAGGCAACAAATCACTGGACATATGTTCAAGAACTATTTGGCAATTAGTAATTTTTCAAGCAAAAATGCCAAATAGGTTTCAGTTCCTTGATAGTCAATATATACTTTGTAGACAATGTGATACATATGTCCATTTAAACAGAAATAAAAAGCAATCGCATATGTGCACCCACATTATGTATTTTTTCAGAGGTGTGGAAATCCAGGCAAACTCGAGATGTAATTAGCGGATGAACAGCGACTGGTTTGTAGGTTTGTTGAACAACTGCATCGAATCAAGAATCTATGCATGAAATACAAGTCTACGGATACAAGTCTACGAGTTTGTGCGAGAGGTAAAACAATTTGTTTGGTTGAAATCCGAGTGGAGCAACACAAACACATAATTAAGGCAAAGTCAGAAAAAAAACACCTTGGTGCAGGTAAGCATAAAGAACAAACTAATTACACGCAAAAGCTGTGGCTATGGGGACCATCTTTAACTATTCAAAATTCAAAATATATCCTTTGTCACTGATCATTTCGTCATTAGAAGGATTTACATCTAATTTTAAAATTGTGTGTGCACAATACCTGATATATTGTAATTTAAACAAAATAAATTAGTTATTTCAACCGGGTTTTTATCATAGTTAAGTGCATAATCATTCTTATTATGTAAAAGTAAAAATAAAGCACAATAGCCTCTTAAAACGCAGAGGAAGTGCACTTTGGTCAAGGCAAACAAAAATAAATCAGCTGCTCGTCACTTCAAAGCAACAACGTGACTACACACCTGCCGCTTTAATAATAATAAGCAGACTCAAAATCACAGATATGAAAGGCAGTACAAAATATTAACTGCATTTACGCGCAGATTTTAGTGAATTGAGTATTGCAAAGGAAAAATATACAGCTACAACTATAAAATCACTGAATTTATAAATAATTATCTCATGAAATGAATTAAAATACAACCATTACATGTCATTCCCAAGCCCCTCTCATTACGTGCTGCGCGTATCTGTGACCTCCAGATGACCCTCGCTGCGCTCTGTCTCATAAGACGTGGGTGCAATCAGACTGGGACCCTCCGTACTGCAGGACAGTGGGGGCTCTGATCGGAACCTCGTGGGCGACTCGGGGTCCTGCATTGGAACCACCAGAGGTGGAGCTGCTGCCGCCGCCGCCACTGCCGCTGTTCATGTCGGTGATGGTGGTGGAGGAGAGAGGCTCTCCGTCAGCGTGGAACCACGACTCACCCGGTTTGTCCGGCCGGTGGAGGCGGTGAGCATCCAGCATCTCGAGCAGCAGGTCGTACAGGGGCACTTTGTTCTTGCACTTCATGCTGTAGAGATGCTCCATGCCTTTGTTGCTGCAGAGAACATTTTTAGAAATTGAGAGACAGGACCTTTTCAGTTACACAAGACAGAGCTAATGGGGGAACCTACCTTTCAATGAACCATGAGGGCAAGTATAGCGTGTCATAAATATGTCATTTAAAAGGCATCGTATAGTATGGCGTAAAAAGGATTTAATAAAAATGTCATAACTTAGTATGTTGTCAAAATGACATAAAAAATGTCATAGCCTAGTATGTCATGAAAATGTCATAGCTTAGTATGTCGTAAAGATGTCATAGTACAGTACAGTAGTCATTAAGTGTCATAATAAATGTAATAGTAGAGTATTTAATAAAATGTAAACAGAAATGTCATAGCAAGTCATTAAAATGTCATGAACAATGTCCATAGTTTAGTTTGTCATAAGTGTCATCAAAAATATCTTAGCATAGTTTGTCATAGTTTTTGCATTGCATGTACTATAGCAATGAAACGGAGATGGGAAATGAGGCGACTATTGTAAAACTCCCTGCATAATCCTTTAGGTAGAACTTGCATAGAGCGTAGGGAGTATTTAATAAGTGAGTGAGTTCAGACATCCATAGTAATCGACAGGTCTGGTGATGAGAAAAGCAGCTGCCCACCTTCTATATGTCATGAAATATCCCTAACGCTTTTAAAGAATTCACCGGTTAAGCTCCTACAACAAAAAACATTCTGGATTACTGAAACACGATTCTCTGCAGAATATGTTGAAAAGGACAGACTGTTACCATGGTAAAAGCAAATGAGATATTTCATAATTCAATTTCACCTCATGTGTCTGATGTGGGAGAGCAAGAGGAGCAGCTGGGCCTGCCGTCTCGACTGCTGCTGCACCGAGCAACCGGATTGGCCGATGTGATGTATGAGAGTGTCTGTGATGGTGTCCAGCATGTGCTGAACCGCTGCGGTGTCGTGGAGAGGCTCCATTGTGCCTGTGCAGAAAGAAAAGGCCCCTGACGGGAGAGAAACAACAGAAGGTAAATGGGAACGTCCTAATTAAATAGTGACTGAAAGCGTTCAGTTCGTGAAGAGAGAAAAATCTGATGTACTAATGTGATAAAAAAAAAAAGAAGAAAAAGCTCTGCTTGCAACAAGCTTCAAAAAATAAATAAAACAACAATTTGATCTTGATGAAAGATGCGCCTCACACACGGGTCTGGAGCACATGCAGCATTTCCCACACAGCAATCAAACATTCATCCGGCTCCAGCAGCTGTACCTGCTGTGTCATCCCGTTGGCATCTCAGGCCGCTCAGCTTCCCATATAGAATATCTCAATCTCCGGGACAAACACGGGCCTCATGTTGCCTCAGGTTGTCATGGGAACAGTTATCGAGCATATTAAGGGCGCAGGCCTTTCTAGAACACTGTGTTCACCCGATGTGCCCGAGCGGCGCTCAGAGCTACACCTTTGTGGGTGCAGTTCGACGCCGTTTACTCTCGGGAACAGGAACCTGCGACCCGCGACAAAGTAGTGTGGAATTAAAAAGGCTGGTACAGAACGCACACACAGACACACACGTCGCCTCACCGGAGTTAAGCAAGATGATCGCTTTGAGACAGACAAACTCTTCGGGTTTGAGTTTGAGCAAGCGGAAGCGGGAAGCGGTGGCCAGCAGCATGTCGAAGATCTCCGCCATGCCCTCGACGCAGTCGCCTTCGTTTCTGGAGAGCAGAGTTCAGGGAAAACACGGCGGAATGTTTTTATTTTTGTCTTTTCTTTTATATAGGAAAATCAGAAAAAAACAAAAACGGATTCAACCAGCGATGCTGTTGACAGCGGCCAGGCAAACATGTGGCGGACTGAATCGCCGTAACGCTCCCTTTGTCGGGGAAGTGACAGAAGCACAGATAACGTCCGGCGGTTAAGAGTTGCCGGATTGAACTGGACGGCGCGGAGCCGAGGGGATCGATCGACCCGGACCCACAGCGCTTGAGTCATCCCGGCCACTTGGCGAGGACGCTCAAAACAGGAAATCAAACGGGGACCGTCGGACACATCGCAGGGTAAAAGCTGTCCTCCCTCATCCTTGTCTCTCTCTCATTTTTTTCCCACTCAGAGGTAGATACGGTCTGACCATCTTGTTCATTGTGAACATGGGGAAAAATGTAGGGAACAGGCTGTGCCGACTAAAGAAGAAAACCATGTCTGCATGTCTATGTTTTTGTCTGTTTGTCATTTAGCTCTCTCCTCCTCCTCCGCCTCCTCTTCCGTTCTTCCCTTTCCCTCATTCCTTGCATTGAGTCCTTGATTAAATCTCGGCTCTGGTTGCCAGCTCAGCACAGTAATGATGAGGAGTGTTTCGGGGGAAAGCGAGAGGCTGCTCTCTACTCCGCGGGTGGGGGGTGGGGGGGGGACATGTAATTAGTCACACTCTTGGGGCGGCACAATGGCTGGAAAAGGTGTGAAATAGAAAATCTATGATGATGCATCACCCTTAAGGTGTGTGCGAGAGTGTAGATAGAAAAACAGGGAGGAAAACCACGTGCAGAGAAAGAGGGTTTAAGCCGCGTATCCCTGGCTACCTGTCGAGTATCAGGTCCTGTGCGAAAATGAGCTTTCCGGGGCAGTGGATGGACCTCCAGATCAGCCCGATCATCAGCACCTCCAGCCACGAGCTCTCCAGCAGTTGCACCTGGTCGTGGAGGCCCAGCTGCAGGAAACCTACAAGCACACTCACACACACATACACACGTGCGTACAGCGCATCAGTACGAGTATTCCGGGAAAGGGAACAAGGTGATCCACACCCGGTGTAGATTTAACACGTTTCTATAGCAGCCGTCCAGGAGCCACGTCGGCCCTTTGACTAACAATACTGGACAATGGGCCTCATGCCAGAAGGCGATATGAGAACAGATGTCCTCTCGTTTTGGTTAGAATTCACAATTTGTTCCAAATCAAATTGATTTCTGAGATTCACCAGAGTTTTCTTATTTTTGCTCTTCTTTGTTAAAATGTTAATAGTAGCCGAGAGCACTCGATGCATCTTGTTTTTCACAGACCACAAAGGGTTTGTGCAGCGGAAAGTTTGAAACATGAGGAACAAGTTATTATTCAAATGGGATTCCTCATTCAGCCCTTCTGGACATGGACGGTCAAGAATGTTTTGACATATCTTATTTTTTCTCTTAAAAGACAAATGAATAGAACATTTAAGAGAAATTTGTGGAGAATGTTGCTGCATGAGACCCAATACATGTTTTGTCCTGATCATCGGTGTTATTTGGATTTAAGACCAAATGAAAACACACAACAATCTGGTGTTTGAGAAGATGATGTTCACTCGGTGCTGAATAAATGTTTTGTTGTGCACCTTCATTCTTTTTATAAAAATAAAATTACACGCACTATTATTATCTGCCCGGGAATGGCTACTTAAATTAAAGCACCTGCAATCTCTGCACTCTTGCAAAGGCTTATCGCCGGCACTCAGCTGTCTCGATTCATCGGTAATTACAGCCAATTCACTCCCATTGTCCCCCTCTGCACCCTGTTTGGGACCTCTCGCAATTAAAACGCTGCGCCTTTGGGCTTTTAGTGACGCACAAGGTGGTAAAACCTCAAAATAAAGATTTGCTCACTTAGGGAGCTTGTGTGTGTGTGTGTGTGTGTGTGTGTGTGTGTGTGTGTGTGTGTGTGTACATGTAGAGGGTGATGTGTCCTACACTGCATTTAGGCTCGATGGGGGGGGGGGGTTAGGGGATTGGCCAAACAATCCTCCCAAAGGTGGCGACTGTAATCACCATTGCTGTAATGGCTCTACATTTGTGTGTGTGTGTGTGTGTGTGTGTGTGTGTGTGTGCTTCAACTATCGAAGACCTGATGTCAGTGACCCGTTTGCACTGAGAGGCTTATATTTCACCTAGAATTCTACAGTATTTTGTGCTGCAGTTGTGCGGTTTGTGAAGATATTTATCATGTATCCATTAACTTTAAAAGGGACATTTTTAAAGCCTTTATTGTGGTGTTGTGTTTCTGGAAGCCAAAGACGCGTTTTAGAGGTTTAACATGCAACAACATCTTAAATAATCTACAGACTTATTGCTCATCACTAATGACCCACACAACATCGCGCCTGACTTTAATAAAAACTGAGCTCATGATTGTTTAACTGTTCGGTCATGTGTCATGATGTTTTAGGAAAGTTTTAAATGGATGTACGCAATCTGTTAAACATCACAGTTGTTTTGCTGAATCTCAAACTGTGGGGTCAAAGGGCAGTTGGCTCATTTTGAAAAAAAGTTCACAACCCACTGTGATAATTCCCTACAGACAGGATATGTTTGATGCTAATGGACCATGAATGTTATCAGGCTTCCGGCAAGTCTCAAGAGACTCTAAACAGTTATTTGTAGGTTTTCGCCAAATTGCGGCCAAAATATAAAGTAATTAATTAATCTGTCAGACAATGTCCGTTAAAGAATTTTATACAAGGGTCTGCAAAACGTATTGCTCCTTTAAATTTATATTTTAGTAATATTTAATTAAAGAATATATATTTAAAAAACATATAACTTGATAAAAAACACTCAATATAAGAGGGTTTAGTGCTGAGAACTATTTCAGTCGATACAGTACCTGGAAGCTTCTTGGCCCAAGCAATCATGTGGACCAGCTCCTTATCCGCCATGCTGGTGAGCAGGGTCATCATGGTGACCTCGGTGTAGGGTCGGTTCAGCTTCTGGCGGGAGCACAGCGTCGGCGGCTCGGCACACTGGAGCAGGAGAAGCACCTGGGGAAGCAGGAGACAGACAGAATAAGAATGTGACCAGAGAAAACAAAAGCTACAAACAAACGTCTCCGCGTCCCAGACACCAGGCCACTATGTGTGAATGTACGAACATTCGCGTTCCTGCTCCTGGCCAACGACACCAACAACAAAGAAACACGTGTCTCCGCGAGAGCGAGCACCTGGTCGGGAGGCATGCTGGTCAGGAACGACTTTCCTCCACCACAAGCACCGCTGCTGCTGCTGCTGTTGCTGTTGCTGTTGCTGCTGCTGCGCTTCCTTGCGTCCTGAGAGGGCACCGTCCTGTGCTCCAGGTCCTTAGAGGCCTTGTCTCTGTCACCGAGGCCAGTGCGTCTCTTGTCCCGCCGCAGTACGCGGCCGCGGTCCTTGCGCACACCTTAAACACCCGGCAAGGGGTTTTTAGTACACACAAACCCCAGAGATGCGTGTACCGCACAAACATCGCTCACACATAACTGTATATCCTGTTTTTACCACAAAGTCCAGCAGTGCAGATTACTTGGATGCCTGAGGGATTCAAGAAGTATGAAAACAAAAATGTGGGTGTGTTTTAATCAGTTGTCGTACTCCTTAAGAGGAAATAACTTCAAGGTCATGTTAAAGTTAGTCTCGAGCTTATCTGCATCTACCAGGACACTGATATTTGTGCCAAACCTCTCAGCAAAAGGCCACGGTTGATCCATGGCCTTTTTTAAATTTCTTAAGAACAGGGTGATACAAATGTGGAGCATTTGCCGGCATTAAAACAATATATAAAAAGCTAAAAAGGAAAAATAAATAAAATGACAGTAAAAACAACAGGATAATGTTGGTGAATGACATCCAATTGGAAAAAGTACATTTGTGAAATAAAACAAATAAAAGCGTGTCTACCCACCTCCTTTCATCATGCCCACTTCATAACACTTTCTAAGACGGCAAGCCTGGCAGCTCTTTCTCCGATTCCTGTCAATAGTACACTGATTGGTCGCCGGGCACATATAGTCATTGTGACCTGAAATGGAAGAAAATCTATTACTTCAATACCCCCACTTCAGTGTTCGGATCAGATTTATTTTATTTAGTAGCCAGGGACACTCTATTCCCATTTTAAATGGATCTGAGATGGAGAAAATTAAAACTTGTCTGTCATTGCCATGGAGACTATTGGTTTCTGTATGACCCGTCTTTCATTACACAACTTGTCAATATGCCAGAGCATCATATCACAAACATGGCTGTAGGCGACAACAGAAGTGTTTATCTCCACAGAGGCGCAGTACATGGAGGCTGTCCATCACGTAGCATGAATGACATGAGATGCAAACATGGATAAGATAAAGTGGAAATAAAAATAGAGAAACCTATAATTAACTAATTTAAGTTTGCTTATTTCTCTGTTGAGGTTACAGGCACTGCACTTGGAATCCACAAGCCTAATAAGCTGCTGAGGGACTAATTCCCTGTCCTTTCAAATCAAAACTTTGATATTCACTGTTGTGGATGTTCTTAATTAAATCACACTAAGTGCTATTTTGTTGCCTGACGCCAAAACTATTTTCTACGGACCAGTCGGGAAATAACACTCCACGAGAGACACATTACGTCTGGGCATTTCTCAGTCATTATCTCTCACTAGTTGAAATCCATTTGGTCGCAAATGGGTGGAGCAGGAAGATCACCTACCCTGGATGCTCCTCTTAAAGAAGGCCTTGCAGCCCTCACAGGACCACACCCCGTAGTGGTACCCAGAGGCATAGTCACTGCACACGGCACAGAACCGCGTCTCCTTGGCCATCTCAAAGCCCCCGGCCTCCGCGCCGGCGCCTGACTCCCCCAGACTGTACGACTCCTCGCTGGTGGCGGACTGGTCCTCTCTGGAAACCGACTGCTGACTGGATGGTACGCTGGACATGTCACATGACGTGGATTTTTCGGGTCAGTTTAATTACTGGATCTCGGGAAATCTTCAAGGACGGCGGCAATCAATTTTGATGCAGATAGAAGAAATGTGCGACATTTGTTTCTTTGTCAAACACTTGTTTCATAAAAAGTAAGAGCAAGCAATTACTTGTTTGTCATTGCAATCGTTATCCTCAACAACTTTAATTTGATGCAAGCAGAGAACCATTTTCCACCTGAGGCAGGAAGCAATCTGTACGTGTACTTCAGTTGTTCTAACGTATTGTTCCCTGCTCAAGGTCCTTGACAAAGTCCTTAATCTCTGGAATTAGAAACCAGGGTAAAGCTTGATCCCTTCTATTGAGATAGTGGCATTGTTTTGTTTGAAGCCAAAGACTAATAAAACAATGCACGCATTATCGTGTTTTGTTTAAAAATGCATCGTGATGATTGCTAATGCCGTGATTTGTGAGTGAAAGATATTAAATGCAGTTATGTGGCAAAATGCCCCACTGCCGCTCATAAGAAAAAACACAAAGTCAGTATATAGGATATACTTCTTTAACTTTGTGCTGGAATCTAAAAAGAAAAAAGAAATTGGCAAAAGAAATGTGACTGATGTCAACTTTCAATTAAATATTTATTAATGCACAAATAAAACGTATGGTGAATATTCACCACGAATGAAAGCAGTGACTCATACGTGTTGATGCAGAGTCTATAAAAAACAACATCTGTCCGAGCTCACACACAAACACCTCCGTCGACTGTAGTGATCAAAACTAAACTGCATTGGCTCACCTGTAGGCGTGCGTTGAGGTGGTCTCCAGATAGTGGTGGCCGGGTGGGGGCAAAAAGGGGCTGAGTCTGGGGCTGGAGGGCACAAACACTATAGGACTGGTGGGCCCACTACCCAGGGACTGCAGGCTGCCGTCTGAGGGCGGCCTGTGGGAGTCCAGAGGAGCGGAGTAGTAGCCAGGGGTGGAGTGGCTGTAGAGGGGAGTCGGGGCAGGGGTGGGCGCAGCGTAGTCGTATGTCCCTTCCAGGAAGTCCACAGTGGCTACCCCTCCGGACCCCCGGCTCTCTTCAGGATACATTTCACTGAAGTGGGCACGTGGTGGAGGCGAGGGACGCTGCGGGGAGCGGGTCTCCAGTTCTGAGAGGGCTGGGCTGATCCGGGTTCTGAGTACTGGTCTGCTCTGCGTCGGGCTCTGCCTGAGCAACATCACAGCACAACAGCACTGATATGCAACATGATTTAGACTTGCTCTCCCAATTTCTGGGAGGGGGAGTGGAGACGAGTATCTCTCTCTCTCTCTCTCTCTCCACACTCGCTCTCTCTTTCCACTCTGTATCTCCTGCCTCTATTCCAACAAAAGCCCGTCAGGCAACTTGAAGGGTCCACTATTCTCCCAGTGCCTTTGCCCTATCTGGCTCCCGCCCACCGAGCAGCAGAAAAAAACAAAAAGACATGCGAGAAGGCTCCTCCCATGCTGGTGGGATAAGGACGAGAAAGATGGACAGAGAAACGGGGATTCCCAAATAACCTCCCGGTTCACTCTCCCACAACACAACCGTAAAATGTTCACCTCCAAATTCACGTTTCCTACCCCGAAAATGTTTTCCTGGTTGTAGCTGGCACCTGGAGAAAAAAACAACACATCTGTAAAGTAGCAGAGGGATGTTTACCAGATACTCGGCAAGCTACACCTGAGACTGCAGTACATTAAATCACTGTGGGAATGAGAAACATTCAGACAATGGTTTTAATCTATGGAGGGTAAAACAAAAGCCCAAATCCAGCGTCGTACTCCGCTCACCTCTCACACGGGGTTCATCCTCAAATCCGCTTGTGAGACTTCTCTCTTCCTCCTCGCTCGTCGCTCTGCTCTCGCTGACTCTGGGAAATGTGGCTGGGTTCATCGAACACAACGTCGGACAGGGGAAAGGTTAAAAAGAGGATAAACAAATTAAAGAAGAGGCCAAATCGATAAGCAAACCTCGGTGTGTTTTGGTGCCAGGTCACCATAACACAGCAAACAGAGCAGGGGGTCAAATCTCATTGCGCCAGCCAATAATTACACAATCCATCCCAAATGAGGGAATTGATGGTTATTTTAATGGAATGGTGGATGCCATAAATTATATATTTCAACAAACGTTAACAAAATAATGACAGATATAAAAAATAAAATAAAAAATCGTATTTTCCGAGTGACATTACATGGAAAGGAGGATATTATTACTCCACAACGTGGACCAGTTAATCATTACTTGATCAGGTCAAGTCACAGATAAAATAGAACACTATATATAAACAAATCAAAGCAAAACTTCAGAGAATTTAAATCAAGATTTAAGAATTAAATGTGCATGTTAACTGCACCAAAGTTCGAGGGTTGTGATTGTCAGGGATCCTGTTCGTCCAGGCATTGGGACCAGGCATTAAGATGCAAAAAGCACGAAAAGAGCTTAAATACTTCAAAAAGTAATAAATTACTTTCCAACATTTAGGAGAAGGGTTAAATAAAACCACTTGCAAAGGGAGTTCAATGTCAAAACATATCAAATTGTCAATCCCAGATTTCAGATAATAAAAACTAAAAACAATCAACATCTTGAAATAAACGTACTTATTTCTGGGTGGAAGAGTCAGAAACTCATAAAGATGATCAGCAGCAACAACCTCCCCCGCCGAGGGCCCTGTCACACGCACTTCATTTTCCCTTCTCTGCAACATCTTTCTTGAGTAAACAGCCCAATTTTCAGGACATGTCAGGTCAAGTGGAAAACAAGCAGCCCAGATGATGATACATATTATTTTTCTACATTTCCCCCGGAATAAAACGAAGACTCTGTTGAATGAGAAAGTGGGGAAATTAAGGGTTATAAAGAAACAGCCAAATCCCCTAAATGGCTTCAGATGCGTCCCGGCATGATTCATGTCATTTTCATGACGGACCACATTTACAAAAGCAGCCTTGATGATTCCATTTGGTTTTCCCAGCTCATTCTGGAATTGTAATGCACATGTTGCAGCATTTCCAGATGTTCTTCTGAGTCCACACTGACCCAGAGCAAATAAAAGGTCAACAACGGTTATAAGATATCAACGAACAATGTCACACAACTAGGGAACATTTACGTTGCCTAATGAATTACTGTCCGTGTGCAGATGCAGTTGCTCACTTTAAGTGAATGTATTCACAATATTTGGCTGAAGATTCTGCTGCTGCGCTTGAACATTGTTGACTGAGATGAATAAACCATGCGGTTTTAAGTACCAGATAAAAACGCGAGTTGCTTACTTGTCTCTAATCTTCTATCTGTAATGTTTGTAAAGTAAGACAGTGGGGAGAAGAAAAAAACAGCTGTGCAGTTCTTTATTAAATCAAACTCATTAATGGAAATCCTAAATCCATCCAGTAGAATAATCCAGTTAACACCTCCGAGGTACTGATGAGGACACTTTAAATGACATAACAGCGTCAGTGAAGGTCTGGTTTGCCTTGTTAAACAAAACAAGCACACATTGTAACTGTTATTGTTCCACTTCCCCAATAACAGTCTGCCATCTTTCAAATTAACCAAAATGGTTATCAAACAATGATAGCTTTTACTTGGATTTGAATTGCCATCTTCATGTTTCGATATGTGCATATAAATACCACAGAATGAAACAATAAAACAACCGGAGCCGAGTAAAAAGAAGTTGTATATTACATTACCCATTGAGCGGCTCAGCTGCTCTGATTTTTAAAGCCCAATTCATACTGAAATAGTCAATTGCATCTACACAACCTGTAAACATATTGTGAACAGGACATAAGCTCTTTGCATCAAAATGAACAACATCCATTATTTGCCATAACAAACAACTTTTAATTTGTTACCTCGGAGGATAAATTTGTGACCGTAAACAATTGTGCTCAAATCATCGGGAAAAATGAAGTGTTGGCTAACATTGGAAGTATGACATGGCACAAATATGTTGTACAACTAAAACCTTTCTGTTACAGTAAATATTTCTATCCAGGGTGGTGCAGAGCTAACTGACAATGAGGTGCAAAGACTCCTTCTGCTGGTACCTCCAACTGTAATGTTCTGATGAATCCACACCGCCCCGTCTCAGTCTTTCTGTTCTGACTTTGCGTTGTCGAACTGAACGACAGCGTATTTGCCGCTGGTCATCCACTCAGGATCTTGGGAGCCGAGCCGCTCGCCTTGGCCCGGCTGCAGACCAACCTGGACGTTGGCCTTGAGAGTCCTCAGGCTGCACAGTGGCGCAGGCCCAAAACCTCTCAGTGCGGTGTGGAAGCTCGCTGTGTGGTCCCACTCCCGGTCCCCGGTCAGCTTTCTGTAGTTGAGATCCCCCTTAAACAGCACCAGGTCTGCCCCCTGCAGGGTCGCATACAGGTCAGGCGCATCGGCTTCCATGTCACAAAACTCATGCGGCTGAGTCCAGAAGGGATGATCGTGATAGGACCACGCGCCATCCTTCAGGTGGCTCATCCACTGGACGCCGCTCTTTGACATCCACTTGTGGTTGGCCGCCGTGGTCTGCCGGATGGTCCACTGAAAATCGTTAGCCGTGACATCAGAGACAAACCATGGGAAGGATTTGCCATGAAAATGGATCTCATGGGCGAGGCGGGAGGAGACGAGGAAATCTGCTAAGACCAAGTCAGTGAATAACTCAAAGCCAGAATTGTCCAGAACAATGTCCACTCGGACCAAAGCGGTTTCCTTAGATTGTCCCGGCCTCTGAGGAGAAATAAGAGCCGACCATACCCTGTTAGAGTCATTTACCAAGATGAAGGGTTGCAGGCTGTCCAGGGAATCAATGGGACTGGTCTTCTGTGAGTTGTCTTGGCCAGCAGAGATAGACAGATCACACTTGTTCCCCCAGAGTGAAACCTAGGAAAAGTCCAAATAAAAAAGTAAAACACAAACCAATTGTGTCTCTTTATGACCATGAATAAGAATAACTAGAAAATGGACTCATTATTTTGTATGACTCAAGTCACATTGTTTGTCTGTTAGAATGACAAAATAAAAATTACACCAGCCGGAGAGGAAGTAAAAACAGAAAAATACCCTTAAAGATGTTGAAATCCTTCGCAAAAGGGGGAACTCAAGAATAGAGTAATCTATCCCAAAAGAAACCTGTTCACATACATATCACCATTTTAAGTATTGTTAATGTAATTTTGAATACCGCAGCTCTCACCTTCACCCCATTTAATTGTCATGCATTAGGCTGGTATAAAAGATACATACCTGTAGCAGTTTGTTGAAATGCTCAAGCAGCTGATTCTTTGAGAGTCCCTCCATGTTCTTGTTGAGGCCCTCCACGTATGTACATAAGGTCATCATAGCCTGCTGGGACTCAAAAAAGCTCTGAGTCTTTCCCTCATTAAAGACGTCATAGTCACTGATGGGAGGACTGAAAAGAAAATCAGAAATGCAATCGTGGACTAGAGGAATAGAACAGATTGTAACCCATGCCATCGGTGTACAAATGACATCAGGCGGAAATGCACCTTGAGGTCGGAAGACTAGAAAAGCGCTAAACAATTACAACTCCATTTACTTGATTGAGATGTGTGTGAACAAAAACAAACAGATGTTGATGTAATGCAATAACAGTTAATGGGGCAGCAAAAGATACCATTATAAAATGCAAATATCTCACTTGAGCCAGAGGGCCTCCTGTACTCTGCGGTACATGTAGCACTCCACGTAGAGCCAAGGAGACTTGAACCAGCTGACAGAGTCCTGGTCTCCTTGCTGCTTCTGCTGTCTCTGCAGGTACTGATTCCAGGACTCGGTGTCTTGCAGGCTGTCTGTCAGTTCTAGAAGTGGCTTATCGGTCAGTAGCTCATTTCTCATCTTAGACAGCAGAGATATAGTTTGCTTCTCTGCTTGGATGCCTTCCTGCATACAACAACAAAAAAGGGGCCAAATTTAGGTTTAAAAAAAAAAACAAGATGGAGAAAACATTAATTAGTTGACGATAACAACTCGAATTCGTCTTTTTGAAATTCTCACCTCTCCATATTCTTCAAAAAACTTGTTTTTGTTGCGATGTATTGTATCGATAACTCTGGTGAGGATGGTGGGCATTCGGTCTCTCACAGTCAAATAGGCGAACGACCTGCGGGGAAACGAGACGACCATTGACGCTCCACCGACGCGCTCGTGCGCTCGTTCTAACACGAGCAGGTGTGCGCACCAGTAAGCTAGCGAGCTAATGCACCTAGCTAGACGTAAAGGTGAGCTTAGCATCGAACCTTGTAGCCCTCCCTACAGTGAAATCATACATAGTGGCAGAATGAAACCGTCGAAATATAAGGTTATATTGATATTGGATCGAGTAAACACGGTATGCTTGCACGTTGAATAACAACTTTGTGAATTTCGTGTTAGCAATACCCCAATGATGCTGGTTCGCACATGACAGTGCTGGTCGCTAAGGTAGGACTAGGTAACGTTAGGTTAGGTTAGCCACATCGCGAAACATGGTGGAAAAAGTTGTCAGGTCAACCGTCAACATACCCAACCACTTTGGCAGACAGTGAAGGGGGGACTCCGTGCACCGTCCGGTCAGCCGCCATCATTTTTAGCAGTTCGAGGCGGTTCAAATTCAAACTTTATTGACACAATTTCCAGGACAAGAACAACGTTTTGGAGTTTGCTTGAGCCTCAAACGCGACGCGTGACTACGGATGTTAATTGACGGAGCAGATTGTATTGAACCTGACGTCTTCTGTGTCTGGTCACAAGCGTTTTACACGTTGAAACGTATTTCCTTGTTCCTTGTGAACATGGGCTTGATGGAGGAGAAGCTGCTGCCATCTAGCGGCCAATCCTTAAACTGCAAAGCTCGGGTTTACGCATTTTGAGGCTGACATTGCATTTTAAAGATAATACATCACGCCTTGTTTAATTTGGATAACTTTCTTTCTCTAGAACACACAGATCAGTCTTCGGCGTTTATGGCTTAGAAAATGAATTGCCGGGGGTGTCTCAGTGATCACAGAGGGGGGGGCGGGGGGCTGCCGCAATGCGCATGGCATCCTGTTGTTGCGGCAGCACCCCGAGCATCTCTAGTCGTCTAGAGCAACGGTTGTCATGGCGATATCGATTCGCTCTATCAGAAAGACACAGAATTCGACACTCCCACCCCCCAACCCCTGAGGCTTTTGGCGGGAAAAGAGGGAGGAGGGGGTGGACCAGCAGTACGCCAGTGAGTCCCTGCTGGGGACTCTGGTTAAAAACCGAGCTAATATACTTCTATTATATTCAATATATTAACTAGTATAGTGGAAAAATGCGAGAACGTTTTTGTTGTTAATCATTTGAACCAAAGTCTCAAACTAAAAGATAAAAGAGATCCATCCAAGGTTAACGTTCCATTTCAGAGTCGTGAACGGGAAGGTCTCCCAACTCCTGTTTTTTTTCTTTTGGAAGAACGTGACCAATTGATTTGCAGCCCCCACGACAACTAGGATGAAAAAGAAAAAAAACACGCATATCAATTCACTCTGGCGGTGTTCTTTTTTTTCTTCTCCACTTTCAGATCAGCCCCGGTCACTATGGGAACAGGACGGGCCGTTGTCAGGATGTGGGGTCCTTGCGAGTGGGAGTCCAGCTGCGTCCACCTCCGGTGTTCATCCACCGCCGGCCTCCCATCCCCCGCCGGCCCCAGCCCGGCCGGATCTGTTCTCTAAACCGAGAAAGGAGTGACTCACCACTCCGGTTTCAAAACAGGCCACGGGGGGTGGAGAGGAGTTGTGTGTACGTGTGTGTGTGTGTGTGTGTGTGTGTGTGTGTGTGTGTGTGGTGTGGGGGGGGGGGGGGGGACGTTAAAAGCACTGTTTAAACAGGTGTTTCAGCTCACCACGCAGTCGTCTAATGCAACAGTGGGCTTCGGCAAATAGATGTTGCGTTTAAATAGTGTCCTGACGTCACGAACGGCTGAATTCGAGTAAATGTCGCTATACTCTTACGTGTTAAGTAATTTCAAGTAGTCTCGGTTGTGTTCATGCAAAATGCGTTATGCAAGAAAATCTATTTAGTTTTAATCAGCGGCAGGGCAGTGAAGGCAAGTCTGTGTGTCTTTTCAATGTGCTTCTCTGAGCAAAAGGAGCAGAAGGATTAGTGGGGCGTGAGGAAGCCATATGTGCATAAAACAGGCTTCTGCTAATGGAGCATTATATATATATATATATATATATATATATATATATATATATATATATATATAATAAACTATTGATGAAAATACATTGAGCTTAATGATGAAAAACAATGAGCCACTTGGTAACAGTTAATCTGTTCCTTAAATAAACCCCTGCTGAGCAAAGTAAACATGCTTTTGTTCTGTAGTCATTATTATCTACTATTACTCCACAAGTTACCTCAATCAATCTTTTGCTTGTGAAACATTTAACACCACCACGGGTCTCCATTTTTATTAGCTAATTCGTTTCAGGATCAGCTCTACGTGTATTGTTTGTTGGCAGGGCAGAGACTTTAAGGTCCTCACGGTCTGCTTCATAGATATTTCTGTCCCCCTCCCACATCACCACAACAAATAAACTCTCTGTCTATTCTCTGACATCCGAGTAAGCGTTTACAGAGCTACAACTTGCTTAATCTGGTCCTCCTGTGGACTCCCTGCCCTAAGGCTGAAAAACAAATCTATAGCGACAGGTCTGAAATTTGTGTTTACTCTATGGGGCAACGTCTGCTGACAAAATATTGATGTGACTCCAAAGTGCGGTTGTGCGTAGGTTTTCATGCTTCTTCTGTGCAGGCAATGTGTGGTATAGTTGAAATCTATTTCCAACGCCTCCACTTCCTTCTTTTGGTACTTCTTTCTACTACAAGAAGGGTTTTCCATCGATATTTGAGTTGACCAATTCACAGGAAGGCCAGCCTTGGTTGGGATGACAAAATAACAGCTGTTACTTAAGACCCCATCAGAATGTAGGCTGCAGGAATCAGCTAGGATTACTCTTCACACACAAAAAGAAAGAAATCACACAAATTCTACCAGCTCAATCACTCAGTTTACAGTGGTCAATGACTTTGGTTATGGTTTGCATGGGGAACACAGGTTACTCTAAACAGGTTTGTTCGATGCTGCTGTGCAGCTCATAACAGCAGAGTTAGGATACTGGTATCCTTTTGTAAATTTTGGCCATAATTAAATTAATTCATCTGCTAATATCTGTACTCTTTAATACATGATGTCCTCCAAAATGAGTGCAACATCACAATGTATGCATGCAAACTATGCAAACAAGTGTTTTCCAATGACCAATATTGTCGAATATGAAAATTTGTTGAACCTGTATTCAATAGCTTGTGTCACAGTTAATACTTTTTGTCAGAATTATACCGTGCATTAATTAATAGGCCTATAAAAGCTCTGTCCGAGTGAATTCAATCATACCCCTGATCAGGGGTAAATTACTATGTACCCATGCCTAATATTACACTATGTACTCAAAATTGGTAAATAAAAAAAATGGTATCATCTATTTTTGTTAGCCTCTACAAATACTACTTTTGAGATCAAAACCTCCGAGAATAGATGAATCAAACATACATCAAGAGAAAATAAATGAGTTCCCAGACAAATGTACTTTGATTACAGTTTGTTGAAACCTGAAGAATAATTTATTTTTTAATGTGGTATTTCTGTCATTTTCATAATCATACTTTTTTTAAAAGTCATTCGGAATCATAAATGACTTTTAATGTCTAGTCTAATTTAATAATGTCCCAATGAATATAATAAACATATACGCTCAAACGAGATGTAATCAAACCTTGATGAAAATGTCTATTTTATTATTTTATGTTTATTTTTTATAAACGAAGGCGCAAGTGTAACTTATAGTACCGCGTCACACTCGAACGCCACGCTTCGGTTTAATGTGTAACGTGTCGTTAACGGCCGATTAACAACCGCACGGTGAGTCAGCGACGCTGATGGCTGTTAATGTTCAAACTCACCGGCTGTCAAAATAAATAAAAAAAAGAAAACCGTCTAGCGGTGGTTGATCTCGCGGCGGTTACACAGCGCGTATAAATTAACGTTAACTCAACCGCCCCCTTTGCTCAACGGATTTTTTACAACGGCCGTTTCTTGGCTGTTTTTTTTTTTTTTTTTTTCTTCACCCACAGTCATGTGATTGTAACGTAAAACCCCCTAACCGGAAAACAGCGACGGACGACCCTCTCCGCCGCCGCCAACAACGAACGCAGCGCTAGCTAGCAGCAGCAGCAGTGCGAGCCGCCGCGAGCCCAGAGAGAGGACGGACGAGGACGAGTCTCCCCCCGCGCCCTCTCCCCCCCTCCTCCGGTAACAAACAAACAACGGCGCGACACGGCAAACTCCACGCACCTCACCGGAGTCGCAGGTACGGCGGTTTGTACACGCGCGCGCTCACTCGTTCGCACGCGGGTAGTGATTCGTTATTCGGTTACTTGTGTGCGCTTTGACTCAACTGTGATAGTCACGGGTGTGGAGTGGTGGTGGCGGGGGGGGGGGTAGTTAAAAGAAACGCGTTGTGGTGACCAGCCCCCATCCCCCTTGCGCTTCTCCCGCGCTTGTGTGTGTGTGCGCGCGCGCGCGAGCGAGCTCGGTGCGTGCGTGCATGTCCGCTTGGCTCCCGCTAGCAAAAGCAGAGACCCGAGGCCGAGGCAGGACTCGTTTTTAAAGGCTACCCCCCCCCCCCCGCTTTATATACTTTATCTGTTATTATTTTAACCCGCACACTGGCTCTGTTTTATTACCCCGCATCGTTGCCTGGCGAGCCGTATTAACGGGCTGTATTCAGAGTAACAGTAAATGAATCTACGGAAGTAACTATTCCACGTGGCTACGTCACATCGGGGGCGGCGCGTCATTGTTGCAAACAAGTCGGCGTTGGTTCACACATGGTAGCTACGGCAGCTAACGGCGAATTCAAGCTGAGTTCACGCGATTAACGTCAGTAGTTGTGCTGTCGATCGATAGTGGTGCTAATCCGCCGGATCCGTTAATAATTCCACTTTTAAGGCATCTTTCGGAGGCTTGTGGAGCCACCAACCAACACACACATGATGGAGGCAAACCACACTGGAAGTTACAGACATGGATCCTGCTGTAACAAATAAACAGTGGTGTGCCGCTGGGAACAATCAATGCAAAACCAGGAAGAGATAGATAATATTCAAAAAAATTTTAAATTATGTGTACAGCTCAGTAGAATTTTAACAGAATAAGCAGTATTAGGGCTGCCGTAACGTGAATGAAAAGTAAGAGGTAGGTGCAACCATTAATACAAATATGTCTTGTTTATTCGAAGTATTTGATTGCATCAGCGAGGGCGAGCTGTTGCAGGTTAATTATACTGTACTGACAAGATTTGTGGACTCGGTTTCAATTTTATAGGTATATTTGTCCGAAACTAGCAGCCCTGCATTGAAGCCTGTTTTGAGGGGTATTGGTTTTAACTTTATAATAATGTTAGATGCCTCTAGGGATATGTGTAATAATCAGTTTATACTCAATGACATACATTGCATTACAATTAAAGGGGTGTTTAGTTTGCAGCAATAATGTCCCTGGATTATTGCCTTTTAATATAGGGATTGATTCCTATTCCTATGAATTCTAAGAAACTAAGGCAACAATTTAAATTGGAAATAGATTTGTCTGACAGAACAACCGTTCAAAAGCTAGTCAGAAGCATGGTTACATTTTTGTCGAATATTCAATAAAGATTTTAGAAGCGGCGAGCAGGGACTATTCAGCTGATAAAACACATTTTCAATGCAGGACTGTTGTAATAACCCGCATTAATTGCTAGTGTTACCTTAATAACCTTGCATCTTGAGGGATTGCTGTTGCTGTATTCCCCTCCCACAAGATAAGGAAACCTAGCCTTTTCCTGGAGCGCTGCAGTGCCAATGTCTTTGCACTCTGACCTCTCTGATGGAATACATATGTGCAGGGGGGCTAGATCAGCGTTTTCTTGTGAGCAGCAGCAGATACACAGAGGCGTTCTGCGTTCATGCTTTTGAAGGTAGATCGTGGGACGTGGTCTCCCCCGCCTTGTGTCCATGTAGCTTCACGCTTTAGGCGGTGTGGCGTGGAGAACAGTCTGGAGAAAGAAGATTCGCCCTGCCCACAGGCGGTTTTCATTCTCAACTGGGGAGTACGGGGGTAGAACCAGTTTTGCTTTAGGAATGTGTGTCAACACCCCAAACCCTGATCATGTGATGGCCTGGAGCCCTTGTAGTCTTCCAGTGACCTTTTAAGGTCAACAAAAACCATCTTATTGGTCAGCGGAACGCACGTAGCTCGGAAATGTGGGTTTCTTGAGGTTTCAATTGGACGTTTTGGGCTCCATCTGACCCACATCTCACTGGTATTTGGGGGGCAGAAACCGCCGCAGCTCAACTTCTGCAAAACCTGATGTCAAAGCAGGATAAACATTAGATCCGATTTACCCTTTTGCACAGTAATTAGCGTGCACATCTTGTGCTAACCAGACAAACATCAAAGGGATTATGTGAGGATGGTATTCTCATCATAAGCGATCAATAGACAACCCTCTCTCTGGCCACTCTGGTTGTCATTGATTTTTACTCAACATTGCAGAATGTCCAAATACCCACTTGAACAATAAAATGAAACAGATTAGACACTGATGATTTTGAGTCGCACCATTTGATGGCGTAATGTTCTGTGACATTAGTGCTCGATAAATTGCCTCCAACGGCACAAAATGACTCTTCACTGTTGTGTTTAGAATTTACAAGGTCGTTAGATCACCCCCATCAGCCTGACACTTTGTGGTCACAATAAACTCTGTTCTCCTTCCAGACAGGAAACTCATTGCTGCTTGTGTGTGTGTGTGTGTGTGTGTGTATCTTTTGTGCAGGTTGAAGAATGGAGTTGGCCAACCATGGTCTTATCCTGCTGCAGCAGCTTAACGCTCAGAGGGAGTTTGGCTTCCTGTGCGACTGCACCGTGGCTATAGGAGATGTCTTCTTCAAAGCCCACAAAGCCGTCCTCGCTGCCTTCTCCAACTACTTCCGGATGCTCTTCATTCACCAGGACAGGTACAGGAAGAATGTGTTAATAGGGCGGTCAGATCCAAGCTCCGATAGCTTTCTGTTGTCCCATCAGAGAATTTACTCAACTGCTGCCAAAAGTTACCGATGCCGACACTGAACGTTTTCATTCTCCGTAGCTGAGCACTGGACTGTATCTAAATGTTTTTAGTGTGATGACCCGCGACTAATGCCGTTGTTTGGTCAATGGCACGAATTGAAGTGACCAATTGGAGGGCCTGTAAGGCATTGAAACCAAAACAAGGTATCTTAGCTGCACTGATAATGTGTTATGGCGACATTTCCTAACTGAAGGACATACAGACCGATTTATTCACACGCAAGATTTCAACAGCCTCCGACTAATAACCTAATGTTACAATTTGTTATCTTAAGAATTTTCTCGACGGATTTTATTTATTTCTTTGCTGTTGGAATGTAAAGGTAATTTCAACAAATATAACAAAATATATTTTGAAGAAGACTACCAACTCTAGCTTTAAGCAGACCTTTCCTTTATACAGTAAAGGACTGAGGGTGTTCATAATGAACAGCGTTGTCTAATATTGTTATTTACAGACATCATTAGCCACTTAACTGTAATGTCGTTGCCTTTCAGTGATTGTGTGCGACTGAAGGCCGCTGACATACAGCCGGATATCTTCAGCTACCTCCTCAACCTGATGTACACAGGCAAGCTCGCCCCCCAGTTGATAGACCCTGCACGCCTGGAGCAGGGGGTCAGGTTCCTGCACGCCTACCCACTCTTGCAGGAGGCCAGCCAGTCTGTGTATTCCCACGCCGAGCAGCCCAGCATCAACCTTTCCACCTCCCTCTACGGCATCCAGATCTCTGACCAACAGGTAGGGCTGTCGGCTAGATTGACCTCTCAACGGCAGCTCTCTTCCCCTTTTGACACGGAGCAGCTGAGCTCCGAGGGGAAGTATCTATCCACGCCGGCTGCAGCGGCTTCCTACGACAACTCCTTACTGTCCAAGGTAGCGTCGTCGCCGCCGGACATGGAGGCCTCGACCAGCGGCACCAAGCCCGCAGGTGAGGAGGGGGCGATGGACTTGCTGAGCGCGGATGCTTCCTCGGCCACTGCCATCCTCCACGTGAAGCCCAGCATCATGAAGAGGAACTCCTCCTTCCGGAAGCACTACTCCTGTCATCTGTGCAGGAGTCGTTTCACCCAGAGGAGCCTGCTGAGGGAGCATCTCCTGCAGCACACCCATTCTCTACAGCAGGCGGCCGCTGAGCCCAGCAGCGCTCTCTCACCCGTCCTGAGCGTAGAACAAAGCATGCTAGAGTTGGAGGGCGTCCTGAAGGGAAGCAAGGCAGTGTTAGGGGCCTTGGCCGCCGCCACAGCCGTAGAGATAATCAGTGACAGCGAGCAGACGCCGGTTTCGGGAACCAACTCGGACTCTCCGCGCGCTGAGGTGACCACTTCCAGCTGGGGGGTGGGAGGCGTGAATTCCCAGGCGGATACGCCGCCTCCGTCGGACATTGCGGACATCGACAACCTGGAGAGTGCCGACCTCGACCGCGAGGTGAAGCGGAGGAAGTACGAGTGCTCCACCTGCGGGCGCAAGTTCATTCAGAAGAGCCACTGGCGCGAGCACATGTACATCCACACGGGCAAGCCGTTCAAGTGCAGCGCTTGCGGCAAGAGCTTCTGCCGGGCCAACCAGGCCGCCCGCCACGTGTGCCTGAACCAGGGCGCCGACACCTACACTATGGTGGACCGTCAGAGCATGGAGCTGTGCGCCGCGGGGGACGACAGCAGCCAGATGGAGGCGATGTTCCTGGGGTCGTCGAAGCCTTACAAATGCAACATTTGTGCGACCACCTTCTCCAGTCCCAACGAGGTGATCAAACATTTGTGCTTCACTCAAGGGGGGTTGGTGGCGCTGCAGGGAAACGCGGGCGCCGAGATGCTGCTCCAGCGCGAAGAGTTCTCCAAAGATGACGGCTCCGATTTGTCCAACTCCGGCACCCCGCTGGAACCATTAAAGACTGAGGAGATCCTCGTAGAGTAGTGCCAAAACTTTCTTATGTGTCCTTTTTAACATGTGTGTTTACTTCCTAAATTATGGTTAATAGGTAAGCTACAGGTTAAGTTAGTCAGGGTATGTGTTTGAGCCCCTCGATCTACTAAAACAGTTTTATTTTCATTAGTTTAATGGGGGTTGGGGTTACAGTACTTTGGACACTCATGGTTCCGAGCCTGACTAAAAGTGAATTAAATAGTGGGGCAATTCCCTGATAGCTCACTGGAGTTCAATCCAACATGATTATGAAAGCAAGTAACTTTTTAAAATTTGACCTTAAGACTGAGTTACCAATAAGGGACATGAAGGTTTGTCATTTTATGGCGGTGTACATTGGTATTAGATGCACACATGTCAGTCTGCACCACGTTGTTGTTTTTTTTCTTCTTTCACTTAACAGCTAAAGTTGTGGTAAGGCTGCACACGCATACTTGGAGTATAAGAGGAAGAGGAAGCTGAGACTGTTCCGGAGGTCACACATGTTGTGAGATGAGTGCTGTGATAGGTTTGAGGGGGAGAAAGCGCTGCACAGATGTCTCGTTTCTTCATGGTCGCGAATGAGGGGCTCATTCTGCAGACCCGGTATCAAGTATGATTCCAGCTAAATCACACGACCTATTCAGACCTGAGACAATCTGTGCCCCCTTTTCACTATATGCCCGATCTGCAGGAAATTACAAATGTCTTCCGTTCATGTTTTGGTTTTTTTATGCTCATTAGAATGAATAACTTGACATGTAAAGTAACAACCATTATTTGCATCCTTCTCAGACCGTTTAGTTGTTGGTTGTTTATTTGTTGACTGTGCTACGCGTGGTTATGGTTCATGTGTCCTTACACCCGATTAAAGCACAGTTGCTCTTTAAAATTGAGTTGGGCCACTAAATAAATTGGTCACAACAAGCAAGAGTGTTTCTTGAATTTAAAGTTGAGCCCTTTGATTCAATTTAACTTTTTCATTTTTACTTAAGTTGTACAACTCTTTGTTGCTGATTGGAGCAACGTGTTTCCTCAGACACACAATTGATTGGAGGCTGTTGTGTACAATGTTGTACATCTTTATATAATTTGCTTCAATCTACTTTTACAAGCCCGTACTCTTTGTTTGACATGCTTTTCTAGTTTTAAATACAACAATATATTTTCAAAGATTACTTTATATTGCAAAGATATGTATATTGGTAGACAAATAGCTTTAAAACTAGGATTACATTTGGTTTTGTAAATTTGTATGTATAAGAAATGAACATGATCATTTCTTAAAGAAATAGGTGAGAATAAAGTTTAGATTTGAAGTCTCTTCCCCTTCCCAAATTAGTTCTTATGCTAACCTCCATTAAAGGGAAACATTTCTGCGTATGGTTGAGACCTTCTGACATTGATGTTTGTTCTCTAACCAATCACAAAAGGAAGTAGTAGTTGCACCAGTAGGTCCTTTTCTAGAAACCGTTGTGGAAAACGTGTAGAAGCTTCTATGGTGCAGATGTGCTGACACAATAATGCTCCACCTGTCAGTGTGGAGGTCATATGAACTCAGGCAGCGATGGCGGTGTGACGCAGGGACAGCTAGCTTTAATAAGAAAAGACCTATGGGGGACGTCTCCATGTACTCGACTGTCTGGACACGTGGTTATGTGAATATAAAAGATGCCATTAATTGTAACTTGGAAGGACTTCCCTTGTTTGGGATCACAGAAACTTTTTATAAGAACTACTGATGACTGGAAATTGTGAAGAAGTCTTTACATACATGTTGAGTTAATGTGAAGCAGATGTATTATTTTTCATGCTGAAACGTCAACTGTAACAGAAGCATAAAGCAGGTTGTTCAGGAAAATAATTCTTAATTAAACGCCTCTGAATCTGAGTTGGGCAGGTTTTGAAGTATCTTCAGTTAAATTGTTTTTTTGTTTTGTTTTTTTACTTTACGGCCTGATTATTCATATGAACTATATTTTAGGGAGGTGTGTCTTAATACTGTCTTAATATTGTTATTGTCCCTTCCAGTGGAAAATAAATTCTGCATTGTAATGTTATTGCAACAACATTGCCTTTTTTGCTGCAAATACTAACCAACCCATTAGAAATTAAAAGTGTACATTTCTCTTTCCAAATGTCTAGCTGACACTGCTATGACAGGTATTCATCCCGGAGACCAATTTAACAAATCAAAGGATTTTGCAATATCATTTTAAAGCAGACTATTTCACTAAGCCGCACAGAAGCTCATACATATATGTATAGGATATTGTAAAAGGTGTTATTGTAGTGAATGTGATTGCCTTTCATTACAAACGCAACTTCCACATTATTAAATATAGTCTTTGTAGGTCCATCCCTAGTATGTTTTAAATGCATATGTTTTTCTTTTTAGCCCCTTCCCCGCAGCCTCGAGTACAGGTCTGTGACGGAGAGGAAAAGGCGCAGGTTTAAGTGGGATTTTTGTGCTTTGAATCCTCCTTTGCGGTTTGGATGCAATGAGCCCAGTGATCAGCTAGATGGAGCCGTTTTCTTTATTGTCTACTCAGGTCCGGGGGTGAAAAGGCTGTCAAATTGAATTGATAGCTAAGTATTTTTGTCATGACATTTCCAATCATAAGACCATCTTTAATATGGTATCACATTTTGGCAAAAATGAAAAAGAGGAAATAGTTGCTCAAATGTACTACTGACTTTAATTTCTCAGAGCTCAGAAATGTGCACATCTTTAAGAAAAGTCTAAATCCTTCCTCATTTAGTCGTATTCGTTCTTCTGCCAGACTGGACTTGTGACGCATTGGTTTGTGTGTGTGTGGGTGTTTAAACATCTCAGGGAGATGAGAAGTTTGTCCTTCTGTCCACTCTGTATTGAAATAATTCATTTCAAACCCATGATCCCGCTCCCTAATGCCCATCTGTGATCAATATGTGTTCTCAGGAACGTGAGTACAAACAATTTAGTTTTTCTTTCAATGAAGAATGAACAATAAAGACATTTTGTTTTATAACTGTGGAGGCTTTTGACTCATCTTCCTCAACAAAATGGATTTGTCATTAGTTCTTGTCCATCCATGCATGCATGGTTATTGCACACCATAATATAATTTAATATAAGTGTTTATTTAAGATTACAACCTCCTTATGAAGATATATTTCATATTGTTATACCTGTGTTTAACGTTATTGTTGGTTCATACGCTCTCCGCTTATAAAAGCCCCACAAGATGCTATAAACCATTTCTTAAAACAGCGTCTAGATGCTAAATTTATTCAGTTTCCCAGTGGTTATTAATGTCTTTATTGATGATGTATCATTCAAAAAGATAAATACAAGGCACATACCATTTTCTCTACCTTTATTGAATGAAATATAGACAAGTTTCTCTATCCTTACTATTAACAGCTTGGAAAATATAAAATACAATTAGGACCATGCTACATGAATATTATGTTAAATGTCTGGTTATTGGTTAATATCACAACAAGGTTTTAGGTACATACAGTAGGTATACAATCTGTACAAATGTTAAGAGGTTCACAGTTAAGTGTGTTACAAAAAGCAGGCTGAAGTGGGCGCGTTCCCCATCTAAATGCTTTACATTATTCAACAATAGCAAAAGTCTTGAATCACTTATATTTAACATAAAGCGTGAATTAATGTGACACGTTCTCTTGAGTCAAGGTAAAGGGAATTTGTGACCTAAGTGGGGTCCACACCACACCTGATCTTTCTCTTGTTTGGTCATAAGGCTGAGTGAAATGCGGATTTGTAACAGAAACACTTGTTTAATCTTAAAGAATCCTGAAGGGACGCAGTGCAAGTTTGCCAAATTTGGTTAAGATACAAAAACCAGTGCAGCCCCAAGGTCACGTTAGCTTTGGTGGGGAAACCGATATTCCTCCACCTGAAAACCTCTCCCACTTTACCAGTGAACTTGCAAAATGAGCTCTGACCTTGTGACTTGGGTTTGATGTGTGACTTAAAGCAGCTGAGTCAATGCTCGGGGAATTTAATTGGATGCAACTCATGCCTGATTCTGTGAGCAATGGAAAGACCATGACTCCCTGATTGATCTTAACTTGATTTGGCTTTTAAATTAAGGTCAAAAGAGATCTCATCTTTGCTTCTGGTACAACGCAGTCTGTGTCTGTGCATCTCCGAAGCCCCAACCAGTTTAAGGAACCCGAGCAATCATGCTGAGTGAAGAACACAACATAGGAGCAGGTACCATAAGACGTGATTGAACATTTTCGTACTTCATCACCCAGTTAAAGCCAAAATGACCACTAAAAAATGCAGTACTTTTTGTGGGCGACAGAGGGCATCAACATACTGTCAGGAACTATAAACATAGTGAGGTGAGGAAGGTGTTAAATGTAAAAAATACATACAGTATGTAACACATTAACCCAAAATGGCTTCATTTGTCACTGTTTACCAAATACCTCCGCCGCATGATCAAATGAGGGTGTTATAATAGCATTTTATTGTATTATTACATGACACAATGTGTAACAATGTCTTTTCACAGTTTATCAGGCAGTGATTGTTTCTTATCTACATGACGTTTTTTAAATATTTTGTTGTGGTGCAGAGTGAAAACATATTGTGGCAATGCAATGTGTCAAAAACATTTGTTGTTGCCTATCATTATCCTCTCTGCCCTCTGGTAGTTTTCTGCAGTCAGTGTCATCACTAACTGTCCGTGGAATCACACTTGTACCATGGTTTAGTTATAGTTGCTACAGAGTTTTGAAATAATCATTGGCTATGACCAGTAGAAGCTGCGATACACCGACTTACAGGCAACAGTCTTGTTTTGTTGCAGCAGCCGTCACGTTTACTGTAATCATGTTGCTCAAAAGAATACCCGATGTATCACAGCTTAATGTGGGAATTAAAAAAAAAAACATCAAGGCACCGATGTCCAAACAAAATAAAAATGAACAAAATAAAGACTTACTGAAGAATGAAAGATAACTCAAATATAAATACAATATACAAGATAATAATCCTCCATCTCTTCACCTTCTGACCCAATCTCACTCTCCCCGCTAAACACGGACAAACACACTCGCGCCTACGTGAGAACAGACACACACTCGACCAGGTGGCAGACTCAAGTCAAATGCAGGAACTTCCTGACTATGGAAAAACATCTAATTGGTAACGAGCCAGATGGGATGCTTAAGTGTGTGTGTGTGTGTGTGTGTGTGTGTGTGTGTGTGTGTGAGAATGAGAGGGAGTGGGTGGAGTTGGCGGTGTGGCGTCACGTTGTGTTGACGGGGCTGCAGGATGGGGTTGGAATACAGGTGGAGTACAGGTGGAAGGGGAGGTAGAGTCACTCAGTCTTTGTGGGCAGAACCTCGTCTCAGTGTGTTACCACAGAGCCGCTCTCTCCCGGTCTCCCTCATCCCTCATTTCCTGGTGCAGTGGGTTTCCCAGGCATCAGTAATTGTGTCTTCAGCTGCGGTGGAGAGAAGAGAAATAATTAAAAAAAAAGGCATTAGGAAAAAGAAAAAACTCTGGCAAAAAAGCAAAATGTATCTGAGATTACATTAACCGTTACATGGTCGAGATATAATTCAATCAAAACAACCGAAAAGGCCCCCTTAAGCTCTTTGAGGCTTTGTAATTTAATCTAACAAATGCGTAGTCCGACATGGTTTCCTGACTCCGTACGGAGCCCGTGATGGAAGGAAGGACGGAGCGGAGGATTCATTATCAGTCTTTCAGCACAAGTTCATCTGCCCCTCACACAGCGCTTCCCTTTAAGACCCCGGTCTGCAAAAAAGGGGTCAACGGCGGCATTCCTACTTTGATATCAAAGGTCCCCTGGTTACGCATACCCTGAACAAAAGCTTTTTCATCTGTTCAGCGGGCAAATCCCCTCCCCTACTCCCTAATAAAAGTGGGGGCCCATTGATGTCTCGAAAAAAAGCCACTGAGAGAAGATTGCTTGATAGGCCAACGAAGGAATTTGAAAATAACAAGGTTTTTACATCCTTTACTGTTACTTTCGTAGTTTGTAGAATGGAAATACTAAACAGAATCAACATTTTGATTACCTGCATCATGACTTTTTAATATTAAAAACTGTTGTCACGTAAACAATTCCCCTTTGAGGTTGTAAGATCAGTCTCACCTGCTCATGATGCTGCTGTGATCTCCGTGGAAACAGGCTCAATCTCCTTCACGGCCTCCTCGATTACCTCGATCACCTGCGCCATCACTTCTGCGCACTTCCCCGACGGTGTTTCTGGTGCCTCTGCTTCTGTGACTTGGTCCGGGGCGGCTTGGGGTTCTTCTGACAGTGTTGGGAGTTTGCTTTGAGTCACAGCAGTCTTCACGTTGGTGTCTTCGGCCAAAGAGCCGTTGCAATCGAACCCTTCGGCAACTTCTTCCTCCACTGACGGCTCCTCAAACACCTTCGCTGTCTGCAGGACCACTTGGACTGGCATGTGAATCTCAAGCACTTTGTCTTCGTTCTGCTCTGACTTTGATTCCTCCGACTGTTGTTCCACTTCCTCGACTGCTTCTTCCACACCTGCTCCGTGAACCTCCGCTTCTTTTTTGCTCTGCTCCTCCTCGACTTGTCCATTCTCCACGCCTGCCTGACTCTGACCCTTTATCTCTACGACTTCCTCTACTACAATTTCCTCACTTACTTTTGCCTCCACTGCTTTCAGCAACCCTTCGGCTGGTTTCTTCTCCTCCACGGAGGCACCGAGGCTCTCTGTGACCTCCACTGCGACAGTGTCCATGACCTCCGTGGCAACATGGAGCAGCTGAGGGGACTTTGATGCTGGTTTCTCGCAGACAACAGCAACAGGGGTGTCAGAGATAACCTGGCTGGTCTCCATCGATTCCTCTATTGTTGCTACGGCCTGGACTGGTGTATGAGTGGCAGGCTTGGGTTCAGGCTCAGGGGCATCTTCTGAAACTTTATCCACGGCATCCTGAATGACAGACTGGGCAATGGCGATGCTCTGAGCCTCAATTTCCCCGGTCGGCACCCCTTCCGCCACGGTTTCCTCCACATCCTTGCTGGGCTGCTCAGTGACTGCGCTGATGTCGGTCGTGGCCTCCACAGTCTCCTGTGCTTCAACCTCCTCCTTGGTCTGCTGCAGCTGGACGGATTCATCAACGGCTGCCTCTGGTGTGTTTTCCAAGGCCATCAGGTCTGATGCCGCCGCAGCGACTGGTGCCACAAGGATTAATGTTTGGGAGATAACAACCTCGTCACTTGGTTCAACCACCGAAATGGTTTGCTCAGTCTCGTTTGTGACACATATCACCGTTGCATCTTGGGTGGAGACTATCTCTGCACTCACACACTGAACTTCTTCTTTCACCGTATTTTGTTCGGTTGCAGCAAGCTGCTCCACATCCATTTTCACTTCCTTGGTTTCCACATATGGCTCGGTGACTTGTACGCCCTGCGTGCAAATGGCTGCTTCGTGTGTTGGTGTGATGGGATCGCCTCTGGTGACATCCTTGGGGAGGTTCTCGCTCACGGTGGGAGGCTGAATGATTTCAGACTCCCCCTGGACGGTGTTGACACTCACAACCATCTCAATCTCGGGTTCGTGGCTCTCAGCGGCAGCTTGACTCAGATCACCTGGTGAACCTTCAACGACAGGCTCAAGCTCGGTGGTGTCCACCTGGTGCAGTTGGGCATTGCAGATGGCAATTTCCGTAGAGACGGCTTCCTCTGCAATTGCTGGCTTATTTTCCATTGACAACTCTGAGGTTAGACCATCATTGATCACAGCCACAGCCTCTATAACTGGCATCACCGGTTTCTGAAAAGCTACTTTGGCAATCTCCTTGGTTCCGAGGCCGGTGCAGATGGCCGTGGCGTCATGGTGAGCGTGTGGCTCCAGGACGGTATACGTCTTTGACTTTGCCTTCTCAGACGGTGGGTTCATACTCTGTTTGATCAGAACCTACCTCTACTGGTACATCTTCAACCGCCACACTCGTCTGGGGTGGGATTTCACAAATTTCAGCCTGTAAGCCCTCCATCACCTCCTCTGCGCTCTCCGCCTTGGGTCCTTTAGGAACAGGTGTAGTTTCTGCAGATGGAGCCGGAGCAAAAGAGGTTACCTCGGCCGTGGACAGTCTGCGCCCTGTGCGTTTGGGAACTTCAAGAGTCAGATTGTCCTTGTCCTCAGTTTCTTCCTCTGCGACGTCAGTGTCGACTGACTTTGGCGTGGCAGCATTCTCCGCCTCCTCCGGGATGTCACTGAGCTGCTCGTGTTTATTGTCGCCGTCTTCAACAGCTGCTGGGATCCATGAAGGCGATCTATCTTCGGCGGAAACGTTAATGAGGACGTCCGCAGGTTTTTCTTGGATCGCCTGTTCGGCTTGTTCGACCTGGTCTTCATACTCTGAGAGTGGAACTACAGCCGGGGTGTCAGAGTCCTCCTCGCTCTGTTCGGTGGATGATTGTTTCTCAGATTTCTTCTTTCTGCGTCCGGGAAAGAGCTTCCTCAAAGAGAATGACGACTCATCTTTTGGTGCTTCGGTGTCTGACTGGACTTGTTCTGTACTGTCCTCGAGCTTTTCCTCAACTTTGGCCTTGTTCTTTGGCATAACCATGCGTTTCAGTGTGTCCCAGGTGGACTCCTTCTCAGCAGATGGGCTCAAAGGTTCAGTGGAGGAACCAACTTCTCCATCGCTCTCTGTGGTTTGGGAACTGACAAGGGCAGCCTCGGTTTTTCCCACCTGCTCCACTTCCAGCGCTGCTGCCACCGATTCCTCTTCAACCTTGGTCTCTTCGTCGTCGGAATCGGACGTCTTCCTCGTCCTCTTTTTGGGTCCACCCATACACATGAGAGCCTCCCAGGAGACAGAGTTGTCCATTTTCTTTTTGGGCTCCTCGGTGCTGCTGGCCAGTTTCTCAGTGTTTTCAGTCTTTGGTTCATCCTCGGTTGGCTTCTCCTCCTCGGCCTCCTCCTCAACACTCTTATCTGCTAACGGGGCACTCTCAGAAGAGGACAGAGTGGCTGACTTGGCTGTTTTTTCAGCTGTGGCGTCATCTTCACTCTCAGAAGACCGTTTGACACGCTTCTTGGGTGTGACTAGTTTCTTGAAGGAGGACCAGGCAATGATCCCGTCTTTTTTCTTCTCTCCATCAGAGGCAACTTCCCCATCAGTCTCTTGGCTGGACTCATTCTGGGTCACCTCCACAGCAATGACATCCTCTCCCACCTCCTCAGGAGATGCGGGCCCACTGTCAGTTTTTGGATCCTCTGCCGACTCAGTGGAGGATTGAAGCTGCTCAGCCGCATGCTCAGCAGTGAGCTTTGTCTCAGCGTCTTTCTTGGCCTTCTGTTTCTTAGTTGAGAGCTTCTTTAAGCCAGCTCCAGCAAAAAGCTTTTTCAGGGGGCTTCCCTGGGGCTTGACCTTCTCCTGTGATGATAGCAGCTCAGCCTCAGTAGTCACCTCTGCCGGGGCCTTCTCTTCTTCTGCACTCGGTTGTGCTTTTTCCTCCTCTGGTTTGGTCTCCTCAGTAGTCGCAGCTGCAGGGGCTTCCACGGCGACCTCAGGCTCAGTGGTACTCGCTGATTTCACTTCCTCGGGAGTAGTTGGTGTCTCCTCGTTAGTTTCTTGGTCAACGTCATCTTTCTCCTCCTTTTCTTCCACAGCAGTAGCAGTGTCATCTGTCTTAGCTGTCTCTTCCTCAACGGCAGCCACCTTGTCTTCCTCCTCTTTTGTTTTCTTGATGCTGGCCTTCTTTCTCAGATTAGAGAATAGTCCTCCACTGAAAAGCTTCCTGAAGGGGGACATGGTGGTCTCTCCTTCTTTTTCAGCTCCTTCATCAGATAGCGTTCAGCAGCTGTGTCTTCAGCTGGGGCATCAGTGGTTT